TATTATGTTTTTCAAAAAAGAATAAACTACATTTTTGCAAATAATTAAAAAAAAATCTATCGATTTTAATTTAGACCACACTCATGAAAACTATGAGAGAGAGAGAGAGAGAGAGAGAGAGAGAGAGAGAGAGAGAGAGAGAGAACTGTTGACATCAAAAAAACATATCTACAAATTAATCAAAGCAATACCAAAATAATTCATGGACTTTAACAATTTTTAAAGATTTTTTTTCTTTTTCTTTGAAAACACATATAAATAGAGAGAAGCTGCAAAGAACCAAGAACATCACTATGGACAAGAAAATAAGTGACGGAATTCATTAATTGGCTTCTTATTATAAGTTATAGGGGTCATTGTCCATCAATGACTTTACCAATTTAAAAAATAAAATATTCTCCGAGTGGATATATACATAAACCTGGGCACTATCTTACTTGGTGCTGGAAAAAATGGTTGGCACTGCTGTAAATGATGTATTTCTTTTTTTGAAATTTGACGATTTAGACTGGAGGCTCTAGGTCAAATTTCATTAGGTTTCATATAGTCTTCATGTATAAGCGAAAAGTATACAACAGAATCTACCATACTTTATATTTGGGTTGCCCCCCCCCCCCCCCCTAGCAGTAGGATTCTTCCACCTATCAATTCTTTTTGTTTTATTTTGTGGAAAAGAAAATTCAAATTTTCAGATACCTCTAACAAGGCCGGGGGTGGGGGTCACATTCTCATATAGCTCTGACCCTCTCAGTCCAACGCTTTACCGTATTATTTGTCATATCAGTTGATCTTTGTTTTTTAAGATTAAGACTCCAGATGCTTATGTTTTATTTCGTGGAAAACGGGAGTGGTAAATACAAATTCTCCGCTAACTCTTACATAGATGTGATTTTATATGAGTAAAATTTGACCCTCACAGTAATAACCGAAGTCTTATAAGCGCAATATTATGTTGTATATATTAAAACACCACATAGATAAATATTTTCTTAAATATTGTTCATAAAAAAAAAGTCTAGTTTTTAATCATAAAAAAAAATCCAAACAAAACATGTAAAATATAGGCAAATCTGTATTCAAGTAAAAATATATAGCGAAGGGTAATTCTTTTTCTTTATGAATTTATGGAAAACTTTTTTTGTATATCATTTTGCCTCCGAACTTGCAAATGAAGAAGAAAAAATCCTGGGGATTTGTCCCTCATTCTTTTCCATAGAATTGCAGTTTCAATTCACATAATTCTGTAATGTTTTACGCATCGTTATTGTCTTTCAATTTAACATTTGTACTATATTCGAAGTCAACACCAAAAATCTTCAATTTTGCACAAGTACACGTCATCCTATCATTGTTTTATTTTGACTTTACGTTCTGTTTTTTTTAACTTAACATTTTACTGTTCAAGTCAAGACCAAACTTCTTCAAATTTACATCGTGTAGTTTCAAGTCAACACATTGTATGATAAGCCTCTCGTGATGTCATAGTGATATAACATCCTGCTATCTGAGCTCAACAACACGTACTTTCAACTGTACGTTGTGTAGTTTTGACTGAGCATATTGTATGGCAAGCCTATCGTGATATTATTATGATATAACATCGTGCTATCATAGCTCAACATCACATACTTTCAACTGTACGTTGTGTAGTTTAAAATGAGCATATTGTATGGTAAGCCTATCGTGACATTCAAATGATATAAAAACATGCTATTTTAGCTTAACATCATCTAGTTTCAACTGAAAATTATGTAGTTTTAAATGATCATATCGTGTGGTAAGCCTATCGTAACATTCTAATGATATAACAACGTACTATCTTAGCTTAACATCACGTACTTTCAGCTGTACGTGGTGTAATTTTAAATGAGAAAATTGTGTAATAAGCCTATCGTGACATTATAATGATATAACATCGTGCTGTCTTAGCTGAACAACACGTACTTTCAACTGTACGTCGTGTAGTTTTAAATGAGCATATTGTATGGCAAGCCTATCGTGATATTATTATGATATAAGATATTGCTATCATAGCTCAACATCACGTACTTTCAACTGTACGTCGTGTAGTTTTAAACGAGCATATCGTGTGGTAAGCCTATCGTGACATTCTAATGATATAACAACGTGCCATCTTAGCTTAATATTACGTACTTACAACTGTACGGTGTGTAGTTTTAAACGAGCAAATTGTATAATAAGCTTACTATGACATTATAATGATATAACATCGTGCTATCGTAGCTTAACATTACAAAATTTCAACTGTACGTCCTGTAGTTTCAAGTGAGCATCTTAGCTTAACACGTTGCATCGTGTTTTTTTAAGTCAACAAATTGTATGGTAAGCCTTTCGTTTCAATATAGTGGTGTAGCATCGTGTTATCTTAACTCTACATCATGTACTTTCAACTGTGCATCATGGTGTTTTAAATCAACAGATTGCACGATAGACCAATCGTAATATCACAATGATATAACATCGTACTATCTCAGCTCAACATTAATTAATAACAAGTCAGCACCATACATTTTAGCTATTCATTTTATTTGTTATCATAGCTGTCGATGTAGATGACTGAGCAGTATCCATCTGCAAGCTAACATCATGCAACGTCAACTTCACATCATGTACTTTAAACCCAACGTTACGTGTGTTTGGCATATCATCACAACATCGTGACTTATCATTATACTATCACGACTAAAGCACTTGTCATTGCAAGTCAACATTGCGCAGATTCAACTTAGCATATTGTAATTTAGAGTTAGCATTTTGATGACTCGATTCAACATCACGCTGTCTTAACTTTACATTTTAAGCTTCAGCATAACGTTTTGTAAATCTCTAATATATGACAGCTGAGGCTTTCCATAGTTTTTGAACAAATCTTGTACAAATGTTTTCACTGTAAAAAGTGCATGTATATATATATAAAAGTTTCGTTCTATTCTAGCCTGATGTCATTTTATGATTTTATTCTAAACTATATAGCTCTTGTATGCCTTTGGACAAAAGTAATTGAAATGTAATTAATTACATTGACAATGTAATTGTAATGTAATTAATTACATTTAAAAATCATTGTAATTGTGATGTAATTAATTACATTTAAAAAGCAATGCAATTGAAATGTATTTAATAACTTTGGCATGTAATTGACCCCAGGTCTGAATTGTTGTCATTAAAGATTGCTTTCATAGTTCAATAACAAACAGTAATGGGGTAACTCGAGAACAGTGTAAGTTACGCCACCCAAATTTGAACTTGATCTAACTTTTCTGTGTTTGGTGGTAATAAGCATTGTGTATAAGTTTCATAACATTTGGTTGTGGCAAAGAAGAGTTAGAGTGCGGAAACAACAAATTCACCAATTTTTCCATTTATAAAGGGACATAACTCAAGAAAGGTGAAAGTGACACCACCTATACACAAACTCGATCTGTGTTTCGCAGTAATAAGCATTGTAAATAAGTTTCAAAACATTTGGTTGAGGCAGAGTAAAGTAAGAGTGCAGAAACGGCTAATTCATTAATTTTTCCATCTATAAAGGGACATACATTTATTTTTGGCATTGCACAAGTCATGTCTTCTTTGACTGTCCATGACATTAAAATACTAAATCCTTGGGATGTGTTTTAGTTGATTTTAGTCTCTGATGCATGATTTTTTATTATTAATTGTTTTTGGCTTTTAACTAGCTGTCAGTAACTGCGAGTACTCTCAAATCGTACTTTCTTGTTTATTTGACCTGTTGATACTAATTGTAATGCTTTTTTGTTATTTATTGATTACTTTTTCAGGGTTATATCTGGTCTATATACCAGCTTTGATAAGTGTTTGGTATTACTATAAATTTTCACTTCTTCGTACTATAAACATGATAAACATCAAAATTATTTATTTTGTTAAAATATTTCCTTTCTCCATTTGAACTGTACACGTATACCTAACAACAAAATAATTTCATTTACCTGTGTTTAAAGTAATTGCAAATGGCTGATATTTTTGTTTTTCTTAAATTGTCTAACATTTCACAGCGATATAACATGTTACTTTAATTATTCTTCCCTTAGTTTATTTATTTTGTATTTACATTGTATCATAGATCAAATTAATTTGTTCACTGGTGTTAATATGTCTTTTGATTGAGTTAAGCCATTTCAATTGATATTTTATAGTGTTTTTTTTTTATGTTGTGATGTTACACTATTGTTTCAGATAAAGGTGAAGGTTTGGTACCATTAAAACGTTTAAACCCGCTGCAATTGTTTACACCTGTCCTAAGTCAGGAATCTGATGTTCAGTAGTTGTCGTTTGTTGATGTGGTTCATAAGTGTTTCTCATTCTCGTTTTTTATATAGATTAAACAGTTGGTTTTCCCGTTTGAATGGTTTTACACTAGTAATTTTTGGGGCCCTTTATAGCTTGCTGTCTGGTGTGAGCCAAGGCTCCGTGTTGAAGACCGTACTTTGACCTATAATGGTTTACTTTTATAAATTTTGACTTGGATGGAGAGTTGTCTCATTGGCACTCATACCACATCTTCTTATATCTACATAACTCTAAAACGGTGAAAGTGACACCCCCTAAACACAAACTTGATCTGTGTTTGGTTGTAATAATCATTGTAAATAAGTTTAAGGATATTTGGTTGTGGCAAAGTAAAGTAAGAAAATGGAAACCAATTTCTGTACATATGGAAGGATGGACAGATGAATGGACAGACAACAGACAAGGGTGAACCTTAATGCCTGCTTCACTCAGCAGGGGCATAAAAATCAGTTGGGGAAAGTACAAAACAGCTAAAACTTAGAGAAGCATTTTTATAAGGTATCACACAATTCCTTACATAGCAATAATGCTTATAAAATAAACATACTTAATGAGGAGAAACACAAACCGAGCATTATTTTGCAGGTTCTAAAACAATTAAAAAATGAAAATGTCAAATACTGCATTTACTTTATATTATATTAACAACAGAAAAATAAACTTACATTGAATACTGACACCATTAAGAGACTCCATTACAGTTTTACCCATGATATTTTCAGCATGACAGGTATAGTGACTTTTATGATCTAAACACGCCGCATGTTTTATAGTCAGAACTCCCTTAGTAGAACAATCGTACTGACATGTTGTTGTCTCATTGGTGTTGTAAGTATCTACAAATAAAATCACATATAAATCTGCTATTTGCTAGGTATTGGCCACTGTGACATGTTACTTAGCATTCTGTATTTTTCCTGTCAAAAAAAACTGGTATATCAAGAGCCTACGATAGAAAGGGAAGTAACTATTGCATGAATTGTAAACAAACTTAAGTAATGCTATATCTAGGGTCAATTGAGAAGTTGACCTCTAAATGCCTTTCAGTTAGTTTTTTTGTGTTGTATGTTTGCTGTCTTATTGAAGTATACACATCTTCCTTTATTTCTTTTGGTAAATGCGAGATTTTGGTTCCACTATCATTTTTTCATATCTTTATTATCTCCTAATCAGGGGCCACCTTGGCCGAAGTAGTCAAACTACTGTATCACTAGCCTGTCAACATTGTGGTTGTGCGCTCAACTCCAATCTTTATTTACTAGGATTAAGAGTTTTCCAACCGAAGATCAGTGGTTCTCTTCAGGTACTCCAACTTCCTCCACCAATAAAAACTGGCTGCCACCAAATAACACAATAGTACTGGAAGTGGTGTTAAACACCAATCAATCAATCTAAACATCAGTTTCATCTAATGGTGATCTTCTAGTCTTTGCTTTCATTCAATATAAAAATGTCAGAAGTATCAAATATGGGATACAAACCTGGAGGGATTACTTCCATATTATTTCTGTACCACGTAATATTAGCCTGAGGATAACTTTTAACATCACATGTGACTTGGATCTCACTGCCCTCACTATACCAGTTTATACTGTTCGGCTCTACCTGGTCAATACTGGGTGGATCTAGATTACAAATTCATATATAGGTAGTTAATGATTGTAGTTACAACCACATCTATTTCATTTTCAACTTAGGACAACAAAATTCAGCAGTCGTTATGCAAGTTTTCATTTTATTTAGACAGAAAACTTTTAAAAGAAGTAAGTTCACATTCTATATATGCTTGTCCCTAATCAGGAGACATTAATGCAGTGGTTGTGGTTGGTTGTTGTCTGTCATAATTATCTTTTTGGTTGTAAATCAGGCTGTTGGTTTTTTCGTTTGAATTGTTTCACATTTTGTCATGTAGTGGCTTGTTTAAGCCTGACGTTACAGTATGGGTTTGGCACATTGTTGAAGGTAGTTTGTTATCAATAATAGCTGAAATCAGGTTCATTTGGATTATGTTGGATAGTTGTCTATTGGCAATCATACCACATCTTCTTATTCTATATCATAAATATAACAGAGTAAGCAGAGTTTTTAAACAAAACTACAATTTTGCTTTAATTAATTAAGTTACAAATGCAAGTGACATCTTGAATTCATATGAGCTACTATTTTGTTTATCATTGTCTAGTTTTAAAATACCAATACTGTGCATTCTTTATCATTTGTGGGATATCAATTTTCGTTGATTTCATGGGTACAGATGAAACATGAATCTAAATGTTCAAATAAATACAAATTTTCTATACTCTATATATGCCTGTCCCAAGTCAGGAGCCTTTAGTTCAGTGGTTGTCGTTGGTTTCGTGTCTGTCATATTTGTTTTTCGTAAATTGTTTTCTTATAAACTATAAGGTATGGGACACTCATTGTTGATGGCCGTACAGTAACCTATAGCTTCATACATCCACGACCTAATCCACAAACAATTGATACCCATGAAAATAAATGAATCAACAGCATAAAAAATACTTACATCTGATAAACATTGTAAATGTGGTATGAGCTGTGTACTTTATTCTGAAGACATTGTTCTCGGCTTTACATTTAATCTCACCAATATGCCAGTAACTACTGGCATTGCCCAAGTTTAGCTCTGAACCGCTCTTGATCATACCACTGGTAAAGTACCAGGTGTACTGACACTCTGGGTTACAGTCAGCAATACATCTAATTACAGGGACGTGGGTACCAGTATCCAGTTCTAAGGATGTTACATTAGGACTCAGTCGTATTGATGAACCTGGACCATCTAAAATATATAATATATAATTTTTCATCTAATCAATGTAAATTACATTTATAATAAAGTATCAAGACAAACTCATTTTTCATATGCAAATTGGGAATGGATTCGGTATTTCCCAATAGATATAAGTGAACATGTTTTCCCACACTACAAATCTGAGTGGTAAATATTTTTTTTGACAGGAAAATCAGAAAAATATATTGAAACATTCCACTTTTCATTTTTGCCACAGAAACAATAAATACAATACTGTTTTTATCACATGACTAAGACATTGTGAAGAGTTTAGATAATTACAGATTTAAGAGTGGACATTCTTTTAATTCTGAGGATTAGTAGTCTAATGAAGGCTGCTTAATTTCAAATGTTAAATATTTCAGGCATATCAAGGATGTGAATATAAAGTTCAACAATGAATAAAATTTATCCCAAAGCAGAGGAGGAATAGATATTTTTTTATATTGTTAAACAGTCTTTGCATTTTTTGGTATAAAAAGTAACAATGCAAGTACGTGCCATTAAAACAGCAATGAAATGTCACAAAGGTGTGGGGTCGTTTTCTCAAGATGCTGAGAACATTTTCTTACGAAATTTGCAAAAAATTTTACAAACTCACAGAGAAGTCAACTTGAATCATCAAAGTAGAAAGAAAACTTTTTTTTATACTATTTATAATTTAAAAAAAATTGTAAACTGAGAAATATAAAGATTTTTTTTTTATTTACAACAACAACAAAGGGTTGGTAAAAATTAAATAAAAATATCATAGTTTGATCAAAATTAATTTCTTTTTCTAATAAATCCTGTTTTTTCTGAAGGTAAGGCGAGCTAAAAGTCATTATTTCAATACAAGTTATTTTTGGAAATTCAATCCATTTCAGACAGAGGAACAGAGCTGCTACACATAACCAAATACTATTTACTGTGAATTCATTTATTTTTGTGGGTACTAATATAATTTCGTGCATTGAGGAAAAATTGTGCATGTTAGATTTTGTGGTTTTGCCAAAGTACGCTGACAAGCCTATAGAAAATTTATACTTTGTTGATTATTCAAAACATGGTTTTCCTATACCCATGAAACAATGAAATTAGCACCCCACCAGTAATTTTGAATACACAGTACTTTGTTATTTTCTCAGCATGGGTCTTAGATGGGGCAGCTTATTCCTTGTCATGGTCATACTCTGTGCTTAAAAGTCATGTACTATCTAGTAAAGACAGTGAAATGTTTCTGTGAGGTAAATTTCAGTGAAAAAGGCCTACCATGAACATATAAAATATTAGCCACATTGGATAAAGTCCCACTATATCAAATATTTTATACATCAAGACTGTGGCGTAGAAATGTCAATTAACATTTTACATGATTTATATTTTAATGCATTCACTAAATCTGTTGTACTGGTGTTTGTAAATGATCTACAGTAAATAACACTTAACTAAAAGGAAGTTAATCACTCTAAATGAAGTTTTTTGCAATAGACCATAATCAAGCATACAATTGGTGCAATTAGGGGGAAAAATTAACAGTTTTATGTTTTCTATACACAACAAAATCATTGGGTAACAGTTAATTTTTCCCAAAATTACACCGATTGTAAGTGTGATTTAACTTCTGTTCATTGATCTTACTTGACAGTGTACCAGAATGTCATACCAGAGAGTTGGTAACCTGTCGAGAAATTATATACTCCTGAGTCAAAAGTCGGTAATATGATAATAGTCTATTGAATCCTGGCTCATCAATTACTTACATTGAACATCTACTTTAAAAGTCTCATTTGACATAACTTCTGTTATCCCACTTTCATATTTTCTGTAACTAGCTGCAAAACAAATGTATGCTCCACCCTGTTCCCTGCTAACCAATGTCAGAACCAGCATGTTACCATTGTAACGTGTAGAGTTATCTCCCTCTTTTTCCCACCAGACTGTGGCAGGTGGATTTGATTCCACACGGCATTCAACGGTTATGTTTCCACCCTCTTCCACATAATTCCTGAATCCGTTAGATATATGAGGACCATCTGAAACCATTCAAAAATCTATTATCAGTTATACCATGTATACCATCAATAAAGGAGATATGGCAAAGTCCATGTTTTTCTGGGAAAATCCCCAAAACATTTTGTAATTGAAAAATAGAACAGAAGATGCACAATAACATTTTGTAAGAAAGATTCTATAAAAGTTTCATCAAATCATGTCTTTTCTTGAGGAGATGTTGTAGATACATGATGTCTTCCTCTTTTGTAGATATGACATAATTCATTTTTTTGCTATGGGGAAACCCAAAATCATTTTGATAAAAAAATAATGAGAGGTGGACATGCCATTACATACTTTATTTTCTCTTTTAGCCATGGCGTTGTGAGTTTATTTTTGACTTAGTAGTTTGAATGTCCCTTTGGTATCTTTCACCTCTCCTTTAAGATTTCGTGAAAATGTAGTATTTACAAATGTATGACATTATCAGTTCAATCTGTTTACATTTATCAGCAGTAGCTTCTATAAAGTTTATCAAGGACATATATACGACCTTGAGTATATGTAACACCAGATCCTGTGACATGAGTAATGAATTTATTTAAGATTCCAACTACCTGCAATTCTACATTATGCTTATAGTTAGTTTGTTTTAAACTATGTTAAGAACGAATTTGTATGTTTTATTTCAAAGGTGACATGTGCCCATACTCTGCAGAAAATTTCATTGAAATCTGTTTTTCGCTAAGTTGGAGTTACAGAAGTAAAGTGAAGATGGTGGAAGAAAAATGTAAGAACAGACACTATTATCAAAACATTCCCATTTCAGAAGGGCTATAAAAAGATGGTCTCAACTACTTCACTTCCAGTTGAGAATTATGTTAAAGTTTGTATGGATTGTTTTAAGCAATTCAAAGACAGTTAAGAATAAGATATGTACTCATCTCTTAGGAACCATTCAAAATTTCCTGTTTTATAAATTGGAAATCCCATAATAACAAATAATTATCAAGAAATTATATCAGTCCTCCATAGACTTCAGAATATGATGTTTAAGTTTGATTGGTTTCCATTGATAAGTTTCCGAACAGAATCTGATGTCTAAGTTTTATTGGTTTCTATTGATTAATTACAGAAGATTTACCAATAAGATAATGACTGTGGTTGAAGAGAACACACACCATTGTAAGACAATGTTTAGTTATTCACTTGTATCACCTAAGCTACAACACAAGAAACTGTTGAATATGATATAAATACATTCCAGTAGGACTCTGAAGCATCAAACGATTATACTTTGAAATATTTTTTTGGAAAATAGGTAAAAATTTGTGCATGTACCTACATTGAACATCAAGCCTTATATCGATGTAAGCAGTCCCAGCAGAGTTAGCTGATGAACATGTAAATAGGTCTCTGTCATGATGAATTTGGATGTCTGTTATGATCAAAGATGCTGTAGTGGATCCTGGAAATGCAAAAAATGATTATAATGGTAAAAAGTACATATCTATGCAAAGATTGACAGTTACCTTACCTCCTATGCATTTCTAGGAATATGATTGGTTAAAAGCGACCCTGTGGAGACTGTGTATATTTAACATGGGGTTAGTGGGCATGATTTATTTTAATATTGGGTTTATAGCAGTGTTATGTCCCTTTGTAAAAACAACATTAAGTTGAAGAAAAATCTGCAATGTTTCGCCCAAACAACAGATGGGAGATTGATGATAAACGACTGAAAATAAATGCAGAAAACACATTAATGCTAACAAGCAGTTATTGTTGGCATTTGTTTTTGTATAGACAAGTGGAAGTAGGTTTACTGACCCCATATATATCGTATTAGGTCACTAGCACACTGTGTAGCTTATATTATTCCTATTTAAAAACAAATATAACGAACACTGATCATATCTTTCTACATTATTTATATAAGATATGATCATTGTTCTTTGTATTATTATAACTAAATGATTTGGTATGTGTGTAGTATTATAGTTCATTACTGTAAATTCAAAAATTATTGCGTGCATTTATTATTGCGATTTTGTCTTTTTAGACTAAAATGCGATTTTAATTTTTGCGATGATTGAGAAAAATCTTGTTAAATTCATATCAAAAATTTCAAAATGCGAGTTCAAATTATTGCGATTATAACCCTGTCGCATTTTTCGCAATAATAAAAACATCGCAATAATTTCTGAATTTACAGTATATAAATATTATGTACATGTATAGTAAATGGCCCTTTTTAAGGGTGAACACACATAAGTGCCCTTTTTTATAAGGACACACACCATTGAACTTGCTTAAGTGCCCTCTATTTTCAAATCATAGCTGGACACTGAATTAAACAAATTCATCAAACTATTATTTGTCCTAGTGAATTTGGTCCATATATTGAGTTTTTTATTCAAAATAAAGGAATAGAAAAAAATGCATATGATGTAGTGCTACACATACCCACACTCCTAATATAAAGTATTAAGTAAGAGGAAGTAAGTGTCTGACAGATCTTCAAAAAAAAAAAGTAAAATCACAAAAATACTGAACTCCGAGGAAAATTCAATCGGAAAGTCCCTAATCACATGGCAAAATCAAATGACAAAACACATCAAACGAATGGACAACAACTGTCATATTCCTGACTTGGTACAGGCATTTTCAAATGTAGAAAATGGTGGATTGAACCTGGTTTTATAGCGCTAAACCTCTCACTTGTACGACAGTCTTATCAAAATGCTCATACTTTGCAACTCATCACTGATAAGCTGCTAACTAAATATGAAGTCATTCTGTTAAGTAATACTTGATAAAAGTGTGACACAAAATTTTAAGTTCATTCAACATATTAGAAAATTTAAAGTATCAGCAAACAGGAAGTAGCAGGTGTTTGACAGATCACAAAGGTGCTCACACTTTACAACTCATCGCTACCAAGCTGCTGACCAAATATAAAGTCACTCTGTTTATCAGTACCTGAGAAAAGTGTTCTTTAAAAATATATGTAGGACTCTGAACCGTGATGGTACCCCAAACCATGATGGTCATGCTAATGTGCAATGGTTTGACCCTGAAGTGCACTTTTGATCACGCCAAAGTGCGATGGTGGTTACGCTGAAGTGTGATGGATTACATAAACCATATTTTCAATGATTTGCATGTTCACATGTCAATGAATAAGTCTATTTATTTGTTAAAAAGTAGCTTTTCGTTTTTTTTTATATTTAAACATGGAGAGTATAATCCGTTTTATTTAAAACAGTCATGATAAATAATCATTGCATTTCCAGCCCTCACTGTAACGCTGAAGTGTAGTATACACTGTACTTTGCATATATACTAGTAGCTTAGACGAAAATAAGCAGTCCTTCATACAATTGTTAAAAAATTTACAATACATACAAAAGCTATTTTCCTTTAAAACCAGTACTAATTGCAAATACTTCTTGGTTAGTCAGAACAAAACAAAATAAGCGAAAAATATATACGACTGAAATGAATGAGAACAAGGAATAAGATAGATCACCTATGTTTTTTACTGCAACTGGAGAAAATATTGAATATTTGGTATTTATATATTAAACATTAATTGTTGGTATTCATCTATGAGATATGTCCTTCAATCACTTGATATACAAAATTTGAATACAAAGCTCAATAGATTAATTAAATTTGTAAAATGTAAACTTTGTAACAGTTTTAAAACATTTTGGGGGGTCAAAAGATCTGATACCTTATCACAAGGTAATAGTAAATTAGAAAATTATTTCAACCTCAAGACTGACTTCGTAAAGGAGGCTTATTTATCAATTAAAGATTTTAATATAAGAAGAGCTATATGTAAATTGAGAATAAGTGCACATGATCTTAAAATTGAGAAAGATAGGTATAGTAAAAAATACATAGAGAGAAGTCAGCGTCTATGTCATCACTGCCTATCACATGGATCAAATTCTATTGAAGATGAGACCCATTTCACAGTAAGTTGTCCTTTATATAACGAACAGAGAAAATTATTATGGGATAAAGTAAACAGTTTTTGTAATAATTTTAAAGAATTACCCAAGGATAAAAAATATTTCTGGCTGTTCACAAATGAGCATTTACCAACTCTTATGTGCCTAGGCAATTATATAATTAAGTGTTTAGAAATAAGATCCAGGTGGATACAAAATATATAAAATTATTATGCAATTATTGTTAATGTTATGTAAGACACATGATGTGTTAGGCTCTGATCCTGTCCAATATATGATAGTATTATATTAGGATATAGTTTTTCTTTTTTCCAATCATATTGTGCTTAATATTGTTGTAAATGATGCCCTTTATGGGTTCTTGATTAGATTAATAAAATTCTTATCTTATCTTATCTTATTAACTTATAAAAAATTCATGCTCTCATAATAAATGGACATCTGTTGATGTTAACCTAGCATCACTAGTCTTCTAGACCATCACACATCAGCAAAAGGACCATCGCACTTCAGCGCAAACCATTGCACTTGAGTGTCCCCATCGCACCTCTGTGTCCTACATATATACTGAAGGACAGACGAACAGATCGATACATTGAGCCAGATTTTTAATATGCTAGTTCTGAAATAAGAGTCTGCAGGAGAGTATGTTACCCTGGCTGTAAACATTATTCTGACTCTGAGCGACCAGATTTTTTATCTTACTCCTAAGGGCTGAGTGTTGAGCACAGAAGAAGACAATACCAATTTTCAAGTCTTTGGTTTGACTATGGATCAAACCCTTGCTCTCTAGCACTCAAGGCAAGCATGCTACCACAAGACAAAAGAGGATTTTAAAACTCAAATAAATATTACCTAATGAAAGAATAATGACCTTTCAATCAATTCAACATCATTTAATACTACAATCATGGTTATAAATTTTCCTAGTACAATAAGTAGCATAATGTTTTTTTTCTTGAAAGAATAGGTTACCAAACAATAACATAAATATATTTATATTTGTATCACCTTTCTAATGAATCTTTACAATAACAATATAATGTTTAGAAATGTTAAGCAACAATTTCATAATAGCAATGGAGTGGAATTAAAGTCTTATAAGATGGTAAGTATGGTTTATTTTATTACCTTGCACTTTGATGACTTGACAGCAGTTGGTTAAAATTTCTGACCAGTTGAACAGTCTGGTTTGATAAAACAAATTGCAATTTGGTCAGAATTTTAAATGAACTGCTATAGGTGTAGACTAACACTTACAGTTAAGTCACAGTTAACAAATGAAATAAACTAACACTAAAAGAAAAAAAATTATATCCCTTATTGGCTTTAGTTTTATCCCTTTACTAATATGAGACCTCAGCTTGAGCCTCAGCCTGATATGGGAGTCTTGGAAAGATACAAGGACTGATATGGAAATGGACATGTTATTTATAGATTATTACCCTATTTCATTGATGTCTCATATTCATCTATCCCCTATTCCTAAGTTATCAAACTATTGCCACAGGTTTATCCAATATTAGCTCACACATCAAAATATGTAATGAAGTTACCTGAGGTTCCAGGACTACTAAAGGTAACTGTTGTCGCTGGATTAGCTCCTAACAATTCACATGTCAGATTCAGTGTTTCTCCTTCATTAATGATATAGTGTCCTGTTACATTATCTATCAACTGGTGCCCTGTAATCTCTAACTCTGGTTTGTCTAAAAACACAAAGTTGGTCAAATTTCAGTTTAGGAATAAAGGTAATAAAATCAAACATAAGATGGTTAACTTAAGACTCAGAGGGGCCTCCCTCATTTGGAGAACCTTCACCAGCCTTAAAAGTAAAGCAATCTGAAGAATCATTATGACCAAGTTTTAAAATCATCAAGGCTTTTAATTAAGCAGAGAACTTTTCAAGTATTTCAAAATAAGGACATAAAAAAACTGGTCCACCACAGGCATGACAGGAACTTCAATGTCATGTTTCATATCAATTCGTTCATTGGTTCTTAAGAATTTAAGACCTCTGAAAATTGGATCAATGAACCCAAATTTTGACCCCTTGAAGCAATATTGGACTTATTATCATGACAAAAGTACCATCACTTCTAAGTACCTTCTAAAGAACCTATAGGCATGTATTATTTTTATTCAACTTTATCTGTTCACGAAAAGAAATTCAAAACGCAATTACTATAAGCTTTCAATGGTACTAAGTTTGTGCTTACAAAACTTTAGTCATACATAAAATCTAAGTGGTATTATTGGTAACCATGTAACATTTTCCGCTGTGTATACCCCTCCCCAACAAAAAAAATCGGGGGAAAATGTCTAGTTGACTGTAAAAAGCCTTTGATAAGGAATATACTTACAAAATATATCTGATATAGTCTTTGTAACTGTGACAGAATTATTATTTGTACCCAGAACAACACACTTTATAACTGTACCCTTGTGATATCTACTGAATTTGATCTCCCATTCTTGGGAAGAACTAAAGTATTTCTGAAAAAGATGAAAAGATGTGAAACTAGTTTTAACATGGACATGATGGACCCTGTAATTGCAAAAATTATCAAATTCTTCAATTCTTTCAAATATATGTTAATTTCATTGATAATTAAGTCGGTAGATTATAATCTGGATACCAAAGCACAAAAATGTCAGTTGTGATGTCATAAAAATGTGGAAATGATAAATTTGACCTAAATCAACCATATTAAACATATTTTTTTGGCAAAATTACTTATAAGCCAAATCTCATATATTTTACCCACATTAACATCTTTCTTTAAGACAACTCATGTAACAATCATTCTTTTCTAGTAAGGCTGTGGCTCAGTACTACAAATATAATAAGTGATCTCAAAATGAGAATAGTTTTGTCATTTTGCAATAAAGTTCTGAAGTCATTTAGTAAACAAATAAATGGGGAATGTGTCCATGGGACACAGATGATGCCCCCACTTGCATATCATAGAAAGTTATAAAGGGACATAACTGAAGAACGGTAAAAGTGACACTACCCAAATTTGTTATTGATCTGAGTTTTGTGGTAATAAGCATTGTGTATAAGTTTCATAACATTTGGTTGAGGCAAACTTAAGTTAGAGAACGGAAATGTAAAATTCAGCAATTTTTCCATTTGTAAAGGAGCATAACTCTAGAACGGTTACAGTGACACCACCAAAATTCAAACTTGATCTGTATAATGTGGTAATAAGCATTGTGTATAAGATTCATAACATTTGGTTGAGGCAAACTAAAGTTAGAGAACGGAAACGAAAAATTCAGCAATTTTTCCATTTGTAAAGGGGCATAACTCTACAACGGTTTAAGTGACGCCACCAAAATTCAAACTTGATCTGTGTTTTGTGGTAATAAGCATTGTGTATTAGTTTCATAACATTTGGTAGAGGCAAACTAAAGTTAGAGAACGGAAACCAACTTTGGGACGGACGTAATGACGTGCGTACAGACAGACAAGGGTAAAACTTAATGCCTCCTGGGCAGGGGCATAGAAATTCAAAAATATAGATATGCATATCTGACAAACTTTTTTCTATTGAAACAACACTTTTTGAACTCTGATATCAAGGAACAATCAAAAGTGGTTTTATCACACCTTCCTGTTTAATCAGTACTCTTGTTTAGTAGTCCATTTTTATCGAAAAGCTTATTAATAACCTAAATGTAATAAAATGCTTCGCTGAGCACAGCTGGATACGACCGCAGAGGTCCAACCCTGAACAGTTGGGGCAAAAATGGACACAATATTCGTGCTTGATACAGGTCTGAATTTGGATTATAATTAAATATTTGACACATAATAGGTTTCTGACACCGAATAACTGTTGTCAAAGATCTTAGAATTGGTTATATGATTTGAATTCATATTCAATTTTTTGCTTTTGTGCAATACACTATGCTGTTGCGAAATTGACCCCCCCTCCCCCAAAAAAAAACTTTACCCCCCTTTTTTTTGCTTTTGTGAAATACACTATGCTGTTGCGTATTGACCCCCTCCCCCCTCCCCCCCCCCCCCCCCCAAAAAAAAAAAACAAAAATTTTTGTTACCCCCACCCTTTTCTTGCAAAAAGAAATATTTGAAGAAATTTTCTTTTTAATTTCTGAAATCTGAAATGAAAAAAATTGCCCCCACAACTTCTTTTTTACCCCCTTCCCCCTAATTTTTTTTCACCTCCCCCCCCCCCCCCTTTTTCCAAAAAAAATTTCTTTCCCTCAAGATATAGTCATAATCTCAATTCAAATTTCCAATGGAGTTTGCAATCATAATTACCAATTTAAATACATCATAAAAGTCTTAAAATAGAAAAAAAAATTCCTCCCCCCATATTTTTTTAACCCCCTTATGATTCATCACCCCCAAACTCAATCCTAGCCTTCCCTTTGTGGTATGGTACCTTGTAGTACAATTTCAGAGAGATCCATACACTTGAACACAAGTTATTGTCTGGAAACTAGAAAAATGCTTGTTTTTTGGCCCCTTTTTGGCCCCAAATTCCTAAACATTTAGAGCAATTACCCCCAAACTCAGACCCAGCTTTCCCTTTGTGATATGGAACCTTGTAGTACAATTTCATAAAGATGCATACACTTACACACAAGTTATTGTCCTGAAACTAGAAAAATGCTTCTTTTTGGCCCCTTTTTGGCCCCTAATTCCTAAAATTTTGAGGCAATTACGGTGAATTACCCCCAAAATCCATCACAGCCTTCCCTTTGTGGTATGGTACCTTGCAGTACAATTTCAGAGAGATCCATACACTTGAACACAAGTTATTGTCTGGAAACTAGAAAAAAATTTTATTTTTGGCCCGTTTTGGCCCCTTATTCTTAAACGTTTTGAGCAATTACCCCCAAACTCAATTCCAGCTTTCCCTTTGTGATATGGAACCTTGTAGAACAATTTTAGAAAGATCCATACACTTACAGTAGAAAAATGCTTGTTTTTTGCCCCTTTTTTGGCCCCTAATTCCTAAAAATTTTGAGGCAATTACCCCCAAAATCAATCCCAGCATTCCCTTTGTGATATGAAACCTTGTGGTACAATGTCAGAGAGATCCATACACTAACACACAAGTTATGTCTGGAAGTTACAAAAATGCTTATTTTTTACCCCTTTTTGGCCCCTAATTCCTTAACTGTTTGTACCATAACCCCCAAAATCAATCCCAACCTTCCTTTTGTGGTATTGAACCTTATGGTGAAATTTCATAGAGATCCATTCACTTAAACTAAAGTTAGAGTGTGAAAACCAATGTGTCTTCAAACAACAACGCCAATGTCATACCAATATACGACCGCAAAAAATTGGTCAGAACCATCATAAATTGGCAATAACTCCAAAAAAAGGGTCATCAGACGATTTAAACTATTAAACATTTGTAGATCTTGTCTTGCTGATCTTTTTTGCCTTATAATTTAAGTTTCTATCTATCTATTATACTTTTTCAGATAATAGGCAAAAATGCAAAAAAATAGAAAAATAGTCTTTAAAGGGCAAGAACTTATCTTGATGATCATTTTTGCTATACAAAGTTATCTCTATCTATTATATTTTTCAAGATAGTAGACAAAATTTTAAAAAGTTGGGAAAATTTGTCATTTAAGGGCAATAACTCCTATAAAAATTTGTCTGACAGTTTGGAAGTAAATGGACAATATGTAGATCTCATCATTCCAAACATTTTTGCCCTTAATATTTTTCTCTTTTTAAAAGATAATAGACAAAACTTGCATTTTAGCCATGTCAGCCATCTTGGTTGTAAGGCGGGGTCATCAGACACATTTTTTAATGATGATTGTGGCCACGTTTGATTAAATTTGGATCAGTAGGGTAGTTTCAGAGAAGAAGATTTTTGTAAAAGTTAACAACGAAGACGGACAAGGAAGGACGACGGACGGATGACGGACGGACGACGGACCCCAAGTGATGAGAAAAACTCACTTGGCCCCAACTAAGCCAATAATAGGCAAAAATGAAAAAAAAAATGGTAAAATTCGTCATTTAAGGGCAATTTTTTTTAAACAATATACCCCAAGAATGATTGTGGCCAAGTAGATTCAGAGGAAAAGATTTTTGTAAGATATTAAGCAAAAACACAAAAAATTGGTAAAATTCATTACAGGGCAATAACTCTAATAAGGAGTCATCTGAGGATTTCAGACATATTGACTTATTTGTAGATCTTGTCTTGCTGATCATTTTTCCAAACTAAAGTTTCTCTATATCTATTATAGTTTTCAAAATAATAGTCAATTTTGAAAAAAATGGTAAAATTTGACATTTAAGGGCAATAACTCCAATAAGAAGTCGTCTGACAGTTTTAAAGTAAATGAACAGCAGGTAGATCTCAACATTTTGAACATTTCTGCCTTATTCAGATTTTCTCTATTCATAGTGGTTTTCAAGATAATAGTCAAAACTTGTATTTTATCCCTATGTTCTGTTTTTAGCCATTTCAGCCATATTGGTTGGCAGGCGGGGTCATTGGACACATTGTTAAAACTAGATACCTTTATAATGATTATTGCTAAGTTTGGTTAAATTTGGCTTAGTTGTTTCAGAGGAAAAGATTTTTGTAAAAGTTAACAACGACGGACAATGATGACGACGGACGATAGAGGGCAAGTGATGAGAAAAGTTCACTTGGCCTTTCGGATAGGTGAGCTAAAATTTAATGTTGATCAATGAACAATGAAAATGATGTCAAGGCAAGATCAACCTTGTTTGTTTGATGGACATATTTACCAACCAAAAAAATACTTTGTATCAAAGTTTTTTTTGGTGCTGTTTTCAAGTAAAAAGGTCAAAAGATAAATATATGAAATCTATGAAGAAATAAGGGAACTTTCAAAAAATTAAATATGAAGAATGAGTGATTACAACAATATCATTACCCCTTTATAAAAGCTGTTTTGTGTATAATGTTCTATAACATCTGGTGGCTGTGGTGGAAAAATTTCGACTGAGCCATTAAACCAATGAATCGTTGCATTGGGGTTAGTGTATCCTGTGCTGCATTTATAGGTTTCCATATATCCTTCATTTCCAGAAGTACGTCCAGTCAGATAAACTTGGTCAATGTCAGGACCATCTGTAATAAAAGATTATCTCCCCTAATCAGACAAACTTGACTTATTAAATGTCAGGACCATTTGCAATACAAGATTATCTCCCCTAATCAGACAAACTTGACTAATGTCAGGACCATCTGCAATAAAGATTATCTCCCCTAATCAGATAAACTGGACTAATGTAAGGACCATCTGCAATACAAGATTATACAAGTAATCAGACAAACTTGATGCATGTAAAGACCATCTGCAATACAAGATTATACAAGTAATCAGACAAACTTGACTAATGTCAGGACCATCTGCAATAAAAGATTATCTCCCCTAATCAGATAAACTGGACTAATGTAAGGACCATCTGCAATACAAGATTATACAAGTAATCAGACAAACTTGACTAATGTCAGGACCATCTGCAATAAAAGATTATCTCCCCTAATCAGACAAACTTGACACATGTCAGGACCATCTGCAATAAAAGATTATCTCCCCTAATCAGACAAACTTGACTAATGTCAGGACCATCTGCAATAAAAGATTATCTCCCCTAATCAGACAAACTTGACTAATGTCAGGACCATCTGCAATAAAAGATTATCTCCCCTAATCAGATAAACTTGACTAATGTCAGGACCATCTGCAATAAAAGATTATCTCCCCTAATCAGACAAACTTGACTAATGTCAGGACCATCTGCAATAAAAGATTATCTCCCCTAATCAGATAAACTTGACTAATGTGACTAATGTCAGGACCATCAAATTTTATCTCTTTCTATTAGATGATGTTGATCAAAGTTATCAATGAAGATAAAAGAACAGAGTTCCACTGCTCCCTGTGTTGCACATATTTTATCTGTCTATGGGCAATAACTAAAAAAACAACTTTATTTCTTTCTTTAAAACTTTTTATAAATATCTTAGAGAAATGAAGGCTTGAGAGAAAATCCAATGCAATTTGCGATATAATTAATATTTCCAAGGGCATAACTCTTTCAAAAACAATTGAACAGCACTGACTTTTGAACTTGTTGGAGAGATGTTGATATAAACTTATGATATATGTTTCATAAAAAAATGGCAAGAAGTGCATATATATCAGTCAGGGGACTTATTGAAATAAGTGATTTTTAAATCACTTAATTAAGTAGCAAATTCGAAGTTTTGTTACAAATTGTGATTTTATAGTTTTACCAAAATTTTAAACACATAGGTTTAGATAATATCTTTTCATTAGTAAAATTGAAAAAAATGAACTTTTTGCTTCTTTTTAGCAGCAAGGTTTATGCCTTTGATGCAATCATTTAGCTGCAAATTCTATTTTAGTTGAAAAAATGCTATAAAATGGCTTTACATAATGAACTGATACTTTCTTAACAGATTTTTCCCAGCAGTGGGAGTATTTTTCCTGTAAAATTCAAGGTTTCATCTTATAGATTATGTAATAAAATTCTACTGTTCGCCATCAAAATTTCACTGTTCGGGGGTGTTGAAATTAGTGGGGGTTATTAAAATAATGATACTTAAAGAAGTGATTTTTTGGAAGGAAATTGAGGTATGATAATTAAACAAGTGATTTTTATGTCATTATCCTAGTTTTAGAACAAGGTCATCACCTGACATGACCCGGTCATCCTATCAACACAGATGTTGGTTCTGATAATTTTAGCAACATAATTAGTCCCTGGATCATAAGTATTCTAAATTTAAAGCTACAATAAAATTAAATCACTTAGTCTAGTGATTAATTTGTACTACTTAAATAGGTGATTATTAAAGAAAGACAACTCTTACTTCCAACCTTTATGGACATATAATGTTACTTGAATCAGTGATTTAGAAAATCACTCATTTAAGTAAGTCCCCTGACTTGCAAGCACTCACAATGCAATTTTCCATATCATTAATATTTCCATGCAGAATAACTCTTTTAAAAATAATTGATCAGCACTGATTTTCGAACCTGTCCGGGACATTGTTGATATAAACCTTTGATTCAAATTTCATAAAAATCTGGCAAGAATTGTACACATGACAGTGCTAAAGATGCAATTTTCCATATAATTAATGTTTCCAAGGGGCATAACCAGGGGTCGAAATTAGCGCTGGTCTGGTCGTCAGAAACCAGTAGATTTTGTCAGCTGGTGGTCCGACGGACCAGTAGAAATTTGTAGACAAAAATCACTGATTGCATCGCAATCTCAGTTTGTTTACAAAAAAATAAACATCTATTATTTATATTAGTGTTTGTCAAATGAATGTCATTTTTGCAGGACCAGTAGATTTGGAGCCGGACCAGTAGATTTTTCAGTCCACTGGTCCGTCTGGCCAGTACACAAAAAAGCTTAAATTCGACCCCTGGGCTTTTAAAAATAATTGATTGGCACTGATTTTCAAACTGGTCAAAGACATTGCTGATATAAATCTATGATATAAATTTAATAAAACTCTGGCAAGAATTGTACATGTGAGAATGCTAACAAGACCAAACGGACACCGGGTATTTCTATGTCCCCCGCAATGCGTCATGTGGGGGACAAAAATAAATTTAGGCAGATCAAATTGGCATGTTGATTTTGTTAAAATATGTGCATAAAAGAAATGTTTGGCCAATCTACATGTGTATGTGTTTGTCAGTGTCCAAATTCCAGAACCTTGTCTATAATTGTCTTTTGTTATATTTCTTTTTTTTTGCTATTTTGAGAAATGTCTTGATGGTGTAACTTTATTACAGTATTTTTTGTTGCATTTGTGTACAATTAAGTAATTATAAACAGATGGAGGTTTAGAACTTGTCATATTATATGGACATTCGTCATGATTTGGTTGACTGGTATGGTATATCTGTGTCACAGATGACCATCTGTGATCAGCTGACCATGGGTGTTCCTATTTTCAAAGCCATAGTCCTGTCCGATTTTCCTCAATTGTGAAACATTTTCACGAAGATGTTTTGAAAATTATGACATCAACACAGAGGACAGTGCATACCTTGTTGAAAATGACACAGATTTGAGGAAAGAAAGGACATAGATTATGAAAATAAAACTATTACTGTACTAACAGTAACAGAACAGAGAAACTATTAACACTATCCTAATTTCTTTTTTCATTACAATATTATATTTAAACTGTACTTACAATGTACATAAAAATTTCCACTGTTCTTAAAGCCGATAAATGATAAATTTGTCATTACTACATAACAAACAACAGGCATACCATTATTCCCTCTATCTATCTGTCTAGTAAAAGTAATAGATGCTGTATATGTGTCTGTTATATTGTCATACAGAACTATTAATGTTTCATTTACAACTGTTGTATAAATCCATATGGCCATCCAATCTGGCGCTGGACGACTTCCTGTTGAAGTACATGTGATAGTAACATTATCATTTTCCTCAACTGTACCCACTCCTTCTAATCTGATGTCAGTTGGTTTTACTGAAAGGATACAAAACATAATAATAAGGAGATGCATGATAATAACATTGGAAACTCCAGAAATAGTCAGTATGAGTGTCCATATGAGAAAAAGATAATTTTTTCTAACCAACACATTAAAATAAATGTTTTGATTAAGTTTTATTATACATTATCCATAGATTGGCGGAACCTTTTTCTGTACGCCAGGATTGGGTCTTTATCTTTGTGTGAATTTTGGATTTACACTTATCAGGACTCAGGAATTAATGATTCATTTTTTCAGGATCAGGGAAAGACTGCTTTATTCTTTAAGGAATTAGGGGTTCAGCATTTATTTTTCAAAGAATTTGGGACGACACCCCCTCCCACCAACCCTCTCAATAGTTTGAAAAATCAAACCATTATCTAAAGTACACTTTTTTCATGTCAGGGCCTTTTATAGCTGTCTATTCTGTATGGGTTATGTTTATTGTAGTACGGTCACCTAATAAGGCTAAAGTTGCTTACATCCACATCATTTTGACTATCGTGGATAGTTGTCTCGTTGGCAATCATACCACATCTCCTTATTCCTTTCCTAAACTTTTATTGGTTTAAGCTTTGTTCCAATAAAACAAGTGAAACTCAAGATTTCATCCAGAAAACATTTGTTTTAAAAAAATCTGTATTTAGTAACAGCAACCTTGAATTTTGACCTATTGACCCCAAAAAATCAATATTCTTTTTCTCCTCTCTTATATCCTCTATCTGTATAAATCCAGAAAGCATTTGAGAAGAACACAAAGATAGATAAAAGGATCAATACATTCCTTTGGAAATAATTCAGGGATCCTAATAATACAAAGGTTAAATATTACATGAATGATCTTTTTTTTTATTTTATAAAATCATACGAATCATTGGAGCATGTTGTCTATTACATTTTAAATGTCTGTCACACTTTAAAAAAAAATCATGAAATTTGAGTGTTTTGCCTAAAAAAAACACATTTCAAAGAAAAAACCTTTGTAAGCACGCTCACATACCCCACACCCCTACATTGTCACTGGGCAAACAAAATATCACCAGATCTCAAAGTTCAAAAACTCATAACTCCTACAATAGTCTACTGATAAAAATTTCTTGTGGATATGCACATCTACATATTATGTCTTCATTAACTACAAGGTTTCATGAGATTCTGTTGTGTGGTTTCAGAGGAGTTGCAATAACAAACCATTGCAGTTGTATATTAAGGTCAAAATTCTAGATTCAAAGGGGCATAACTCCTAGAAATAAAATGCTCCGCTGGGTGCAGCTTGATACGACCACAGAGGTCGAACCTGGAACAGTTGGGTCAAGTATGGACACAACATTCAAGCTTGATACAGCTCTGAATTTGGATTGTGATTAAATATTTGACACAGCATAGGTTTCTGACACAGAATGAATGTGGTCTAAGAATTTAAAAATTTTTAATTTACCTATTATGGTCCAATATCCAAAATCTAAATACATACACGGTTAGATTCAGCATATCAAAGAACCCCAAGAATTCAATTTTTGTTAAAAAAAAAAGGATAAACAGGAAGAAAAAATAAGGAAAAAAAATCCCCTCCCCCATTTTTTTGAACCCCCTTATGATTCATCACCTCAAAACTCAATCCCAGCCTTCCCTTTGTGGTATGGTAGCTTGCAGTACAATTTCAGAGAGATCCATACACTTGAACACAAGTTATTGTTGTCTGGAAACTGTAAAAATGCTTGTTTTTTAGCCCCTTTTTCCTAAACGTTTGGAGCAATTACCCCAAAACTCAAACCCAGCTTTCCCTTTGTGATATGGAACCTTGTAGTACAATTTCATAAAGATCCGTACACTTACACACAAGTTATTGTCCTGAAACTAGAAAAATGCTTGTTTTTTGCCCCTTTTTTGCCCCTGATTCCAAAAATTTTGAGGCAATTACCCACAAAATCAATCCCAGGATTCCCTTTGTGGTATGGTACCTTGCAGTACAATTTCAGAGAGATCAAGACACTTGAACACAAGTTATTGTCTGGAAACTATAAAAATGCTTACTTTTGGCCCCTTTTTGGCCCCTTATTCCTAAACGTTTTGAGCAATTACCCTCAAACTCAATTCCAGGTTTTCCTTTGTGATATGGAACCTTGTAGAACAATTTCAGAAAGATCCAAACACTTACATACAAGTTATTGTCATGAAACTAGAAAAATACTTGTTTTTTGCCCCTTTTTGGCCCCTAATTTCTTAAATTTTGAGGCAATTACCCCCAAAATCAATCCCAGCATTCCCTTTGTGATATGGAACCTTGTGGTACAATGTCAGAGAGATCCATACACTAACACACAAGTTATTGTCTGGAAGTTACAAAAATACTTATTTTTGGCCCCTAATTTCTTAACTGTTTGCACCATAACCCCCAAAATCAATCCCAACCTTCCTTTTGTGGTAATGAACCTTATGGTAAAATTTCATAAAGATCCCTTCACTTAACCTAAAGTTATTGTGCGAAAACCAATGTGTCTTCGGACGACAACGACGATGACGAAGCCAACGTCATACCAATATACGACGGCAAAAATTTTTTGCGGTCGTATAAAAACATTGAATCATAATTTTCTGTCGATATGCACATCTGCATAGTATGTCCTTTTTATCTACAAAGTTTCATAAAAATTCTGTTGTGTTGTTTCAAAACAGTTGAGATGACACGAACAGGACTGACAGACAGACAGACAGGTCAAAACATTATACCCTATGCAACTTTGTTGAGTAGGTTATAATGATACACATATTGATATCACAAGATATTTTGACAACACTGCAGTTAGTCATTTTATCTTTTTTAAATTTTTGGGATAACACCTATGTTATTACAGGTGACAAAAATTTGATGTTTTGTCATATAACCAACAGCATACATCAGCTGAGCACAGATAAGAGGAGATAACCCATATTTATTAACAATAACAAATGTCAGATACTAGTATTTTAAAGAAAAAAATTGAGGTAAACTCAACAGAAAGCTGAAATTAGTCTTTAAGTCAACAATACTGGAAAGGAAAAACCAATTTGACAGATAAATAAATTTGAATCAATAATAAATGAAGTTTCGTGATATTTTAATTATTATATTAAGTTTCTAATGATATAAACATTAACTAGAAATTCATGTCTGATAATCATACGTAAAAAAATATGTTGATCTCAGTGGGTAATTGTTTAAAAAAATATACACTTAATGTTGGGAAAATATTTGAATGTAGCTTATTCCATCAACAATATCCAGCCTATTGCAAGCTGATCAACTGATAGATAATGTAATTATTGACCTATAACCTGAGGTGAGACTTTAATATCATATATTGTTAAAGTTGATAATGCATTATAGGTGATAAAATCTGGTCTATAGGGATGACCTAGTCATACACTTTCAAAATCAATAATAAAGCTCTTTTGGATATAACGTTTAATTTCAAGATATAAATTTTATAAATGTTTAAAATAAGGAGCCTTTTTATATATAACAATCACACTGTTTTACATTTTTACATTTAATTTAACTTTACATTTACATTGACCATGTTTACCAAAGGTAAAAAAAATCAGGCACGATTATTGTTTTCATAAAAATTGAAAATGAGTTGATAGAACTAATTTAACTGTCTAAATAGGGAAAGCATAGGATATAAGATAAATTTAGTGCAATTTAATCCTATTATATTCTGAAATTCCTGTTATACCTAAAATAATTATTAGCATTTAATACAGGAAATTAGTTTTATCATGTTTATTATGGTAAGAAGTTGAAACAAAAATGTGTTTGCCAAGTGAAAAATGCATATCCTTCATAATTAGTTATAAATATAACTAAAATAAATATATGTCTTTTCAAACTGCTGCTTCACCTTTTTATCTTTGAAATAAAATGACATCCTTAAAATTTTCCAGAAGACTCTACCATTTTCTACAGAAGGAAATGCCTACAGGTACCAAGTCAGAAATATGACAGTTGTTTTCCATTCATTTGATGTGTTTGAGCTTTTGATTTTGCCATTTGATAAGGGACTTTCCATTTTTGAATTCTCCTAGGAGTTCAGTATTTTTGTTATTTTACTTTTTACATGTTATTCTTCAAAACAGGATTTCTTTACCATAATTCAAAACATAAATTACAATTTTATGCATTAAAACCGAAAAAAAAAAATGTTTTGCTTTACCGGTAAATTTTAATGTCCTAACGTTACGAGGGTCATAGAAGACCACTAAGATCACATGTTATCTCTATTAAGCATGTAACAGAACGTGTTGAAAATGAAGTGCGTTCTACCTACAACTCAAATATATGACAGCCCATGTCTCATACTCTCCTCCATCAGTTGAGTTTAATGCTTGGCAAGTAATGTTCTGTCCATCATCCCCACGCACCGCAATGATTGTGAAGTTAACTGAGTAACTTCCATTATTCAGAGACGTTTCATTGTAGTCAGTATTATTATACATCAATGTTATCATGTCCAGCTCAGATGTACATGTCACAGTTAAACTTTTACCCTCATTGCCATGAACTTTCGGTCTGCCATCTTCGGATTTTACAACACCTTCTATCACAGGCACCTGTGATATACCTGTGAAAATATAATGCAGTTAGTTCAGTCAAGATGGTTTATTTGTAAATCTTACATTTGTAAACTTTAGGATTATTATAATGTGCAGAAAGATGTACATTTTGTTATTACTAAACAAGAAGTCAGTTATTTCAGCACAAGTCTCAAGTAAAAGGGATGACTAACAGTCAGCCTTTAAAACTGACATATTTTTTTACCATTTTTTTCTAGTCTTTTGTGCATTTAAAAAAATATATTCTTGTTTGTCTTATTGTGTTTTAAGAAATGTTGAAGAGATATATAAAAAAATCCATTGCTTACTAATTTTCTCTTAAGAATTGAAAGAAAAATGTGGACAGGTCCTCCGACACTTGTGACAAAGACATAATAAATCATTACAAAGGCAAAATTTATGTTGACCCTGGAAATGGTTTCTTGTAATTTCAATTAGTTAACTAATTATCTTATAAACAAAATACAAACCTTGCAGTTTTCCAACAGTGAGTATAAATATCACAAAACAAAGGTAATCATGAAGTCCAAAAGTCATAGTGTGCGTCCATCAACTAAAAATATACAGTACAATATTTACAATGACTTAAAATCTGATTAAACCACAGATCCTGTGTCCAAGCTTTGCTTACAAGGATCTGAAAATGTTCTATAATACTTTCTGTAATAAAGACTTTTCGGATTCCTCACGTTTTGTCAGATGAATACATACACCTTTAAAAATTTGAAGGCTGAAATTTCATTGGCTGATGTAATAATTACCAGAAAGGAAAGTATTAAGGAGTGTTGTCAGATTCTTGTAAGCAAAGCTTGCATGGACACAGGATATGTATATTAATCAGAGTGAATGACTTATACATGTTCCCTGAGAAGCACATACTCACACATGTACCCTTAGCCATATATTTATGTATCCAGTTTATGTAAAAATCATTCACATTAATGTTTTCTGTCATTTAATTTGTCCAAATAAATGTAACAAGATCTAGAGTGCATGCAGTGTATGAAATTTCTAGCCTGCTTCACTGATCATCATTTAATTGCTGTTAGAAGTCTTTAAGATAAAGATTTTATTACAAGTGCCACATGAATCCTGCCATTAACTAACATGTTGTACACTTTTCAATCAATCCATATACCAACTTTAGTAAACCTTCTGCTTAAAGGATCTGAGAAACCTACTTAACAATGAAAACTTAGCATTTAATTACCAATGAACCATTGAAATCAGGTCAAGATCAGATGAACACTGCCAGAAGGACATGCACACCTTACAATCATTCCATACTCCGTATATAGTTGACATATTACTTACAGTATCAGATATACAATGTATGGCCCTCAACATACAAACCTGAGACCAATGACAATATTTGAACCATGAAAAACAGGTCAATGTCATTCTTTCCATAAACCAAATATAGTTTAAACCTTCGGCTCTAATATCGTATTTGAGAAACCAACCATTCATAAAAGTTGAACAATTATCCAATGTAACATGAAAATGAAGTCAGGGTCAGATGAACTTTGCCAGATTGACATGTTGACCTTACAATAATTCCATACACCAAATATCATGAATATATTTTTCAATATATAATATATCAAAATTGTTTTTCTTTTACTGTTTTGTACATATATCAAAAGCACAGATTTTTAAGAAACATGCATTGTTTTACATTTGTCATTTCGGGGCTTTTTATAGCTGACTATGCGGTATGGGCTTTGCTTATTGTTGAAGGCCATACGGTGACCTATAGTTGTTAATTTCTGTGTCATTTGGTCTCTTGTGGAGAGTTGTCTCATTGGCAATCATACCACATCTTCTTTTATATTATGTAATGTAATTATTTACTAATTCCAATGAACCATGAAATGAGGTCAAGGTCAGATCAATCCTGCCAGATAGACACATTTGCTTACAATTATTCCATACAACAAACAAGAGGCTGTCAGAGAGACAGCAAACCGGATTTTCCTGCAGAGGTCCAACCCTGAACAGTTGAGCAAGTATGGACACAACATTTAAGCTTAAAACAGCTCTGAATTTGGATTGTGATTGAATATTTGATACAGCATGGGTTTGTGACACAAAATAAATGTGGTCAAAGAACTGAAAAATTTGAAATTGAACATTTACCTATTATGGTCCAATATCCAAAATCTAAGTACATTGCTAGAATCAGCATATCAACATGATCAAAGAACCCAAAGAATCAAATTTTTGATGAAATACTTCTTAGTTAAACCATTTTTGTTCAAATGGAAATAACTCAAACTTTATTTCCATGAACCAATAATGTAAATCTAAAATTAAATATGATTTAACCATAGACTGTAAAATTAGATATGATGTAAAGAGATATGATGATATATTTATTTTTGAATTATAATCAAATATAATTAATAGTTTTCTAATAAATCTGTCACTCCAATTATAATTGGGTGATTGCATTGACAATTACCAGATGTGTGTTATCTTATCACTTAGTGTAATCAAACTTTATATATATAGTTGATAGTTCCCAATATTTTTCTTTCATTTGTAACATACTAATATAGATCTGCAACTTATCTTATCTTAATTTTAACTTTTTAACTTATAAATGATAGAAATCTGGAACCCCAAACAAGATCAAGTAAAAATTAAAATTAACCATTGTTAACAGACACAACAAAACAATTATATACATATATCACTCAGAAAATTAGTTTTTACAGAATAACAAACACATCACAAAATTCGTCAAACAATTTACCAAAGAAAAGAAAAATTAACAATGAAAATCATACTTGCAAATCTGAAGGGTTATTTCCCTTTGAGCAGAACTATGGTTTAACATAGTACACTAACATTACATATATAATTATTAGTAATGTAATTAACTTCAAAATGTCTATCTCTTAAAAACCTATAAAACTTATCTGTAATTAGCTTCAAAGTGTCTAATAATGAACAGTAAATTTCAAACTTCATTTATACAGTCCTACTAGTAAATTTCAAACTTTATATATACAGTCCTACAGATCTTATCAGGAAACAGAAAATTTTCCAATAAATCTGTCACTCCAATTATTATCATATGCTAAGATATTTCCCAGATCTAATTAATAATGAAAATCATACTTGCGAATCTGAAGGGTTATTTCCCTTTGAACAGAACTAAAAAATGTATGGTTTAACATAGTACTCTAACATTACAAATATAATAATTAGTAATGTAATTAACTTCAAAATGTCTAATAATATAGCTTATAATCATCACCACTAAGAAATAGAAAATTTTCAAATAAATCTCTCACTCCAATTATAATTGTGAGATAAGACATTTACCATATGCTTAGTCTCAATGTGATAACAAGAGAAAAATATTTAAAAATACCACTTTTGGATATCAAAAATGGCGATAACTCAAAAAGGAGAAATACTAAAATCCTGAAAATTGAACTTGACCTTCATTTAGTCACAAGAAACAACATATCATCTGAATTTGAAAAAAAAATCACAGCGTTTTCATGTTATTGAAGAGACACTGTTTGGCAGCTACTCGTCTGCCCGCCCGCCGTACATCCCCAAATCAATAACCGATATTTCCTTTGAAAATCTGGTTAATAAAACCAACATTATGCTTTTAGTATCCGAGATATGGATTTGTCCACACAAACTTATCCTTGATCACTTATCTAGGAAATAAGAATTTTGGGTCCTCAATGCTCTTCAACTTTATACTTGTTTGGCTTTCTAACTATTTTGATCTGAGCATCACTGACGAGTCTTATGTAGACGAAACACGCGTCTGCCATATCAAATTATAAGCCTGGTACCTTTGATAACTATTTACTGACATGAAGACCTTGCATGGATCCCATATATATACCAAATATAATTTTCCTTTTACTCATATAAACTTAGAAATTCACATGATAAAAGGACTATAAAGTTTTTTTATGCTGTAGCTTAACCATGGACAATGGAAATATGACAGAAGGAAACTTCAGAACATAAGGCATCTTATCTTACAAATTGTATGACAGACTATACATGTATAAATCTATCAAAAATGATAAATATTTTGATTCAGTGAATAGATCTTTGCTATTAAGATATATATCTATATAGCTGTGGAATTAGATATTCACAATCCATTTGTCGTGTAAAGTGGTCATGTGCACCGCTATAGTAAATCAGAAGACCAATAATATGGTCATGCAGTCAAACCCAACCTCCTTTTTGTACAACTTCATAGAGATCAATACAATTTTACTGATATCATTGTCTGAAAACAAAATGTCTTTCACTCTTTGGACGATGACAACATCAACAACATTGCCATACCATAGGCATTATACAGCCGCAAACAATTTGCTGTTATATAAAAAAGTCTAATTGAAGTTAGAAATGATTTATTTCGAGTGGGGTGCTCATTTTCGCCATAATTTTCCATGTTTTCTGCAGTTTATGTTCAGACCTTTAAGTTTTTGAAGTATACTGATATTTCTATATGAAGATAACATCAAAAGCAAAATATTCTTAGCTTGAAAACGTGTTTCTCTGAAAAAATTCATCTGAAAAGTTAGGTTAAAGGCTATTTGAAATTTCCTGACGTTTTGTCGAAGGGGGACACATATTTGCCGTTTTTACACATCTATTTTTAAAAAACCAAATAACTGCAGCTTTAAACAATATTTATCAAATCAATTTCATTGTAGATGAATAGCAGATATTTCAAAGGTGTAATTAACTGAAATTTAGGGCAATCAGTCAAAGAATTACTAAGAAATACTTCTTTGAATTTTTTTTTTTTTTCATTCAGAAAATTGGCTGAAAATCGTTGTCTGTTTTTCGGTCCTTTGCGGTAAGTGCCAAAATTTTTTCTAAGTTTATAAAATAATCATATTTGTTATAAAAATATAATTTACCGTGTTATTTCTTCCATTTCAGCAATCCTTTGAAGTTTCTACACCTCAAAATCATAAATTAGCAAAATTGTGTCCCCGGCGAATATGTGTGCCCCACTCAAGTCATTTAAACAAAAAACAATTAGTAGCCTATCTATTCTGTTGTAGTAATAATTCCTATGAAATGACACAGATAATGGTCGTTGGTGCTACTTCAAAAATATTTTTGTTGGGTGGAGGGGGGCTTTTCCCCTTTTAGACAATGATGGTTTTGAAAGTTGACACCTATGCACAATATATAAGATTTATGATCCTCTCAATAACATGGAAATTCAAGAAAATAAATGCATGAGAATAAAAAAGAAAGTGTACACACCTGTATGAATGTTAACCCTACGCAGGTAGGTTAATAACCTTGCTCTAGCTTGTCAGGCGGTACCAGCAGTCACAGATGTAAAACTATTTGATGTGTTATAGATAAAACATTTACGAATTATCTCAATAAATATATATATTTATATCTTTTTGCATAAATTCTCGTTTAAACTAGATTTCAAAATCTTTGATGTTATCTCTTCAATCAATTAAGACAATGTAGGAATGGGGATAGAAACTAAGTTATTGTGACTGCTGCACCATGTCTTTTCTGAGCTCCTATTAATGGAACACCCTTATCGCAAGGTAAATACAAATCTGTTTTGAACATTTCAATTTGTTCTTAAAATGGAACTACAATCTACGTTACATTGTGACTGTTGCACCATGTCTTTTCTGAACTCTTATTAATGGAAGACCCTTATCGCAAGGTAAATAAAAATCAGTTTTGTCACATTTCAATTTATTAAAATTGAACTACAATCTATGTTACAACAGAACGTAAAATTGCTATGTGGTATGAAGGCACTACAGTGACCTATATTTGCTAACTTCAACTTCATTTGGCCTCTGGTGGAGTGTTAATTGTCTCATTGGCAATCTGTATCTGCAGTATCTTTTCTTCATCTCCTTTATAGATCAGTGATTGCTCACTACAAGTACAGGTAAAACTCCATCCACCATAATGTTAAAGAATAGTCCATTGGCATTATATTGCTGGGTCTTCCAAATGATGCACTAATTTAAAACCCCTTTCTAAATTTTATCAGTAATCAAGACAGGGTTTTTGTCATTGTTAAAGGCAATATATATGGTGACCTATCTTCATTTGAACTCTGGTGGGTAGTTGTCTCATTTGGCAAACCTTATCACATCTAATCTAATATTCCAAGTTATTGTGAAACTATAAGTAACCTACTCTAGGGGGCTATGTGAATTTGATATGGATACTAAAAATTCCAAAGATCTGTTGTACATACAATCTAAGTCGATCTCCATATCCTCTTGCAATACTAATAATATAAAAACATTTGACAAATTGAAAGAATTGATCCTACTTGTTTCATTAAAAAGAAGGGACAACTTGTATGTTGTTTTAGAATGGGACATTTATCATACTTTGCAAAACTCTGAAACTGACATTATTAAGATGCTTGATTTCTTAATTGACAACATTAATTTGTTACGTTTGGATGTTCTGTTTTTCACTAAACAATCGCCATTACCAGGGAATCAACTGTGCACCTCTTCTTGCCAACTTTGTTTATATGAAGCAGACTTGGTACTGGAGCTTCAGCTTCTTAGAAAGAATGAAAAGACAGTAGTATTATCCTTTAATTGGTACTGGAGCTTCAGCTTCTTAGAAAGAATGAAAAGACAGTAGTATTATCTTTTAATTGGTACTGGAGCTTCAGCTTCTTAGAAAGAATGAAAAGACAGTAGTATTATCCTTTAATTGGTACTGGAGCTTCAGCTTCTTAGAAAGAATGAAAAGACAGTAGTATTATCCTTTAACTTCATGATCCGCTATAATGATGATGTCCTATTATTGAATAATTGAAGTTCAGTGATCTATTCCATCCAACTTAAAATAAAGGCTACAACAGATGCAATTAAGTCTGCCTCGTAACCTTGAGTTACACCTAAAAATTGACAATAAGGCTCAGTTGAAAACAAAAACTTCACAACAAAAGAGATGATTTCAGCTTACCAATTGTGAACTACTGTAAATTCAGAAATTATTGCGTGCATTTATTATTGCGATTTTGTCATTTTAGACTAAAATGCGATTTTTATTTTTGCGATATTGAGAAAAATTCTGTTTAATTCATATAAAAAATTTCAAAACGCGAGTTTTAATTATTGCGATTATAACCCTGTTGCATTTTTCGCAATAATAAAAACATCGCAATAATTTCTGAATTTACAGTATCCATTTCTATGTTGTATGATTACAGCATGAGTATATTATCTCCCAGTTTATACCATACTCTACAGTTTGCATTTAAAGAAAATTATAGCTTATCCAAGAGCTCAAAAGAGTTTTTTACACCTTAGAAATAGTTATATATATACACATAAACTTTAATAAGGTTCACTAAAGAGGATGGTTTAATGTGATATTCCATCTCAAGGTTGGATGGGTAACATCAAAGGGCCATAAGATCCATCCCAGTACCTCAAAAGATCTAGTAATTGTTTACTATTTTGTTTCAATTATCTAAACAAGTTAATGTACCCATCAAAGGTTAAGAAGAATATATGGACATACAGGCCTCATTTTCAATATAGAAACAACATATTTTTCAACCTGATATTTCATTTTTATTTGTTAACAAATTGTATATAAAACAAAAGGTAAATTAATATTGTTCATAAGAGTGATATAAAATAAATAATAAATGCATATATTTACCTATATACAAAGTTAATAAAATAATATAAATAAACGTATAATGCAGTGCTTTGCTAATGGATATCTTGATTATTATCATATATAACTATGGATGTCTTGTATGTTCATAGTGATGAGTTTAAATGAAATAAACTTCAAGATAAAAAGAATACAGCATGGTCGTAAATTTAAACTTATATATGAGAGAACATTCACATGATTACTTTAGACCAATGGTCAAGTTATGTTTTGCTTACATTGTGTCACCTGATGTAGAAACAGCTGAATGTGTGGTAATTAAAGTGTCATTTTCATGCAACACGTTTGCCACATTTTCGATTTCATGTTTTCTTACGTTTAGAACATAACTTACACTGTTTAATGCAAAGAGTTAAATATGCACTATTACAATAACAAGTATGTTTCATTCATAGTGAAATCTCTTTTTTATTTCACATTCTCCAATACACAGGACCACAAATACATGTGGACCTTTATTGTGCATAAGCATAAATTCAATCAAAAACATTTCCACAGAAAGATAAAAGATGAATCTTTTTAAAGCATTATCTTCTCTGCCACGTAGACAGAATGTTTGGGAAATATCTTAAAAATGGGCAATAATTTCATCGAAAAGAGAAAGTCAAGTACTCCTTTTTATGTTGAGGCCATGTATCAGTTTACTATTTTGTCTTGAAAACGTATAAAGCAAAAATATTTGATACATTATCTCGCTTCACATTCTAACATTTCTATATATTTAGGCTACAGGTTGATATAATAACATTAAAAGTTCACAGGACTAAATAAATGGGGAATGTGTCCATGGGACACAGATGATGCCCCCGCTTGCATATAACGTAATAAAGGGACATAACTCAAGAACGGTAAAAGTGATACTACCCAAATTCGTACTTGATCTGAGTTTTGTGGTAATAAGCATTGTGTATATTTTTCATAACATTTGGTTGAGGCAACCCAAGTTAGAAAACGGAAACCAAATTCGTGACATACAGACATACAAATGGACATGGGTAAAACTTAATGCCCCCTCCGCTACAGCTACTTAAAAAAACTCATCTTTTGTTTGTGTTATCTAGGGTTATTAGTCTTCAACCTCTGAAATTTTTTATTCTGTCCTTCCATGAAATATTTAATTAGATTTTTTTTTAATGTTTTTGAACTTTTGAAAATTCTCCCTGACAAAGGATCAGACAATAGTTTTAAGTTGACTAAAGGCATAAAAGTACATTTAATGATGATCAATAGCTAGTAGATACATTTGTCTTTTAAAATACAACTGGCATATAAGGATTGTAATGACGCTATGTGGATAAATTTATCAGTTTTCAAGAGCTAAATTGACTGCACGTCATCCCTATAATGGCTTCCATTTTTATGATTGTAAAAATTAGGTGGTGTAATGGGGAGATAATTTTCTAACTTTGCATTTATCCTTTTTCTGCCCTCCTACTGAACTTATAAATACAACTTAAAATTGGAATAAATGTAAAATAAAAGATTGATTGAATAGTTACACATGATTTTGATAAAAAAATATGTTGATTAGAAATACATGACGATTCCGAATAAACTTATTTGAATGGTTAAGTTCTTGGCAAGACAATCAAATCTTGAGCAGCAATTAAGTCTCTTGTGACATGGGATATATATATCATCCATATTTGTTCTGGAAGGGATTTGCACCCAACAAAGGAAGCAGAGGTTCAACTATTTCTTTTATCACTGTATAAGCCTGAAATAAATCAAGATATCAATGAGCATAGGTTAACAAAAAGTTCTAAAATGTTGTAGGGTTATTGCATTAATATTGGTGATCTTGTATGACCTTCTTGTTTTGCTTAAACAAAGCAATGTTCTAATGGCAATATAAAATTGCAAGAGTCAGTAGTTTGAACAATGGCAGAGATAAAAAATAAAGATATTGACAGAATTATAATGCCTAACCCATGTTAAAATGACCATAAAGGATGACATGGAAGAATTATTTCTTCAATATTACCCCAAAGAGAATATTATATTGTACAAGATTGCAATATTCTTTTATTGTTTACCAAACAGTTGAAATAACAAACACATTATGTTTAGACCTCTGATAACATGGCTGTTAGAGCATTATCAGCGAAAATTTCACACTTCTCTCTTGCTTACATTCAAAAAAGAAAATTTGATGTGGCAATTAGGCAAATATCTGTATGATTCAGGAGTCAATGACCTATTTAATGTACCAAATATCAGCTTTTTTTCGAGTGAGCACAGTGAACGAGTTCAAAATGGCTTCATATTGTACGTGTCAAGCAGCTGATATTTTACAATATAAATTGCAGACAACCAGATTATTAATTATCGATTTATCTGGTTGTATTTGAGTATTTTGCATGATAGAAACAAGTGTTTTCTTTTTTTCACCAGCAAACCGGAAGATGACTTGATTAGTCCGGTCAAACTTATCAACATAGGTTCATACAATATGACTTCACTGATATGTCCAGGTCAAAGTTATTAAGGCCTAATGGACAATGTATTTGACATCACAAAGCCGTGACATGCAATTTTATTAAGAGCTGAGCAGAGTGATACAGACGGTTGGAGACCAATAAATCATACTTTTTATACTGTAAACGAAGAAATTTTCGCACAAGGTTATTATGGCTTATTTCATGATCATATAAAATGCACAAAAAATTCCCATGTGCCAATGGTTTGTAGAAATTAAGCAATACTATTGATGTAAAGGTATAACTTATTGTTGATAAGCAATTATAATCCCCACACAATATTGTTAGGCATTGAAATCGCAAAAGCATCCACTTTAACAATATGTTGTCTCATCTGTTGAAAAGATTTATTCCCACTTTCTGTACAGAAAACTAACTGTATCAACAATATCATTTATTATGTTTCCTGTGTATATAACTTGTGTTGTACTGACAATATCAGCGTTTATTTTGTTTATGTGCTTACCTGTGCTGTATTAATGGCTAGGAATCTTAAATAAACCCCCGACATCCCTCCTTTCTGTAAAGCACTGACTGTACAGATCACATCAGTTTTTACACTTTCTCCTGAAATAAACAAGTCTTTATAACAGACATACATTGACACAGAATACACCTAGTTTTCACAAATTATCTCCCTTTACCACCCAAAATAAAAGTAAATTGTGTTATTAATTTTTGCATGCTAACATTTTTCTCACACCAGTCCTTACATTTATTAAGTAGTTTGTTTCTTCTTAGCTATAGAATAATTAAAATCCAACTTTTGAGATTAAGTTTTTTGGCTGTCATTGGTTTTACCATTGAGACAAAATAATGATCATGCCAAATGACATCACACAGAACAAAAACATTTTTCTCTTCAAATTAATAAAAAATCCCCTTAATAATAATCTAAATATCAACAGATTCTACCAAAACATCTCCTATAGCGTAGTATGGTATTTGTCTTCTTTTGATAATTAAATAATGTTGTCAAATTTTACTGTTTCAGGTCAATAAACTAACAAGAATGTGTCCATAGTACACGGATGCCCCACTCACACTACCATTTTCTATGTTCAGTGGACCGTGATATTTGGGTCAAATCTCTAATTTGGCATTAAAATTAGAAAGATCATATCATAAGGAACATGTGTACTAAGTTTCAAGTTGATTGGACTTCAACTTCATAAAAAACTACCTTGACCAAAAACTTTAACCTGAAGCAGGACAGACGGACCGACGTACCGACAGACCGAAAAACACAATGCCCCTAGGTAGGGCATAAAAACACAGGAAACATGCATACTTTTCTGGTTGTGGGTAAACTTTTTTTAACTTACCATACTTTTCTCGGTTGTGAGTAATGTGTTCTTATCATGGTTGTGAGTAACCTTTTTTTTACTTACCATATTTTCCTGGTTGTGAGTAACGTTTGCATAAACTATTGCTAATCTCTTTTAATCTCTTTCCAAGGATAATACAGGTTCCCATTACCTATTAATTCAAATATAAATTGTCAATTGTCATGTCGAAGTCTTTAATGCTGACTATACAGTATGGGTTTTGCTAATTGATAAAGCCCTAAAAGGCCTTAAATTTTCTCTGGTGGAAAATTGTCTCATTGGCAATAATACCACAACTTCTTACATGTATATTTATTCTATGACAAAGTTTTTAGCCAAATAATTATTAGATTATTGTAGTATTTTCAATTTTAGATAAAATGATTAAAAACTTTAATAACCCTTACACTAACCAGAAGGACGGAAAGGCAGAAGGACAGAAAGATGGACAATCAAGGGTAACACTTAATGCCCCTGTCACCTACAGGGGAACATCAAAAAAGTAGTGAATGATTTAAACAGAAATTATCTGCCATCAACATTATCATTGTCATCATTAAGATTATTAAACAGTAATGTTGAAAGTACTTTTCATGTTGTTCACCTGAATAAAGGAGGTATTCTAAGATCAACTATGATGCTGGCCAGAAATTTCATTGATCCCATAAGAACTTTATTCTTTTAACAAGATGTAAATGAAATAACCACACTTTACTGTAGATTTTACAATAATTTGTAAAGTTAAATTAAGATCATCTTTCCAAACAAGGTGTCATAATTATTTGGAGTACATCTGTTTGTAGTTCTGAATCTCCATAGAGTATCTCATCATTTGCCAAGTACATAATGAAGATAGAAGCAATACCAATAGCCTCCTTACAGTAAAACCTCAGTCAATGTTTTCTACCTAGTAATTTTTCATGGACAGTGTTTTATCATGTAATTCTAATACATCAAGTAAATAGAGGCAAAATCAATGGCCAAAAGGGAACATTTAACATAAAATAAAAGAAGAATGTGTTTGAGGACACGAATGCAACCGCTCAAGCTTTGCAATTTTCAAGTTAAAAAGGGACATAACTCTAGAACTGTAAATGACTCACTGCCCAAATTTGAACTCTGCCTGCGATTTGTGGTTCTTAGCATTGTGTATGAGTTTCATAAAATTTGGATGAGGAAAACATAAGTTAGTGTGCGGAAACAAAAATGGGACAGACGGAAAGACTGATGGACGAAAGGACTGATGGACAGAAGGACGGTCAAGGGTAGCACTTAATGCCCCCATTGCCTACAGTGGGGGCATAAAAATAACATTCCCAGTCAATGTTTGGTACCTGGTAATTTTTCATAGATGATTTCATCTTTAATCCTGGTACATCATGTAGATGGATGCTGTCTTTATAAACTGTGTTAGAACCTACATCTATCTGTATACTGTTCTTATAACTACAAGTCATAAATAGGTAACTTGTAAAGAGATATATACTGTTCTTATAACTACAATTCATAAATAGGATACAAAATGTAACTTGTAAAGAGATATATAATGTTTTCATAGCTACAATTAATAGCAAGCAGATGAGAGATAAACAAGATATTAGAAAACTGCAGGACACCATTAAAACTTTTTCACATATCTGAATCTGTTTTTCAAAATAAAAATTACACTTCATAAATTTTGTGCTTTTTTGAAGCACTTTTTTGGTTTTACCTTCCTAAAATAAGACATTTTGTTTATTTTCTTTTGTTTCCTATTCTGACATCGGACTGGGACTTCTCTTAAACTGAGTTTTACTGTGCCTACTGTTGTACGTTTGTTTTTTCTACATTGGCTAGAGGTATAGGGGGAGGGTTGAGATCTCACTAAACATGTTTAACCCCGCCGAATTTTTGCGCCTGTCCCAAGTCAGGAGCCTCTGGCCTTTGTTAGTCTTGTATCATTTTTAATTTTAGATTCTTGTGTATAATTTGGAGTTTAGTATGACGTCCATTATCACTGAACTAGTATACATATTTGTTTAGGGGCCAGCTGAAGGACGCCTGGGTGCGGGAGTTTCTCGCTGCATTAAAGACCCATTGGTGGCCTTCCGCTGTTGTCTGCTCTATGGTCGAGTTGTTGTCTCTTTGACACATTTCCCATTTCCATTCTCAATTTTATTAAACCTACACATTAGAAAGCCAGAGATGTTTAAATAGGCAGAAATCCTTCGGAGCTATATAAACAAAAGTAATTCATCTAACCATATATCAATTCAATGATTTCACAACATATATCTCCAGTAAGTGGTAAATACCTTTTAAACAGCCACTGTTCTTGTAAAGCAGATCTACCACATGTCATCCAATCTAACAATATAATGTTTCCACTTTCTGTCATCTGCACATTCTGAATTCATAATCTTCTTTAAAACATTATTTTTATTTATATATATATATTCAATATACATGTATCTTGCTTTTCCATAATTTGAATTGCATTCAGTCAGTTTAAATATTTAGCAAAAATCTGAATCTCCCCATCATTCTACAATTATATTCTAATAGTATAGCCTTTATTCTAATTTTGTTTTGTTATTTACAGACCTGCCAACTTATGAAAACCTCCATGGGGGATTTTCCCCGGGGAAAAAAATTTAAATGTATCGCTTCATCTTGTGACTGTTTTTTTTTTTTTATAATGTCCAGTAGAAAGTATTTCATGTATATTTAGGATCAATTTTGGTTTGTTTCTTGAACTCTTGAGATTGTTTTGATGCTGTGTGTATCATTCTGTGTAAAGATGTTTCTTTCATTTGGTTCATTTGTTTTATTTGTTTTATTTCAGTGTTATATTTGTTTTATTTCAGTGTTTTATTTGTATTTTCAATGTATCTATTTAAAATAAATTGATAAACAATGACTTGGTTGCTTCATTAATGCATACATTGCAAACTATGTCATGAAAAGATAAACAAGGTAAATGTCATATTAATAATATTTATTCAGTAGCATTTAAAGGAGATAAAAACAATACAAAACAATAATACACAAGGAGCAAAAAAACATAAAAGCTACTAATGTTCATTTTGCACTAAGTAGAAAGCACTAAGTTACATTATCATCACTTAAAATTGTCAGCACTATAAAATTGTCATTTGGCACTAATTTCCACAGTCTTTGTTGTAAGCAACATATGCTTTCTTTGCTGTCTTCAACAAGTCTTTGTCTGGTTTTAGCTGGTAGCATGCACAGTCTGAATTGATCTTAGTGGTAAGTAGGTCACAGAGTGTTGAGTTGTCCAGTGATGACCTGTGTTCTGTGTGTATCTTCTTGACCATACTGAAGACTCTCTCACAATCTGCATTGGAGTTGGGTATACAACACATTGCTCTGGTAACTCTTGTTATAATTAAGATAATTATTAACTATGTTCACCTGATTAAAGAATTTTTTTAACTAGTTAACTTGATTATAACATAATTAATCTCAATTAAATGATAAGTAAAAAAATTAAAACAGTTAATTATGTAACTCCCAAGCTGATCGGTATAAATAACAAAGATCAATAATTTTATTACCAATTAAGACCCATAAAACTTTGACAAATCATTGATTTTATTGAGGCACGTGTATATGTTTACATAATACTTAGTGTCAAAACAGATCGATAATCCTCAGGTAAATCAACATGACCCGAATATCAGATACTACGATGAATTTGATTGGATAATATCTCTATGTTGTCCTCCATTACCGGAAATCGGTAAGAATAAAATTTTCTCGGGTAGAATTTATGAAAATCGGGTTTTTTGCTTGTTTTAGGAACCCGATATCGGGATTCGGGTTGAGGCATGAAAATCGGGATAATACCGCCAAAATCGGGATAGTTGGCAGGTCTGTATTTAACAAGGGGACATAATTCACAATAAAATTGCATACTGAAACCAAATGTACAGTAATGTCATTATTTCAACTTTTTACAAACAATGAGTAAACAAAAGACCAATGTGTCAATTAATAGGGGTCCCTGCCAAAACAAACAATGAATGGCAGCTAAAAAAGCCATTTGTAGACTGTAAAAAACCCATTAATATTATAATGATAATCAAGGGAGATAAATCAGGAACATAAAATATTGAATAACTAAAAGTCCACACTAATTTGATTTTAATGACACCTACCAACAAGTGTGTGTTTGAAATTATTTGGATAAGGCTAACTTAAATGATATTAGAATACACATTAATGAGACAGCAAACAAATAACATGAAAAATTATTATTCTTCAAAAATAATTCAAGCTGTAAATCAACTACTGAATTAAAAGTAGTAATTTAATTCATGAGACATTATAAAAATTCTTCCATCATCATCAAATTTCCTAACGGTTAAAAAAATAAATAACTAAGGATAACTAGGGACAAAAAATATCTTATGTACATTTTAGATCCATAAAAAAAGAAATATTGTATTCATATATAAAATAAAAAAAATAAAAGATGTGTTTTGCTTCATCTGCAGTGTGTTTTGGTTTATTGTTTCATCATAAATGATGGCAGACAGGCTTTTGGTTTGATTGTTTGAATTGTTTCACATTTTGTGATGTAGGGACCCTTAATTTATATCTTACTTTACAGTATGGGTTGCTTACATCCACGTTATTTGGACTTACCACATATCCTTATTTTTATATATTTTGACTTACTTGTGTTTGTAGAAAGTTTGCATCTTTATAACACACACAATAATCAGGGAGAACACACAATAAGGAGTTATCACCAACGATATAATTCATCTTCTGTGTTGTCAACAGATCATCTTCACAATGGTAGACCTAAAACATTCAATATATCTCATTTCAAATAAAAAAAGTGCAAAATGAGACAGCAATGTGATAACACATTTAACCAGATTATCTTTGGGATATCTATGAATAAACAAAACTGTGGGGTATATGTCAAGAAATTAGCAAACCAACAACCCCAAAAACAATACATTTATAGGTCAGTTTATGAACTTCAACTCTTTAAGTCTTTATCATAGGTCAAGCTCTAAATCTTTGCAGATTCTTGACTGCTACATATACCATATGATTTGGTCTTTTTTTTATCTTTTGAATTTTTTGCCTGGTAAGCATTCCACAATGTACAGTCTTTTTTTTTTTATCTTTGAGGATTCTTGACTGGTTCGAAACCACATGTTTGTCCTATTTTTTTAAACTTTGAGGCTTGGCTGGTTAGAAGACCACAAGAGTCTGGTCTAGATTTTACCTTCCTAATAATTCGCTGGTTGGAAGTCCCGGTTTTTGGTTTTATTTTTTACCTTTGTAGAGTCTTGGCTTGTAAGTAGCACAAGTTTTGGTGTACATTGTATTTGTTTTCATGTTTTTAGATTCTTTGCTAGTAAGTAGACCACATGTGTTAGGCTGTTTTATTACCTTTGTAGAGTCTCAGCTTGTAAGTAGCACATGTTTTGGTGTACGATGTATTTGTTTTTATGTTTTGTGATTCTTGGCTCTTAAGTATGCAGACTACTCAGTCGCTAGTAAGTAGACCACGTTTGTTATTACCTATGTAAACTCTTGGCTAGTGAGTAGACCACATGTGTTGAGCTTTTTTATTACCTTTGTAGATTCTTGGCTAGTGAGTAGACCACATGTGTTTGGTTTGGTTTCTATTACTATTTCAACATTGTCACCTCCTACCAATCCCCCTCCAAATACAATGGGAAAGATCCACTTGCATTTTGGGTTCCCAGTATGCTCTGGTACCAAGACTTTCAACTGCAAAATATAATTGCTTACATCCACTTTATTTGAACTTTGGTCGATAGTTGTCTCATTGGCAATCATACCACATCTCCTTATTTTTATACTAAAATAAACTAGTTCTAATCTGTATTTAATTTTGATATAATATATATAATGCAAATGCTGATATTAAAATGGCAATTCTTTAATGTGTCAACTATGCAAAACATTTAAAGTTCAAAAGAGTGTTAACGCTGGACTGTCTAGCCTGCTTTACTTATCATACTTGAATTTATGCTGAAAGTGTGTAATATAAAGGTTTTACTATAAGTTTCACATAAACTTAACATTATTAATGATTAATGTAAATAAGGTCAAGGTCAGATGAACCTGCCAGATAGACATGTACACCTTACAATCATTCCATATGTCACATATAGTTAACCGATTGCTTATGGTATCCGAGAAGGAGACCTAATTATGATAATTGAACATTGACCAATGAACTAGGAAAACATCAAATATTATAGACCTACCACTTAACACTAGTGGTTCCCCTTAAACTGACCTTATCAGATCAAATACATTCATGATTGGCGATGATGATTCCGTCAGAAACAACACACCTTAATTAGTCTCTCCTTAGCAACTTAATCTGGATGAGAAAAAAAAACATTATTTTATTTGATATGAATAAACTTAGAATGTGGGGTAGGCATTATTAAGACAACATGGAAGAAAATATATAGAGGTGACACAATTTTCATAACTGCCAACCTTTCATAATCTCCATGGGAGATTTAAGTGCAAGAGGACCTATTTATAATAAATGCTCCTCTTAAATTGTCATGGAAGCTTTTAATCTACTACTTATATTGTTTGAATGAGTATGTATGTGCTTAAGTACCCTTTTTACTCATTTGAATACCTGTTTTGAGGTATTCAGTTTTATAATGAAAGAACCTTAGTGAGCGCGCTCACATACCCAACGTCCCCACATTGTCATTGGAGAAATAAAATAAGTGTAAGAAAAAAAAATTGTATCAGAAAAAAAAATTGAATCATAATTTCCTGTCAGTATGCACATCTACATAGTATGTCCTTATTATCTACACAGTTTCATGAAATTCTGTTGTGTGGTTTGAGGCATTGCCATGACAAAAGGTTGCAGTAGTATATTGGGCAAATAAGTTCAAAGGGGCGTGACTCCTGGAAAAAAAATTGAATCGTAATTTCCTGTCGATATGCACATCTACGTAGTATGTCCTTATTATCTGAAAAGGTTTCATGAAATTCTGTTGTGTGGTTTGAGAGGAGTTGCGATGACAAAAGGTTGCAGTAGTATATTGGGCAAATAAGTTCAAATGGGCGTAACTCCTGGAAAAAAAATTGAATCGTAATTTCCTGTCGATATGCACATCTACATAGTTTGTCCTTATTATCTGAAAAGGTTTCATGAAATTCTGTTGTGTGGTATGAGAGGAGTTGCGATGACAAAAGGTTGCAGTAGTATATTGGGCAAATAAGTTCAAAGGGGCGTAACTCATGGAAAAAAAATTGAATTGTAATTTCCTGTCGATATGCACATCTACGTAGTATGTCCTTATTATCTGAAAAGGTTTCATGAAATTCTGTTGTGTGGTATGAGAGGAGTTGCGATGACAAACTGTTGCAGTAGTACATTAAAGTAAATAAGTTCAAAGGGGCGTAACTCCTAGAAAAAGAATTGAATCGTAATTTCCTGTCGATATGCACAACTACATAGTATGTCCTTATTATCTAAAAAGGTTTCGTGAAATTCTGTTGTGTGGTTTGAGAGGAGTTGCAATGACAAGAAACAGGACTGACAGACGGACGGACGGACAGACGGGTCAAAAACATTAGACCCTCCGCAACTCGTTGCGTGGGGTATAATAAAGAATTCCAAATTCAGGTCAACACCTCTCATGGGGGAAATCCCTCATAAATTGTGAAAGTTGGCAGGTCTGAATTTTTAACACTAACATTATATAAGTTCTCATAATCTATTGCTAGTACTAAGTGCTAAGGAGATGTTGGGAAAGACAAGTTTTTGAAGATTACAGGAAACTCAATAGGATGGCTTCAAGTTTACAGGTAACTTACGGGATAGGAATGTTTCAAGGTCACAACCTCTACAGCACCATATTCACTTTCCTTGCAATGATCATGGCACTCTAACACTACAGTTGCATGACCATGACGAGCTGTTCCCATGGCAACCATCTGTAAACCTTGTAATACTGAAAGAAAAAAATCAATACATTTATAAAATGGATTGCAATGATAAGTAAAGATTATTACATAGCATTTTCAATATCAGGCCCTAATACGGTCATGATATCATCCCTTGAGCCTTTCTACATGTATCACATAAGAAACAGGTATATACACTGTATATGAATTATAAAAGAGAATATGGATACAGAGTATATATCTCCCAGTTGAAACGATATTCCAGTGCTTTTATTTCCTATTATGATTTCCTATATAGAGGGTTGTTGCTCACAAGGAAGCTATCGAACCAAGAGTTCCAAGTAGTGAAGTTGAAATCATCAGTTGAAGCCATCACGAGTTGGTTGACTGTTTTACAGATTACAACCAATATTTTCTAATTGTCATCCCCTTTTCCCAGAATGTGACCTACCAATTTAGACTTATCACAAGGTTTGTACTCATGTGAGCAACACAACTGGTGCAACATGTGGAGTAGGATCTGCTTACCTTCTGGCACACCTGAGATCACCCTCAGTTTTTTGGTGGGGTTAGTGTTGCTCAGTCTTTGGATTTAATATATTCTATGTTGTGTTTTGTGTATCGTTTTTTGTCTGTTGGTCTTTTTCTTTTTTAGCCATGGCGTTATTTTCAACTTATGAGTTTGAATGTTTGGGATCTTTCGCCCCTCTTTTTGAACATTCCAATGATTCCCAATGGCCCTGCTCGCAATAAAAGCTTGAATTATACCACATCTTCTTTTTATATTGAAGCCATTTTTAGGAGTGGAAATTTGAGAATGAATGTCTGAATACTGTTTTTTCACAAAATTTTTATAAAGTCCAAAGCCCGTAATTTTGGCACAAATCATTGGAGCAGAACCAGACGTAAGATCAATCTGTAAATCATAATAGTAGACTCACACACTAAAATTCAGGTCAATATGTGAAGCCTTGAAGGTGTTTAGAAAAAAAGTCTGTATAACTGCTATTTTTATGAAATTTTTAAAAGTCCAATGCCCGTAATTTCAGCAAAAATCAGCAGAGCGTAACCAAACGTAAACTTGATCTGTAACTCATCATAGTAGACTCTCATACTAAAAATCAGCTCAATATATGAAGGCGTTTAGAAAAAAGTGTACTGTATAAGTCTGTTTGTTGCAGAATGACGGAAATGATGATTAAGGGTAAAACTATATGGCCCCGACAATTTTGTTGTGTGGCCATAAAAATTAGTTATTTTGTTTAAATGTTGCACTATTCATACAGTTTATAAACAGCAGGATAATTTTAAGACATTAGTAAATCTCACAAATTATACATGACTCTCCATTCCAAAAGAGATATCAATTTTGCCAGTGAGGGCTGATATACTACTTTTGCCTGCAAGGGCTGATCATATGGCATTCCCATTGCAATTGCATAGGAAGCTGATATTTCCCAGGATTAATCAGGATCCTATTCAGGCTATTGGTCTGATAAGGGCAGCGTTCTGTTTAAATTTGCAATCCAAGCTAGGTGCATATATTTTTTACATCTTCTCTCTTAAAACATACCAGTCCTCAGGATGTGTAACAACAAAAAATTAAAGAACATATTTTTTTTTTCTTATTCAGATTCATCAAAAAAGATTTTATCTTTCTGAAACACAAAATGCTAGTGGAGTCCAGTGGACGCTAGACCTTAAAACTTTTCCAACTGCACAGATTTGTCTGTATACGTAATGAGAGTAATTTCGAGGTGTAAATTAAGCCGTGTTTATCCATTTTAACTTTAATACGTGTGTTCATTCTTCCAGATATTATATGTCTGATACTTCATTACAAAAAAGCACCTGTCATACATACCTGATTACATAATCACTGATAATTTACCGGATTCATAAATCATGTTTATCCTTCTCTTTGTTGATTGGTTTATTGTCTGGACGCAATCATTTTATAGCAAATTGGTAGTTACATTAACACGTGTATTAAGCGTAGAATTCGTGCAGAAAAATAATGCAATTAAATAATTTACCTGAATAGACAGCAAGAGCTATGTTGTTGGTAAACAGGAAAAACAGGTCAAAATTTAGAGTTATCTCCCATAGTATGTTCTAGCTAAGGCCAATATGATTTACATGTGTGGTTTCCGTCCCATTCTGTGTAATATAATTAAAATTTTCAAAATACTGTTCTTTTTCTTCCTTTTTGGGTTTCGCGTGCTTATTTTGCGCCTGTCATTGAGAATGAAAAGTTACATACTAACAGTGGCGGATCCAGGATGGGAAAAGGGGAGGGGGGGGGGGGGGAGTGCCGGGGGTTGGAACCCCCTTTTTTTACGATCAATGCTTTAGAATGGGGACATATAGTTGGACCCCCCTTTTTCTCCTGGGTTGGAACCCCCCACTTTAATAATGGCTGGATCCGCCCCTGTACTAATATATCACAATACTGTTCCTTATAGTTTAGACACTCTGGTATGAACAAGGAATTTAAGACAGTTTAAGTAATAATGCTGAGCTATTGTTACATGTTTCTAGCTTATAACATGCCAGTATAACAAACATTTTAAAATAACCATTTATGTTTCATCAGAGACGTATATGTAGAATAGAATATACTTTATTCCAAATTAATGGACCAACAAGGGGCAACATGAGATTAACAAACAACTAAACGACTATAAACGAACAATAATGAGGAAAAGAATTACTTGGTTGATATATGGGTCATTTTCAAAAAATGTCGAATTTTCAGTACACCCATGCTAAATTTGTTATTTCTAATGGAAATTTCAGTTGTAATTGTTTAAATGAAAGCTTGTAGGATTTATGATTCAGAACATTAATAATAAACACGATTTACATCTATTTTCATAAGATTAAAATGTATTTAAGTCCGATTTTGGGGTAATTTGTGTGCGTACAGTTTCAGAAAAACACATTTCAAATGATTTTTTTTCCGATTTTCTGATCGCCTTGATATCTGCAAAAGGGACTTTTTAAGAACGTTAATAATTACTCTAGCGAAAAATCGTAGCTTATTTATCACTATATGTAACATTTTATCTACAAACTTAATTCAATCTGCGTACATGAAGTTCGATCATGTCCATCCTGTTACCGCTACTTAAATCAGCCGTTAAATTATTCTCCCTATGAATATTGAATTAGTCAGTGTTGATTTCAAAAGTGCAAAGTAACCTTTACAAAGAAATTTCAAGACATTTAGTGAAAAAAAATAGAGGGTACTTTTTTTCATGTCTATGCTGTTACCAACAATTTTGATTTATTACACCAAAAGTATACTTGTAAAAAGTGCAACAACGTGTTGGAAACCAAATTCACAACAGAAAAATATTATCACCTCACCAAAGGGAGTAGTTATTTCACAACAGCATTCGAAAATGAAGAAATTTGTCTATCCTGTTACTATGGTTGCTATGGTTACAGTAACAGGATAGACAATTGTAGACAGAAACGTCGTTAAAAAGTTTATCATAACATATAGTTGTAAACAGGATGAAATCTTTCGTTGTTTGAACTCATCTTAAGGTTATAACGTCTTAATCTTCCCAATTTAGCATTTGCAGGTGCAATACTGATATCGGTAACAGGATAGACAAAAAGGTAACAGGATAGAACTTTATATAGTGGTATACCATTAACGTACGTTCCTGTTACCAATGAAATAAAGACAAAAGTAAACTAACATGTGAGGGATTTACTTGATGTTGGGTTTATTTGAAAGAGAGAAAAAATGCCGAACAATATGAATTGCTATCTTAGACTTGCATTACTGGTGGTAATTTTTACAACCTTTGCAATTGAAAACCAATTTTTAGTGGCATTTTTCAGTACAACCTGGAAAATTGGCAAATAATCTATTATTTCACAAAATGAATATGTATAGAAGTTTATTCTCTTGAAAACCATCTAATTGGCTACGAAAAACAAGCTTAAAATTTTATCTAAACATTTTCTTAATAACCCAAAATTTCTTTTGAAAATGGTAACAGGAGAGACAAAATATTGTACCACCTATCAAAAAATGTTTCAAGATATTCTTGTATGACATTATTAAGATTGCATCTTTTAATATGTTGTTCTATAAGTACTGTTTGTTTTGATTTGCTTATGTAGAGGGTTGTTTGAATAAGTAACTTTTAATAAATTTTTCATTTTCAAAATTTTTAATACTAATGCATTTTATTGCAAGTGTGGTTGATATAGAGAACAAACAAGCAGCCCAAAAAGAAAAAAAAAAAGAAAAATAGATATCCATATATGTATAGTACACAAAAAGTTGGATCAATTAAACATATAATAATTAGCCAAAAAGAAAGTAGAAATTAAGCATGTCCATGACTCATCCTGTGTCAGCAGCAAATAGGAAAGCATTATGGTTTCCTAAAGGCAGCTGACACCAGGGGGCGATACCTTATGGGCCATAGGCATGTAAAATGTGTGTAAATGTCTCTTTCCTACCTGTATCAAAAGCAAACAAGGAAGCATCATAGGTAACTTGAATGCAGTTGATACCAGGGGACGATGCCTCAAGGATATAAGAGAACATTTGAATAAATAATATATCTAAACAATTATTTTTTTTTTTAATCGGCTAGTATGTTTGTGATATTCAGATGAATATAATTTTCTATGTCCAATCAAATGTATATACACACATAGATTTCCTTTAACTAATCTTCACTAAGGAAGATGTTTGTATATTAAATTACATATTATTTTAAGTAACTCAACATTTTCTACACTAAATAACCAGATAATTTTGCTTTGACTGTTCATATGATTAAAATAAGAATTATATTTTGCAATACTAGCTAACATACAATTTCTATCATCCTCAAATTTGTTACAATCAAATAGAAAATGAGCCTCATCTTCGACAGTATTGGAAGAACATTTATTACATATTCTGTTAATTCGGGAAATACCCTGATATCTACCTAATTCTATTTGTAATCTATGAGAAGATACACGTAATTTAGTAAAACTTCTTCTAAGTTCAAAATTCTTGATCAATGTTAGATATTTTTCAAAACCAAAATTTGTTTTATATAAAAGGTAGGTTTTCAGTTTACTGTCTGAAAATTTATCTATTTGTTTTTTCCAACAGCTAATAAACAATATCGATAGCTTGGTTTGTATATATTTCTTAAATTTGTATAAGGATTCACAAAATGGAGCATGTATGGCATTTGTATAGTCAATACCAAGTATTTTAAAAATAACATTTATTGAACCATACCATGATGTTATATTCATGTGATGTAGTGTCTTTGATTGTGTATATGCCTCTTTTAACAGAGGAAAATTATTACCTAAATTCTCTAATCTATACCAGTACAATAACATTCCTTTTATAATATTAAAATATATTGGAAATCTTCCAAGTTCAGATAACACTGCAGCATTTGTTGTTTTCTTGTGTACCCCAAGTGTAAATTTACAAAATTTTATATGAAGTTTCTCACAGGGTAAACCTGAATATAAATTTTTCAAAAGATATATCTTCCTTCTTACATTTAGAGGAAAGAGAATTAAACATCCCCCAAATATATACATTTGACAAATAAAAAAAATCAATAACTTAATGACGTGTATATTATTAGTTATATGTGTTTGTAATCACTAGAAACAAACCTTCACTTCTAGGACTCAGAGGTCAGACCAATTTCTCTTGATTATCAGGCTGAGCATATTGGCTGAGACGACTATATTGTAATTGTCCCAGTTCTCGGCCATATTGGTATTAACTTATTAAGAAGGTGTCCATTTAATTGGGACCATGTTCCTGTATAAAATTTGATTTTCAATCAAAAGTGATTGATATTCGAGTGTTGGAGTCACTTGTTAACCCTAAGCATAAACCATTTTATCATACACACGCGACAGGTTGTGTTGTATGAATTTTCTGCTCTTCCATCTTCTCTTTTTTCTTGTTCTTTTTCAGTCTTTGTTCTCTCTTGTCCTGCCAGCTTAGGTGTAACGCTGTAATATTAGCCACTGGAGATGAAACAACAGAGGTATTTCAAATTCGAAAATCTCAAGAAACAACTTGGACTTTAATCTTTTTATAATTTATTAAGACTCTGTGTCCTTCTGTCCTGTATTTTTGTTAAAATGAAGAAAGGACCGGTGATTGTCACGTCATCAAAGTCACTTGATGTCTTACTTAGTTATACACAATGTATGTATCATACAAACGCTACAAGTTGCGTCGCGCAAGTGTGAATTGTCTACGCTTTTATTTTCTCTTTTTTAAGATAGAACGAAAATGACATGAAGCTAACTATTAAGAAATTAATTGAAACATTCGAAGCTTTTTAATAATAGATGCGAGTACGATCCAAGCCAGTCCCACCACCCACAGCAATACCACATATCAACATCGATTTAAATAGATTATTTAATGTATATTTTATTATATGCTTTAAGCTGTATTGCTTTTGGAAATAAAGTATCATTACTATAGATGTACAAGCACTTCGACCAAAATGTTTATCAAATATCTGTTGCAATAGAAATGTCAATTTTATTTTATTCAATGCATAGACGGATCCAGAGGGGCCTGGGGGACCCGGGCCCCCCTTTTGTGGGAAAAATTTGGTTGATTATATAGGGAATCACTGAAGCATGACTGGAGCGGGCCCCCATTAGATCAGTCAGTCGCCCCTCCCCCTTATGAAAAGTTCTGGATCCGCCCGCCAATGCAACGAGCTCCTGAAATATTCCAGGACTGACCTCTGATGACCTCTATAATTCGAACTTAGGATATCCATTAATCATTTAGGACCTCCTGAAATATTTCAGGACTTGCATAATTCAATTTCAGGCTATCCTGAAATATACCAGGATCTCCATAATTCGATTTTAGGGGCTCCTTAAATACAATGATTTTGACCGTAAATCCGCGCCTCAGATAACTATCATAATCATCATGATTTCCAATACCCGAGGGAGTATATATGTATACCTTACCTGCAAAAACTTAGTCAAACTATAAACCCATCTGGAAAAACAACGCTTTTATGCTTTGCATGTAAATTATCTATAGTAATGTGTTTCTATTAAGACAAAACAGAGTGAAAATGTGCATGTTGTTCAGTGTAAAGATGATAGTTATTGCTAAGAAATGGTTCTCAACACATGTAAATATCGAAAAACATGCATCACTAATTACCAAGATATAAATAAACAACAAATTAATGGACTACAAAAAATAATCCATGTTTTCCTAAAACTACCACCATGTCATTAGATATGTTCCCAGAGAAATTCATTGCCACTTTTGTAGTGTATACATCAACATGAAGATCGTTATGGTAGGGATGGCGTTGATGTTATTCTTGACTATGGTAGAAGCTCAGAAACGATACATTTCATTTGGGGAAGTTCTCGTTTTACTGTCTTTCGTAGATAAAGATTGGGGTAGGTTTCGTTTGTTCATTTAATAGAAGTATTTTGTAGTTGCTGTTAATTTTATTAGTGCATGATTTGATCGGTCATAATTTTAACCATGCTATGTTATTAGAAAATATTTCATATGATTTGAGATTGGACTTTTTATGCAGTTTACTTCTATGGATTAAGAACACTTTTCAAGGATTAGAACTATTTTACGATCTGTTACTTCCTAAAGTTTAAAGATAAGATAACTTTTATTTCCAATAGAGGACCCTTTATGGACAAAATAAGTATGGTTAACACATTCATAATTTATCATAAAGATAATACAAAAAACAGCTGAAATATATAATTTAACATGAGAAAATACTATACAAACAACCCATAATGTTAAGTGTTCGTTAAATTTGAATAACACAGATCGATCTACTATTGTACAATTGTCCTTCTATTCTACATGCACATCTAATCGATTCAAATCGGTTTTCACCACAGCATCCATATTTTAAGATATCTCGACCTTCGCAAATTGAATCTAATTTTTCAGCTCGTCGAATTTTCATTAGTAATAGCAGAAGGTACCAAAAAGTGAATCAGCCACCCGAATTGATTCCTTGAGTATGATCCGTTATTTCCTTGTGTAGGATCAGTTCAAAATTCCATATTTAGTAGACGGGCAATATTTTTTAAGCCCGCGCGAGAAACGATGTTTGCCCATTTTTTTTTTCTTCAGAAACTATACACTTATGTTAAAAAATTATTCATCCAGATCAAAGAGCGAGACACAAAGCAAAGGTGCTCAAATTAAATTCTAATATCTATTGTTGAAATTTGTGTGCAAACTTTACTTAGATTTTTTTGGAGGGGGGGGATTAAATTCATGAAATGACTGATTTAAGAGATTTAAGACAATGGGATGAATCATGAGGATTATTCCTTATTTTTTAACAAAGCATAAAGGTTTCCTTATTTTATCATTCATTAACCAAATAAATTGATCATTGGTAATCAACTTATGAAAGTATTCACGATAGTCCCTAGCATACAGTAATAGGTTGCTTCTTTCGTGCAGTTCAGAAGAAAATGTATTTTATCAAACTTCGGAGCTGTATGTATAATTTGAAATTCTAAAGTGAAATTAAATTTAACATAATTTGATAGAAAACCACACAGGAAAATAAATTGATCACACAATTGCGCAGGCTGCTGCAATTGTCAACAGTTCCTGCTCCACTAGTGATACCCGTCATGCACGTTACTTCTGTTAACCTCTTTTTCAATTATTTTCAGCCATCAAATCAACCGGAAGTAATGACTTACCATGTACAATGTGTATAGACGAAAACAATTCTATGTGTATGCAAATATACTGTATGGGTAAGAGGTAGAACTGAACGGCGATACTGGACAGACCCCAATGTTGTGATTTACGTTTGTGTATGAACAGAAATGGACTTCTAATGTGTCACAAGAATAACAGTTGAATTATAATGATTCTATTCTACACTTCAAGAATTTGACTGGAAATCGTTGTGTGTTAGTTTCCTCTCGAAATGTAATCGGATTTATAATCAACAACTTTAAATAAAAATAATTTACTTCGTTCATCTATTTAGATATATTTTTAAAAGTTTGTTTATCAAAAATGACACGTGAGAAGGTATATTAAATATTTTCTAAGGTGTTGTATTTAGTCTTGTTAGATTTGAAACTGAGACTCGCCAAAATTCTATAAGACTATACATCTGGGACTAATAGTCACACTATACATGCACATCCTTGTTTTACCATTACTAGAAAATTGTCTTTTTTTTAAATGACAGCATTTTAAATGGATGATTTAAACCACAAGGACTCGGTTAGCAGATTAAAAAAATCAGTTTTTAAATTTTGTTTTCATATTTCTTTTTACTTTTTTAACGTATTTAACGTTGGCATCAATATTTCTTTTTTATTCTAACAATGTGCAGTTTACTTTCCATATCCGTATACTGAATGCCAATGTTAAATTCCTTATTAAAGTAACACAAATAGAACGGAAATACAAAAAAAAACATTGATTACAAAATTTTGTTAATCTGTTAACAGAGTCCCTGTGGTTTAAACATCAGTTACCTCATACAACAGTCATAATACCTATTGTAATGATATTAAGTCAACTTACATAGTCTTGCAGGGAATTCAAAAGAATTTTCAGTGTTAAAGGGAGAGGCTTTATTTTCCTTAAATAGGCCATTTCAGTATCGTGTTGCATGAGCCATGTATTAATTTAATGTAAAATCTTTCAAACAATTGTTCTTAAAAATTTTATAGAAAGGGGAAAGCAAGTCATTTTGCATTTTGTCTTTCTTGGAATGTCTTCATTTTACCAGAGACATATAATACAAATTAATGTCTCTGGTTTTACTACATATAGGAAACGTAAATTAAGTGATGTGTGGGTTTTGACATAAAACATGCAGAAGAAATTATTTCTATAATTTATCTGACAACTTTTAAAATAGAATTGGAAAACTTACAAAAATGAGTTCAAATTTCCAGTTTTTAAGCTACCCAGTGAAAATGGCAGAAATAAGGTTTACAGATATAAATATTTGTTTTACTTGAATCTGTGTTTTCATCATCCTTACTACATAGATATTATATTATCTAGATGATTTTTTCAAACTGATTTATATGTTGCCTTTTTCTCTCTACTAGAGAAATACAATACAGTCAGTGGCAGTGTTCTGGGGGTTTGATCCGCCTTTTTTGACGACCAATGCTTCTGAATGGGGACATATGGTTGGAACCCCCCTTATCCTAGGTTGGAACCCCCTTTTAAAAATGGCTGGATTTGCCCTGAAAATTGTTTCTGTCTACCTTTAATTATTCAATTGACAAGGATAAAAAAAGGAGGAGCATTCAACACTAACTAAAATTAGTTTAACTCAGTCATATGTTTATATATTTAAATTTGACCATTTCAAGTATGGAACATATACAACCGTTGTCAGTGGCGGATCCAGATATTTTCCTAAGGGGGGCCCACTGACTGCCCAAGAGGGGGCCCTCTCCAGTCATGCTTCAGTGATTCCCTAAATAACCAAATTTTTCTCAAAAAAGGGGGGGCCCGGGCCCCCCCGGAAAACCCTCTAAATCCGCCACTGGTTGTGACTGTTTATATCTCGATGTTTGCTGTCCATTAAGGTATTAATGTTGATGGCAAATCCTGGTTAGTCTCTCTTCAAATTCATTCACACATAAGTTGTCTAGAATGGAGGAATTGGAGGTAATCATACAAACACTAGGTAAATACGGTGACCTATTACCAATGTTAACTGCCAGATGTCTTCTTTGGTTTTGGTCTCATTCTCACATCACAGTTATGGTGAATAACCCAACTTTCAGCACTTTTGGCTATATCATTGCCACCAATTTTTCTTGGCGGAGGAATCAGAATGCCTGTAGAGAACCATGACCTTTGACAGGAAAACTGTCAATCCTAGTTAAGGTGGTACCTAACACTACAGGGAGATAACTCTGTAAAAATCAGCTAAACGTTTTAATTACGTTGTATTGTTAAGGAAATATTAAGCTTCTCAATGATCAAAATTAGTGTTTGTCAAACTGCTATATAACCAACGAAATTTTTCTGATAAAGTGGTTGGTTCAAATTTTTTGAAATTTTTATATTTTTGTCAAAGGGTCAAAGTAAACATTTTGTCAAAATTTCATGAAAATTAATGAGCCAAATTAATATTAGTCAAGGTGTTGGGTACCACCTTAAGTACACCTACACAAGCAGAATTCATACTCACAACCTCAGACTAGTGATGATTGTAGATGAACTACTTAGACCTCTCTTCACCAAGGCCCCAACATCACCTTAAATTCAGGTTTCAATGAACATGAATTAAAAATCAAATGTAAGGAATTAATATACATATATCATGTATATCCCTATTGTTTTACACAATGTCAAATTATAAAGCAGTTGTTTCAAATAATAAAATTATCAAACCTAAGTTCAAGGGTATCTCCATTGTATTGAAATTCTAATTTATCTTATGTTCTGTTTGGGCTATGTGCCCTGTAAAATAACTCAATAGACAATGATATGCATAAAATAGTCATAACATAATGAATTTTTCAATGTTAAAAGGAGATAACTCTCTCCAAATGTTTCAACGGTTTTACAACACTTTCCACTTAGACTTAAAATTTAAGGTATCAAATTACTAATTATGAAATAACTATGGTTAGGTTTACTTTTTTTGCTCTGCCACACTTCAATCTGGGTAAAATGTTTTAAAATGCATTGTTAAATTTCTTTCAAAGCAGGCCACCATAAGTGAGGGTGTGGATGGGGTTTACAGAATAGAGAATAATGGATAAAAAAAAAAGAATACAGAATAATGGGGCGCTAAAATATAAGGAATAACTGCAAAAATTAAAGAATTGGTTAAAAATATACTGATTACAGAAAAGAAAAGTGTCCAAAATAAAGTTATCAAGTAATTACAGAATAGCCATTACTTATAAAGATAAAGAATAATGAGCGAAAAAATTAAAGAATAGTGAGTAATTATACAGAAATAAAAGACCACCATCCATACCCTCATAGATTATTTCTGGATTTTTGTAATAACCAAACCATCATGGTGATCAGCTAAACTGAACTTTAGGAAGTGCATGCAATTTAAATACCAGTTGCTTGCAGATAAAAGTGGGACAGATGTGTAGCTTTTCTTTTTAACTTATGATACCACACTGTCGATATCCTGAGTATCAAATAGTTTTGTTAATCCTAATTTTCATTTGAAGAGAAATAACCAAAGACAAGGGAATATAAACTACCAGGGTACAGTATAAAATAAATGAGATTAGGGGTCTACGGCAATGAGACAGACACCTGACAACATGAAAACAAGACAGACATCTATTGTATTGTTTAGTATGATTTATCTTAATGTTTATAAAACTTATAACCTTTGTGATACTATACAGCCAAAGCATTTTCAACATAGAGCAACAAATTTTGTTTAAGTCGGGGCTGTGTGCGTAATTGGTAAACATAGCAATCAATTTCTTTGTTGGAGAAGTATATGCCAAAAAATGATATTTTTTTCCAATCAATCAGCCTCTATGCCAACCTGAATGGAGAATTGCACACCACATTCCTTCTTTCCATTAACCTGAAGTCTGGCCACTTTTATTAGAATGCAGAATTAATATAACTTAAGGCTTCAAATACTTTGTGTTAGAACATACAACTAACAAATAACATATTTTATTGTGACACAACCAGCATGTCGTATTAATAATAAAGAACCAGCTAAATATGTAAAAATATGTACAATATATTGCATATCATTAGTATATCTCTTAAAATGTAATTATTTAATATGAATCATACAAAAAAAAAGAGAAGTATATTCCTATCAAACTTGCTGAAAGACTGTTCCAGAATATGATTTGTGTGTATGTTGAGATAAACCATTTTTACCCCAGCTACATAAAATGTTTCTCTATTTTTGATTCTACATGATTCTTGATGCCTAAATTACAACCTCCCATCCAATTTTAGTTAAAGTGTATACTGACAGCCCTTCCAATCATGGAACAGCCCTTACAAATTGAAAGGTACAGAAAAAAATGTACAATATAGAAAATATATCTTTCACAATGGAATGTTACAAATATTACACAAGTCAGTATTAAAATGACAAATCCTAAAATTAAAAAAATGTTACTTATTAATGTGAAACAAGAAACAAGAAATTCTCCCATTAAAAACTAATCACATATTCATTTATGTAGAATTTATACAATATAGAAAATATATGCTATATTGTGTCTTCAAGGACGGAATGTTATAAATATCACAGAAGTTTAAGGATTTCTATATTTTGACACACTTTTTTTGTAAAATTCCTAAACTTACAAAATGGATAAATGCAGAGGACCATCTATCAAGTAAACAAGGATGTTCTCCAAATAATGTCTATCATCAGATTGCATCAATTAATTTTACAGTATAACACAGCTTGAATCATTCATACTATCATCCATGTCTCCATACTCAGGGTCAAATTCAAGGTCACTCTGTAACCGTGGGATACCATCTAAACGTTTCAGCTGAGGTAGCATCTGGAACACTCTGTATAAAAATAATTCGGTCAAAAATAAGAAAAAGAAATAATGCAAGTTCTAACATTCAAGGTATATTCTTATATGCAAGTGTACATTATACAATTATTCACATTTGATGAGGTTGATACAATGGTTTATTAACCCTAGAGCTGTGATATTCACCTAGGCCAACGACTGAGGTGAACTAAAGAACCTTTGTGAGCACGCTCACATACCCCACACCCCCACATTATCGTTGGCCGTGGGCAAACAAAGTATCACCAGATTCCTCAGATCAAAGACTTATAACTCCTACAAAAGTCAACTGATAAAAGTTTCTTGTGGATATGCACATTTACATATTATACATGTCCTTATTATCTACAAATTTTCATGAAATTCTGTTGTGTGGATTCAGAGGAGTTGCGATGACAAATTGTTGCAGTAGTATATATAGGCCAAAATTCTAAGTTCAAAGTTGCATAACTCCTAGAAAAAATTTGAATCATAATTTCCTGTCGATATGCACATCTACATAGTATGTCCTTATTATCTACAACGTTTCATGAAATTCTGTTGTGTGGTTTCAGAGGAGTTGCGATGACTGACAGAAAGACAGTCTGATGGATGGATGGACAGACGGACGGGTCAAAAACATTATACCCTAAGGAACTTTGTTTCATGGGGTATAGTAACATATCTCTGGGGTTGATAATATACAATTTATGATTTTTGCTGAGATTGATACAATGATTTCTCAACCCCAGAGATGTGATATTCACCAAGGTCAACGACTGTGGTAAATATTAAAGAGTAGGAAGTGCTCTAAGGGACTGATTTGCTAAAAAAAAATAAAAGTGTTGCACAAATAAAAAATGAATTTTGTATTAAAATAACCAATTGTTTTGTGCCACATTGTGATTGTAACTGTTCACTAAATGTATTCATACCCATAAATACTGAAATTGATAGTAAAAAACTTCATTGTGAAAGAAACTTAGTCAATTCTAGTTACTATGGATTTGATTATTTTTATGGGTATTATTTTTGTGGGTACCAATCTTCATGGATTGAGGAAAAATTGTATTTTCATGGATATTTGATTTCGTGGTTCTGCCAAAGTTTGCATTCAAGCATTAAGAAAATTTGTATTTTGTTGATTATCTCAAGTTCCTGGTTTGCCTTTCCCCACAAAATCTATGAAAATTGGTATTCCACGAATTCTGATGAATCCACAGTATATAAATATCAAGTCCATCATTATTACCTCTGTCTGTAGTTGATTAAAAAAGTGATTGGATTTCCACGTAGATACAGATCTTCCACCGATTTTAGGTTTCCCAGTCCTTTAAAGTTATCCACATCATTATCTTCCATTGTAAGTAACTTAACTTTAGGTATGGATGGTAAATACTGCAATTGTACAGAAAAAAAGATGGCTTATATTTCCTCGTTAATAATTCTACATTCTCATAACAGATTTATCTACTACATGTTGCTATAGAAACAAGATGGATAGACGGGTTAGTGTTTAATATCCAGCGTCAAATATTAACCCTGATGTGTATAAGACTAACATACTGAGCAGGCATTTTAACATATTAGTTTACAAAGTAGCAGTCTGTTGGAAGACATGATACCATATAGGGATATATATAGTATACAAGTAACAGCCAGTTGGTTTTCTCATTTTGTCATATTTGGGCTTTCTTTAGCTGGCTTTGAGGTTTTGTTCCTTGTTGAAGTCGTAAGGTTAACTATAGATGGTATCATTCATGCCATTTGGACTCTGGTGGAAAGTTGTCTAATTGGCAATCATACCACATCTACTTACTTTTATACTAATCAGGAAAACTTTACATTGACAAATGAACCATTAGAAAAAGGCCAAGGTAAAATGAAACCTGCCAGACAGGCATTTACACCTTGCAATGATTAAATTGATCTATTTACTAACATTTTTCAGTCAATAAATGGTTTGACTGATTTTAATGCAACTAAATACCAATTAGTATTGACATATATAATGCATTTCCTATTAAACTGACCTAAACACAAACTTTAAACAATTATTAAAATCACCTCTACTGCTGTTTAAGCCAGAAATACAACATAACATACCAACATCAATGCCTTGCCTGCCTTCTTTTGTTGCAGACAAGGCAATAGATGCCTAAATTTGGTAAACTCACATGAATCAACATACCTTAAAAGAAGAAATATAGTTATTGTTGATATTCAAAACTTCACATCTGAAAAAGAAGAAGATATTTACTCAATATCATTATGCAGTCTCTTTGAATACAGATATGACTTTGAAGAGATTAAAAAATGATTCCTAAAGCCCTATAATCAGCTATTAAATAACATTCCATTTAATTTTCAATATTTAGAACAATGAGACTTTAATTCTTTATGTATTGCAGTTAGTTTTTAAGAATTAACTTAGTATGTGGTTATATGAATTTAATGTTTGAATTAAGGGTGAATGCTGAGTTACTTAAAAGATATATATCAAACATTTGCTCTCATCATCAATCACAATGAACTGCTTCAGTGGTCTCTTTGTATTGTGACCTCACAAGTGGTTGAGGTCATGGGTTGGATCCCTGGCCAGGTCAAACTAAATACTTAAATATTGGTATTTGCTGTTTCTCTGCTAAGCACACAGCATTTAGGAGTACGACCATAACATGAATTGCAGCTTTGAGATGAGGAACAACAATAAAAGCTTTTTTTTTGTTCTGTCAAGTGTGAGTATAGTGGTTCTGTGTTATGATAATACACTATATCCTTTCTTTTCAATTATGAGATAGAATAGTATAATTACTTTGGAAAGCTGTATGAGTAGAGGTACTGCATTCCATTGTCCACGAGGTAGAGCTGCTCAACATTACGAAGGCGTCCAAGAATATTCTGGAAATGCTTTCGTTGATAGGCATCACTCAAGTCCTGGTAGCAAAAACTGGCAGACTAAAATAAAAAATAAAACTTAGGGAGGGATACACAAACCACTGCTTTACTGTTAGTATATTTATTATCTCCCCTTTAATATGTAGGACAGGGATATAGCATTGCATATCCTTAGTTAGTGCTCTACACCTGTGTTTAGTTTCATCAATATGTTAAGCTGTCTAAAAGGAGTTCCTCTTATGAGAGATCATTACTACACATATTGCAATATTGAGGTAAGTAAATTGAATTATCTCCCCTTTAACACATGGGACCAAGATCATATACCTTATAGCATATCCTCAGGTAGCATTCTGCAAATGATTAAAATTTCATCAATCTGTCTTGCTGTTTTGTTATTTGTACAAGGCTTAGAAACAGGTAGAAAGCGAGGCTGTGCCGAGCATTTCTATCCTGTTTTGAGCCAAGTACATATAAAATTTATATTTTGAGACAATGTATGGTTATTCTTTATATACTACAACTTCTACAACTGTTCCAAATGAAATATTTAGGGTAACAAGAGTGCACACACTGAAATGTCTCGCCTTCTTTACTAACCATTGATTTTATGTTGACAGTCCTAAATATAAAGCTTTACTACAAGTAACACATAAACTTAACATGATCCAAGAAAATGAGGTCAAGGTCAGATAAACCAAACGAGAAATACATGTACACCTTACAATCATTCAATAAACCAAACATAGTTGACCTATTGCTTACCTGCCAGACATACATATACACCTTACAATCCTTCCATACAACAAATATAGTTGATCTATTGCTTATAGTACTAGAAAAAAAAAGACCAAAACTCAAAAGCTTAACTTTGACCACTGAACCATGAAAATGAGGTCAAGGTCAGATGACACCTACCAGTTGGACATGTACACCTTACAATCATTCCATATACCAAATATAGTAGACCTACTGCTTATAGTATCTGATATATGGACTTGACCACGAAAACTTAACCTTGTTCACTGATCCATGAAATGAGGTCGAGGTCAAATGAAAATTGTCTGACGGGCATGAGGACCTTGCAAGGTACGCACATACTAAATATAGTTGACCTATTGCACATAGTATTAGAAAAAAAGACCAAAACTCAAAAACTCAACTTTGACCACTGAACCATGAAAATGAGGTCAAGGTCAGATGACACCTACCAGTTGGACATGTACACCTTACAATCATTCCATATACCAAATATAGTAGACCTACTGCTTATAGTATCTGATATATGGACTTGACCACGAAAACTTAACCTTTGTTCACTGATCCATGAAATGAGGTCGAGGTCAAATGAAAATTGTCTTACGGGCATGAGGACCTTGCAAGGTACGCACATACTAAATATAGTTGACCTATTGCACATAGTATTAGAAAAAAAGACCAAAACTCAAAAACTCAACTTTGACCACTGAACCATGAAAATGAGGTCAAGGTCAGATGACACCTACCAGTTGGACATGTACACCTTACAATCATTTCATATACCAAATATAGTAGACCTACTGCTTAAAGTATCTGAGATATGGACTTGACCACCAAAACTTAACCTTGTTCATTGATCCATGAAATGAGGTCAAGGTCAAGTGAAAACTGTGTGACGGGCATGAGAACCTTGCAAGGTACGCACATACCAAATATAGTTGAACTATTGCATATAGTATTAGAAAAAAAGACCAAAACTCAAAAACTTAACTTTGACCACTGAACCATGAAAATGAGGTCAAGGTCAGATGACACCTGCCCACTAGACATGTACACCTTACAATCATTCCATATACCAAATATAGTAGACCTATGGCATACAGTATAAGAAAAACAGACTAAAACACAAAAACTTAACTATAACCACTGAACCATGAAAATGAGGTCAAGGTCAGATGACACCTGCCAGTTGGACATGTACACCTTACAGTCCTTCCATACACCGAATATACTAGACCTATTGCTTATAGTATCTGAGATATGGACTTGACCACCAAAACTTAACCTTGTTCACTGATCCATGAAATGAGGTCGAGGTCAAGTGAAAACTGTCTGACAGGAATGAGGACCTTGCAAGGTACGCATATACCAAATATAGTTATCCTATTACTTATAATAAGACAGAATCTAACATTACAAAAAATCTGAACTTTTTTTTCAAGTAGTCACTGAACCATGAAAATGAGGTCAAGGACATTGGACATGTGACTGACGGAAACTTCGTAACATGAGGCATCCATATACAAAGTATGAAGCATCCAGACCTTCCACCTTCTAAAATATAAAGCTTTTAAGAAGTTAGCTAATGCCGCCACCGCCGTAGCCGCCGCCGGATCACTATCCCTATGTCGAGCTTTCTGCCGGATCACTATCCCTATGTCGAGCTTTCTGCGACAAAAGTCGCAGGCTCGACAAAAACCATAAATTTTTAATTTGGAGCGAACGACGTTAAAATTCTGCAAACCTGTACTTTTAATGACGTCATAAATAAAACTCTACGGAAACGCACTGTCAACGTCATAAACAAGGAGATATACTGTCAGCGACTGTATATCACAAATGATTATACGGTCAATGCAATTTGACTACACAAATAGCACAGCTGCAGTATATATTTTTTTATCTCCCCCTTTATCATGTAGGACAAGGATTGTTTTGCTATCTGCACATTCTCAGGTAGTCTTTTATCACCGTAGAAAGTTTCACCAATCTAATTCTATTCATTTAGGAGTTGCTCTTATAAGATACATGGACAGATGGACAGGAATTACTTGTATAACCATCAAGAAATATATCATATTGTATTATCAGGTTAAAGTTTTGGTTGAAGGTAGTTTATGATAACGTTGTGATCACATCAACTTGGAAATTTGTAGAAATGTTCATTATAATGTAAATTAAAAAAGTTATTATGCCAAATTAGGGTTTTGACCCTGATTCAAGGTTAACTGAACATAGAAATGTCATAGTGGGAACAGGGCATGATGTCCTCTGCACACATATATTCTTGTTTTATTAAAAAAAATTATATTCCTTGGTGTTAATTCTTAAATTCTCACTCTTTAATTTTGACAACTGTTTAAATTTTACATGTGTATACACAAAATCATGAACCAATCATATATACCTTTGCTTGTTCCCAGTTTTCCATGGTAGTTTGATGTGTTATTCTTCTCCTCCCATGTAAGTTGTGATGTATATACTGATTATCTTCATCCTTCAGACTATAAAATGCTTCTTCTTTTTCATCAGGTCCTGTAATTTAGTATACATTCTATAAATATTAGTAGAACTTTATTGCTGGTATCATTTTTAAAAACAGCAAGTTCAAAAGTTGACTTGGAATGACATTTTGGTTGATTGGATTAATGCCATTTTCCTTATCTGAATAATTTCAAGATAAGGTTTTAAAAAGTTTAACTGGCATTCAAATCTGGTTGATGGTGTAATGCAACTGTTTACATACCTTAATAGTTACATAACAAGTTTTAAAGTTGAATGGGAATGACATTTAGTTAAATTGACTTGAATAACTGACTGTATACATCACACATGTGTCACATGCAGATAAATTTTGTAGTTTAAGCCACATTGCTCTTTGACAAAGGTTATTTATTTTTTAATAAATTGTAAATTCATTAACAATGAAATACAGACTTTCAACTTATTTGTGCATTTTCAATGTCAAAATAATAAAAGTAATGCTTTGTTAGGTTAAGATAACAATTCATGGATTCATTTCTAAAGTAAGTAAAACAAGCATTCTGACAGACAGACGGAGTGCAAACCTAAAGTCCCCTTCGACTTCGTCCGGTAGTGGACTAATAAAAGCACTTAAGTGAAGTAGTCTGTTATATTTTGTATGTCATCATGGCCCTAGATCTCAATATTAAACTTTTGAAATGATCAACCAATCAAATATATCTTGATTGTTAAAAAAAATTAAATAGCCCAAAATTCTTAGTTTTAAACTCATTGGCGTAAATTTTCTTTGTTTTAATTATGACAGAAATGCAAACAGCCTTTTGAGTAATATAATTTAGGTTTACCAGTATATAATTAATTTGATATGTCAATTTTCATATTATAAATTCCTTTTGATTGATATTCAACATTTAACTGACAAACCTTCTCTTATTCTTGGTGCTTTCAGATCCGTTCCTTTAATGGATACTACTCTCAAGTCATGCCATACTGAATACTGAAATCTGTGGGAAGGCAGCTGCAATATAAAACAGTCATTAATATTATAATAATTGCCAAATAACTATAATCTTATTACCATATATTGTTTTTTTTTTCGTGTTTATAATTTTCGCTTTGTTCGCGGTAGCTAGAGAAATGCGAAAATTTGACCCCACGTAAATTTCCTTGCATATTCCAAAATTAATTAAAATTTGAAAGTTTTATACATTATACTGTTAATTATGGAGTCTTTTGTGTTGTTCAACAGATCACAAGAATGAGCATACTTAATCAAAATCTCTGTTTTCATAATAATTAAATTGGCAAACATACGTGTCACACCTTATGAAAACACAGCAATCAGTTGTTAATTAGTGACAAGCTTTTGTATTGATAGGTGTCATAACCCAAACAATAAAAAATAAAATAAAAATAAATCACTTTTACATTGTTATTTGTATATCTGTATTGATCAGAATTCTATTTTTAGCATGCCCCAATGTTCTTAATTATGTTCCTTAAAAGTTCTCTAAATTGTGTACTTTTGTTTGTATTACTCGTATTTATTTGTGATGGATTTTGTGTTATTCACATCTTAACAATGCAAACAGTTATATTTTCGCATGTATTTTCTCATTCAGTGATAATTATACACAGTGAAAATTTAACCTGCCCATTTTCTCATGAAATCGTGAAAAAAAGCTGACGCGTAAAAAACCCGATATACTGTATTTTATTGTACAATCTGTCAAATATAAATCTGAGCTTATTTCATTAATATCAAATTTTCAGATCTAAATTTGAAATCTAAGCAAAATCATAAGGTGTACTACTACTATGGGGTGTTTAACGAACTTGACTACCCATGAGGGTCTCACACAGTCGGTAAGAAAAAGGTGTTGATTAAAGTCTGAAGCCATGATTTTTGGAGCTAAATGTATCACAAGCAGCTATCTTGATGATAAATGTGTGACACTGTGTGCTGCTGTGTATATTTTGTGTGTAAGGGTACCTGAGGAACACTTCCTGGACTGTCTTTTGCTTGTTTAAGATGTTTGTAAGCTGGTACTATAGCTAACGGTATACTGGTACTAGCTAGCTGTCCAGTGTCTGTTGTCCCTGTTTCATGACTAATATCTGTCTGAAGTGAGCTGCAAGAATAATAAATAATAAATGTAAACAAACTTCTCTTCTCATCTACATTCATTATAAAACAATTATTAAAGAGTTCCAAAGAACCCTGTGTCTTGTCTGCAATTTCTGCTGTCAGCGTAAAGGTGTAATGTTGATTGACAAAAACAAAGCCTATACATTGTACATGCCAAAAACAGAAAAAAAAATTAAAATCAAACTTTTTTCTTCGAGATCAAGAAGTTGATCTAAAGAAAAAGTTTGATTCAAAATTTTACTCTGGAGGCTATCTTTTGATCATTAAAAAATCATCTGTCCAATTTTCATAAATTTTCAAGAGAGTTTGACCATGTTGACAAAGTTATTGATGTCTGAAAAATGTGAACCTCAGTCTGAACCTATTAAATGTTGATGTGGCGGACGACATGATTGACAGAATGTAGGCTCACTGTCTCACCTGTGCGACAAAAATCATTATTTTCTGGCAGCCTGTTAACCTAACTAGTAGCTTAATCCAAAATGATATGAATTAAAGCTTTTCTCATTGTTTTGCATCAATCCTCCATCATAAACTTTTTGTAATTTAATAGCTTTATCTTGAAAACTTTTAAGTCTAATAGAACCAAGTTGGCGTTATATAATTCTTGGGTTATCTACACCAATATTTGTTATTTCCATTTCAACAGAGCCAAAAGTGAATTCTGTTTGTAAATTAAGAGATTTTGTTCGAAACTATTTAGCCCACTGATATGACCCATCATATATGTTACAAGGTTTAAACATCCTCATATCATGCATATGGTTGTCTACATAAGGTGTGATTTTGTTGCCCAAAATGAAAGCTGGGGCTTTAATAGCTTACTGTAGGGTATGGGTTTACTAATTGTTTGAAGGCTGTACATAGTTTTTTATATCCTAGTCCTTTAGCAATCATACCACATCTTCTTATTCATGCTATTTATTAAGTTATACCACATCTTCTTATTCATGCTATTTATTAAGTTATACCACATCTCCTTATTCATGCTATTTATAAAGTTGTTAGTACAATGTACATAATAACACACATAAATGCTACATGCACTCTCATTTTCATTTGTATCAGGGGTGCAATACAGGCTCATTGGAATTTGGAACATCTTGTTTCTATAAATTAGTTTGTATTTTTTCTTCTTTTTTATGGTAAAGGCATTAACTTATCATTAGCTGATCATGGCAAACAAAATATTGAAGATACATTTTTTTTGTACCATGGTGACAATGACTGCATGAAAGCATCAACTTCAGGACTGACACCATGGCCAAACAAAATATATTTAATTAAAATAATGTCCCACAAAACAATTACCCTAAGAAGATTGAGCAATTTCAATCCTATTTAACCAGAGACATATAATACAATTGTATTATACATGTTATATGTCTCTGATTTAACTCTCAGATGAACTCAGTTACTCTTGAAGAAAATCTAATATTGCTCATTTAAAAAATCTTATTATAATAAACCACAACAGAAAACAAGCCTTAGGATGAGATTTTGACTGGCACAAGAAGAATTCAAATATCCATGGGAACTTTAAAGAAACATGTACCAATTATGGGTGATTGCCTTCCACAATGGTTCATGTCTTACGGTCTTGAATTTTTGTTTGTTTGATTGGTCTTCTCTTGCCCTTAATCCTCAACCACTCTCAGTGTAGACTGTAATAAAATATTAACCTACTTCTAGTTTGTAGTGACTGCCTTCAACACATTGAAGTTTATGTCGTTTGTACTATGCATTGCTTAGTGGAAATGGATATACAGTGAAATTAAATAATTTTATAACCTAGTCTTCTGTTCTTCAAATTACTCCACTCAGTCATAACTGAAACTATTACATGCTGTAATTTATCAAAGGGTTTGGAAAGGGAGATTAATCACGGATCTGGACACAGTATACTTGGAACACTGAGATTAACCATGTTAATAGTTTATAAAATATACATTCATGTTCTTCTTCTTTCCTCTATATCTTCCTCCAATAGTTGGAGTACACCAACCTTACTGAATTAAGGTTGGTTAATCCTTATAAAAATTATTAAGTGAATACCTAACTATTTAAAAATAACATTATGTACAGTTAAATCCCTGCAAAGATACTAATAATAACTTCTATGTACATTAAAAATGGGTCACAGTTTAAAAGTTATTAATAAAATTTTTAAAAATAAAAAAGTTTTGAATATTATTTACAGGGCATGCATTATAGTAAAAAATCTTTACATTTACTAAACAATGTTACTTAAAGGTAAAAAATAACGAGTTTTCAGCTTCCTGCCTGCTACATGCTGGAGTTACTACATCTGTCTATGAGCACTACTAGGCGATATAAAATCAATAAAATCATGCATATAAGCTTATATGTCCTAAGCGATCTAATTATGCATAGCCATTATCTATCTGTTATATATATATATATGTGAAGCTACTGGGTATTAAAGCTAACGATAAACATGTACATTTATTCCAACTATAGGTATAGCGCGGCACAACCACACTGACCAGTTATTCTAAAATTTCATGGATTTTCTCAGCATTTAATTTTACGTAAAGGATTGATAGGTTTAGCGCGGAACACCCACACTGACCTAGTTGCTCTGTCCAAAAACCTTTATGATGACTTTAGATTAAAGATAAACGTTGTTTCAGTTGTTTCATTTTACGGAGTTAAAGAAAGCAATTGAAGGTATAGCGCGGAACAGCCATATTAACCTAAATTAAATGAAGATTTGAACATTTAGATTTTCGCAGCATTTAATTCTGTGTAAAAGATTGATGTTAGGTTTAGCGCGGAACACCCACACTGACCTAGTTGTACTGTCGAAGAAGCATAAATGATTATTCCTTAGATTAGAGAAAAAAGCCATATTTTATTTTATGAAGTTGAAGATAGTTGTTTAAGGTTTAGCGCGGTACAACCACACTGACCTTGTGACAACTAGACATTAAGAGAAGACACTCTTTTTAGATGGAGTCTATAACATAAGTTCCTGCTTAATTCTTCTATTGAATTAAGAAAAATTCAATGGCATGATGCCCGATTGATGGTTGTCAATGTAAACAATTTATAATTTTTAACAATTTGGTCTAGTAATTTGTTTTAGGAAGTTGTAATTTTTAAGTGTAGATGGATCAGAACAATGTATACAGTTTTGTATAATTGAATACATGTTCAATGCTCCTATCGTTGCAATAAACGAAAATAAAGATGATAAAATTCCCAAACCTTTCGGACATTTTGGAAAGAAACCGGAAGTTTACGTCAGTCGAAACCGAAAGTCATTGAATGTTAGGGAAGAGAAGAGACAAAGCTATATCGGTACATTTTATATCATAACCTTTATGAAAATGAAGTCCTCAAACTTTCTTCCACAGGGACTAATGATTTTTCTTGTGTTCTTATCAAAAATATAAAAACGAAAATAGAATCCGGAAAATTAATACACGAAATTGACTCTAATTTTAGAATTTGGGAATTTCCCAAAGAAAAATCAAGAAAAACAGAACAATTTCACAAGAAGAAGTATGTGTTTAGTGTTACATAAATGTATATTTAATCATTAATTAAGTATTGGTATCGTGTTAAATCAGACTGTTAGACAATTTGCTGTTACCATTTGACACTCATTTTTGTTACATATAGACATGATGGATGATTTTTCTAAGTCATTGTAAGTTGAAAATCCCATTTTAGCTTTAATTTTGTTTTAATACTGATAATAGGGATACACCTGCTCCCTTTTTGTTTGCCATTACTGCATGGCCATCACAGACATTCCTGTAAAATTTTGACATCTTACAACATGTACAAGAAAATGTCTGACGCAACAATGCATTTAAGTGAGTGTTGTACAATGTTAATCGTTTAAGTGTCACACTCAGATTCCGAAATAGCAATAAGGTCTATTTATGATGATTATTGTTTTTGTGAGTAATCCATGCAAGAAAGATTTCAGTCTTCATTTTAATGTAGTAACTAGAGGTTGAATGAGTGAGTGACGAGTTTAAAACTTACAGGGTCGCCCCGCTTTTCCAACACCCCATTAGTCTGACACTCCAATAATCTGACACCCCATTGGTCGGACACCCCAATAGTCCAACACAAGCTGTAATTGAAAATCTACTTCGTACAAACAAATGGAAAAGACAGCACTTTCCTACATGTACATGTATGTAAAAAATACCATTATCCTATAAATATAAGGCAATCGACAACCTTGCAATATTTTGCTTTACAAAAACAAAGTGTGACCTTAGCTCTTTAAAAAAAAAAAACGTTATGCTGAAAAAGGAATTTGATTGATTGATTACTGTTTTCTTTACGTCCAGTGTCAAATAATTCATGCATGTTAAAGACGAAAACAAATTAATTATTAATATAAAACACATGCAAAAGGTATGTCCTGTAATAAGCTATCGATTGGGATTGAGGGCGGACAATTTGGACTAACACAGAAAATGAGGATAGGCATAGAAATTTGTCCTTGCAACAGACTCATGGAATAGACATTACTTTATAATGTATGTTCTAAATATATATGGAATATTATTTTCACTGGAAAAAATATTACTTAACTTGTTCACGATGAAATAAAAGGTATAATATTTGTTCCATAAGGAACAGATATTATAGGATTGTTTATAACAAAGTTTCAAGTGGAACTTCTGTTAGCATGGTTAGGAGGAACAAATATAGGTAAACAAGTGTGAGTACCACCTACGGACCTACCTTATTTTTGCAAAGTTTCTTAAAGTGTAGAGACCGTGCCACTCTCTCTACACGAGGCATTGGTTTTAATGTCCTTTTTCAGACCAAACGTGTCTGCATATTTATACATCCAGCACAACCAAAGGACACCCCACTTGGGAAGAGGTTTAATTTATTGAAAAAAAAACCAAAAGTTAACATATTTTTATACTCAAGTCATCCTTGGGGTGAGGAAAATTTGGAATTTGAAGAACAGTCTCTCGTCGTAAAGTCTTGGATTGCAACACAATTTCATATAGCAGTCCTAAGTATGAAATCGTTCAAATTATAATGGTATATTGTTATTCTAAACTTTTTCCCAAAATTGATCGCCCTGAAGATCATAAAAAACAGTTTATTAAAATAAAGTATGTCAATAAAGGTTTTGATTTTGTAAATATTGCCTGTATTTTTAACGACCATTCTGTTAAAGAACAAATTCCGGGATATTTTGATAATACTGAGCTCCCTCTTATTTGTTGTACAAAAATGTATTTACAAGAAATCTACCCAGAAATCTGTGTTTAATTATAGCCAATTGTGTAAAGATGTTAATATCAGTGAAAATACACCTACTTCATGTAATTGCAGTAATTCCGAATACATTTATGGACCCATTTCCCATGTTATAACAAGAGATCTTAACATCGTTCAAGACCGAGTTAAAATCATTCCTCAGTAAAGGACCTAAATATCGTCCCCTGTTGGATTATCTTTCCATAATCGTTAAACCTTTTCTGTTCTTCCTCACAATTTTTTGTATTGATCAGTTGAAGAATTCAAACAAAAAAGCAAGTAATTCAAATATAACTGTATTAGGATTTCCTTTTTTTGGGAGGTTTTTGTCGAGCCTGCGACTTTTGTCGCAGAAAGCTGGACATAGGGATAGTGATCCGGCGGCGGCATTAGCTAACTTCTTAAAAAGCTTTATATTTTAGAAGGTGGAAGACCTGGATGCTTCATACTTTGTATATAGATGCCTCATGTTATGAAGTTTCCGTCAGTCATACATGTATGTCCAATGTCCTTGACCTCATTTTCATGGTTCAGTGACTACTTGAAAAAAAAGTTCAGATTTTTTGGAATGTTAAATTCTATCTTATTATAAGTAATAGGATAACTATATTTGGTATGTGCATACCTTGCAAGGTCCTCATGCCCGTCAGATAGTTTTCACTTGACCTCAACCTCATTTCATGGATCAGTGAACAAGGTTAAGTTTTTGTGGTCAAGTCCATATCTGAGATACTATAAGCAATAGGTCTACTATATTTTGTGTATGTAATGATAGTAAGGTGTACATGTCCAACTGGCAGGTGTCATCTGACCTTGACCTCATTTTCATGGTTCAGTGGTCATAGTTTAGTTTTTGTGTTTTGGTCTGTTTTTCTAATACTGTATGCAATAGGTCAACTGTATTTGGTGTATGGAAATATTTTAAGATGTTCATGTCAGTCTGGCAAGTTTTATTTGACCTTGACCTCATTTTCACGGTTCATTGCTCGATGTTAATTTTTTGTGTTTTGGTCTGTTTTTCTAATACTGTATGCAGTAGGTCAACTATATTTGGTGTATGGAAGTATTTTAAGATGTACATGTACATGTCAGTCTGGTATGTTTTATTTGACCGTGACCTCATTTTCAAGGTTCATTGCTAAATGTTAAGTTTTTGTGTTTTGGTCTGTTTTCCTAATACTGTATGCAGTAGGTCAACTATATTTGGTGTATGGAAATATTTAATGATATACATGTCAGTCTGGCAGGTTTTATTTGACCTTGACCTCATTTTCATGGTTCATTGCTTATGTTAAGTTTTTGTGTTTTGGGCTGTGTTTTTTTACACTTTAAGCTATAGGTCAACTATATTTGGTGTATGGAATGATTGTAAGGTGTATATGTCTGTCTGGCAGGTATCATCTGACCTTCACCTCATTTTCATGGTTGATTGGTCAATGTTCAGTTTTCCTGGTTAACTTTTTTTCTTAGATACCTTAAGCAATAGGTCAAGTATATTTGGAATGATTTTAATGTGTACCTGTCTGTCTGGCAGGGTTCAAATGACCTTGACTTCATTTTCATGGTTCATTGGTCAATATAGAATTGCCATGGTTTGGTCTGTTTCTTTTATACTATAAGCAAAAGGTCATCTATATTCTGTGTATGGAGGGATTGTATTAAAGGTGTACATGTATTTCCGGCTTGGTTTATCTGACCTTGACCTCATTTTCTTGGATCATAAATGTTAATGTGATACTTGTAGTAAAACTTTATATGTAGGACTATCAACATAAAATCAATGGTCAGTATAGTAGGCGAGACATTTCAGCATGTGCTCTCTTGTTATATAATGTACTATAAATTTAAACTGATGTATTGAAGAATATGTAATTAAATGTGTTATTGCTCATGCATTTAATAACAGTCATTTTATTAACTTAAGCAGTGGTCCTATGGCTTGTCCCAAAAAAAAAATCTGTTTATGCCAGTCATTTTTTTAATATTTTTCAAAAAATTGTATGGTTGTACATAATTAAACCAATTTTTGAGATTTTGGGAAAGTGAATCAAATGGTCTTAATTTCAGAGACTGAATATAAATTGTAAGCCATGACATCATTTAGGAATACTGTGTATTTGTCTATCTACAGATGATTATTAGTTCATAAACCATGACATCATGTCAAACAGCAGGAAAAAGAAGAATGATACTGAGGCTGTTGTAGCAGAGGCCATGAGAGAAGTAAGACACTCACAGCTATGTTACAACAGACATACATTTTTAAAAGTCTTGTCATATTGTATAAATGGAAAAATAACAAAAGTATAAAGACATATTGCAACGTAAATGGGTTTTTCTAAGTAAACAGATGTTCCGTTCATATTTTGTCTCATGACATTATACCCCACTAGCTCAACCGTTTATGTTACTGGTAGAGAGGGTTCGTCCTGTGCTTTCGCTCCAGGTCGTCAGACAGCATACTGACAATACCAAGAACCAATCAATTCAACTTATGACAGGTGTCAGAAATCTAGAAATGATGATTGCCCCAAGCAATGTTTTCGCTCATTTAACAAATAACCAAGATTCATAAAACAGTTTCATATTTAACAGACAAAGACAATATTACACAATATTGTGGCATCTCCATATGAAATTTTAATCCTAAAATTTCAATACATTTTCGAACCTCACCTTATACATCATGTACATGTTATAGGATAAAACGAGGCAATGCATTTGCAGTGAAAAATACACATAATGAATTAACCAAGTACAAGAAAGTGTTTGGCCTTAGTGCTATAAAATTGATTAAGATAAATAAATTCACACACTAGAAATTTAGACGTGACTGATTACTTAAAATATTAAGAGCTGTACATTAGTCGTCCTTTTTAACAAAAACTAAATTCAATCAATCAAGTTTGTGACATCCCACCTTCTGAGATAAAATAAATATACCCACTGGTTCCCACCGACTTTGTTAGACTAGAACATGAACCTCGTAATTCTATGTATCAGGGACCAAAGTCAGTCTTGTAAAAAAAAAACACATCGCATTAATTCTCGGTCCAACCAGAGCAATGTCTGAAACACATTATTCAGTAGCATTGACCAGTTCAAGACCTTAAAAAAAACATGCGATAATACAAAATTCGATTCCAGAGTAAGGCTCGAACAATTCCGTAGATTGACGACCTTTACTCTAAAATATCCCTCTCGGATTAACCATCTTCTTCAATATCGCTACCAAAATGTACCCAATCTCTTTATAAATCTGAAATCATAAAATATCTAGCTAGTGTACAATTCCTTCTATTTTTTTGGAACGGAAACGTAAATTATGAATTTAGAAGTGTTTTGACTCTAAAACCGAAAAATATATCAAATGTCATGAATGTAAAGAAATAAATATTTAAGTCAAACATTGAAAACAAATGAAATGAAATTAAAGTACAATGTACAACTTACCAGTATGAAAGTTTTCCCCAATCTAAAGAAATATTGTCCAGTCGAGGTTTAAATATCCAAGTCTGGACATTGAGTCTCAAGCACAAGAAAAACGATCCCCGCAAAAACTGAACGGACAAACCTAGTTATATACTATATCTAAAAATAGAAAAAGGGGATTTACGATGACCCATAAACGTTACAATATAGCGAAATACATATATTCATCTTTAAGAGCAGCTAGGGCACTCCTTCAGAGTTGGAAGGTCAATCATGGACCAACTTGCATTCAATGTCATGAAATAGAAGTTCCTTCGTAATACAATGTAATACAAGTTCCAAATTGAAAACATATTCCGGAATATTATTTCCACTGTGGAATATTATTTCCACTGGAACAAATATTACAGTGATTATTCCTAATGGAATAAATGGTCTAGAATATACTTGTTCCAACAGGAATAGATATTATGGCAATGTTTATATCAAAGTTTCTAGCGGAAGGTTTGTTAGGCGGAACAAATGTATGTTGAAAACATGTTAGAGAACATGAAAATTGACAATTATTTTTAGATTTTTTATCAGTAGATTAAATAAGACAGGTTTAAAATTTAGTCAAAAGAATCTGATAAAAGTTCCAAAGTTTCTCCTGTAGCATGTGTAGGCTTTATTTTTGAATACTTTTATATTTGCAGGTTAATATGGCAATGAGAGAAGTTGCCCAAGCTACTGCACCATTAAGAAAAATGTCTAATAAAAATTTACATGATATTGAATCAGATTCATTACCATATCATGAACCAGGTTTGTAATTTTAATTAAATAACTGTCGGATAAAAATTTGAATATACATTGTAAGTATCTCCTGACCCCATCTAATTTGTCAGCCCTTCCATCGATCAGAATCAAATGGTCACTCCCCTAACCATGCACAAAACATCAGTAAGCAATTTTCTTACACTTGTTATCTCTTCAATAATAAGGAGATGTCGTATGATTGCCAATTCGCAATGAGACAACTATCATGACTATCAAAGACCAAAAGACTTTGCAATCTTTAAATTTGCACCTGTCAAAAGTATAATTGTGCAAATATGTTTTTAAAAATATCTATTTATGAAGGAAACTTATGATTGTGGATTGGACACAATTCAGCTTTTCTCTTTGTTCAGTTAAAGCCCTTTCCCTAGAATTAATTTTTTGATGAAATACTTATTAATTAGTAGATTTCTGTTCAAAGGGAAATAACTCAATTTTTAAAAGACTTTTAAAAGACTAAATGACATTTTGGATTTTTTTCCTTTTCTTTGGTAAATTGTTTGAAGAATTTAGTGGTAGGTTTGTTTGTTATTCTTGAAGATATTGATTTGATAATTAGTATATAGTTTTATCATGACAAGTTACAGATCAAGTTGGAATTTCTTCCAGTCTGATAATTTTGTGCAGAGTTATGGTCTTTGGACATAGAAAATTCACCTAAATAATCAGTTTTCAACAGTTTTTTTCCTCGTGCTTGAAGATTTTGACTTCATATTTTTATGTAGTTTACACCATGACAAGTTATAGATCAAGTTAGAATTTCATTCCATTACAATGAATTTGTTGTAACCGGTAGGGGACATATGTATTGCCATGCAATACTCACAGATTGCTTGTTATTTCAGGTCTACTTTGCTGAATTAATTAGAATATTTTCATAATACATAACTTGTACACACTATTATTAATTTACACCTTGTAATATGGTGATTCCTGTATTGATCTTTTGATGTCTGATATAGTAAGGTTATGCTATTGGGTTGTCGTCTCAATCACATCTTAACAAAAACTTTTTTCATTCATATGTATTATTTTAATTATGTTAATATTGCAGTGTTTCAAGGTTAGGGTTATTCCATTTAAACATACATTGAACCTAGGGAATGCAGTTTGAAAATGGGGTAACCATCTATAGAGGCAATTTTAGAATTTCTCATATTTATTTTCTTTATTAATGATTTTTGTTGGAGCATCATGTGTTTATTTTTCTGAGAGAAATTTCTTTTATTCTTTTATTTGTGGAGATTCTAGATTCTAGGATATACAAAAATATTTTATTCTACTTTTTAAATACACAGCCCCAGGTTAGGGAGGTTTGAGGTCTCACAAGACAAAAAGCTAAACCCTGCCACATTCTTTATGTGTTTGTCCCAATCCAGGAACCTATTATCCAGTTGTTGTAGTTGGATTGCCTTATATTTGTTTTTTTATGCCACCGCCGTAGCGGAGGGGGCATTAAGTTTTACCCTTGTCTACCCGTACGTCCGTACATCCCAAAGTTGGTTTCCGTTCTCTAACTTTAGTTAACCTCAACAAAATGTTATGAAACTTATACACAATGCTTATTACCACAAAATACAGATCAAGTTTGAATTTTGGTGGTTTCACTTTTACTGTTCTAGAGTTATGCCCCTTTACAAATGGAAAAAATGCTGAATTTTTCGTTTCCATTCTCTAACTTTAGTTTGCCTCAACCAAATGTTATTAAACTTATACACAATGCTTATTACCACATAACACAGATAAAATTTGAATTTCGGTGGCGTCACTTTAACGGTTCTAGAGTTGTGCCCCTTTACAAATGGAAAAATTGCTGAATTTTTCGTTTTCGTTCTCTAACTTTAGTTTGCCTGAACCAAATGTTACGAAACTTATACACAATGCTTATTACCACAAAATACAGATCAGGTGGTTTCACTCATACTGTTTTAGAGTTATGCTCCTTTACAAATAAAAAAATTGCTGAAATTTTCGTTTCCGTTCTCTAACTTAAGTTTGCCTCAACCAAATATTATGAAACTTATACACAATACTTATTACCATTATTAAAGTAGATCAGGTCATTAGATTTTCTATCTTTTATTTTTTCACATTTTGTCATGTAGGTCCATGTATAGCGAACTATGCAGTAGTGCTTTTGCCCATTGTTGAAGGTTGCACTGTGACTAGTAATTTTTCTCATCTTTGTCTGTTGGTTTTTATTGAATCATTGGGCATCATACATCTTATTTTTATATTAAAAATATGTTTTTATGCCCCCCGCTGTAGCAGAGGGGGCATTAAGTTTTACCCTTGTCCGTCTGTATGTCCCAAAGTTGGTTTTCTAATTATAATGACAGACTATGTAAAATTCTGAATAGGATAGAGTTTGGGGCAGCAATAGGGTTTTAAAAAGAAAAGTGATCAATGATGTGAGAAATACTAACCCAAACAGATGACGTCTATTACATACTTAGTTTAAATGAAAAACTTTTATTTACAATTCTATTGTAGTTTCATCTGAACCAAAGATAGAAACAAAAGGAGGAGCCATACAAATTAAGAAGCCAGGATTATTTGGAAATTCTAGTACCACTATTAACATACAAAGTGCTCAGAACATTCAAATTGGTAATAATAATACAATGATAATTAACAGTAGCAGTACTAGACGGAGAACTCGTGATATATCTCCACCACCAAAGCCAGCTAAAGTAAACAAAGAAATAGTCAAACAAGTTCTAGGTGAGTTTATAGATATTGTATTCACTCAAACTTGGAATATACCATATAGGGTATTAGTTTTGGGGATAAAGATTGCATTCACTCAATGAGCACTCGCTTGGGACTTGCTTGATAGCTATATTGTCAGGACCTCAACACTACTTTTGAGATCACAAAACATAGTGCAATGAGGTAAACATTAATTAAATATTATCCATGGATGTGTATTTATAACCATACCTCATCTCTTTATTTTGTATTATCAAGAAAACTATTTAATTGAAAAATACATTAGTTATGTATATTCATGGAGTATGTATCTTTCTGTTTCAGAAATAACAATTGTTTTAAATAGGTGTACCCATTTAGTACCTACAACTCCTGTATTATTAGAATTTATTGAACTTTTTACAGAATCTTTACCATATAAAACATAAGGAGATGTAGTATGATTGCATATGAGACAACTACCCACCAAAGTTCAAATGAAGTGGATGCAAGCAATTAAGTAAAGGCAACCATATGTCCATCAACAATGATATATGATTATTTATAATCAGCACAAAAAAAAGTACCTAGAATAGGTTAGGTCCAAGGACACAGTTATCATCCTTTGGTTTTCGTTGTCTACGAATATAGTCCCTAGTGTGAACAGTGTATAACTTGCATTTTTTTTTGATACTCTTTCCCAATTTATTTCTTGATATTTTATGCATGAAATATTAAGTAAGGGGATGAAATTACATGTTAAAAAAATTTGGGTGCTGAATCTTTATGTTAAGTAGTGATTTGGTCCAGTTAAAAAAGGTCAAAAATTAGAATGTCTGAAGCTGTCAAACTGAATTTTAGCCCCCCTTAACACAGAATTGTCAATATTTTGAGTTAGAGCTGGTAGAAGTTTCTATAATTTTGATATTATTTGTATCAATAGTAGTACACTACACTGTAAAAATATTTTTGAGATAGAGCAGGTGCGATTTTTTTAATTTGAATTTACTGTCTAAAAGAAATGCACTACGAAATAACTGTGTTCTCGGGCCTAAGAGATGAATTCCGTAAATGTAGATTCTGTACTTTGGCAACTTTCCTGAATGGTTTGCTGGTTTCAATTTGTCAAACTCAATAAAAGTAAAGGATTTACATCTTTGTTTGACAGAAATTCTGTTAAAATAAGCATTTTGGCATTATACGGCTAAAATAAGCATTTAAAAGCAGTTTCCATTTTATGCCTAAGAGCCATGCTGACTTTCTATCTGACAGCTTTTTATGTTCCTGATATTTGTGTTTCTATGCTTAAATCAAATCTAATTAACCATTTGTGAACTCGGAATCTAGAGAAAAGTAGATTATCACAGAAAAAATGTGCAGAATATTTGTATTTATGTCCCTGGTTAAACGGCCTGTTTGATGTATGTGAAATGTGAAGAGCTTTGTACATAAAATCTGTAGTCGATCACAAATATTTCACTAAATCTGTAAAAAAAACACTTTACAATGATCAGTACACCCTATTCATTTCATATGCTACCATCATTTTCTTCTTTAGGATAGTAAGTGGTTCAAATATATGCCAAATGAGACTAAAACTACATGCAAGTTTTCCATTGAAAAGTGAAAAACTGGTCATCAAACCATACTGTCTGCAAACAAAAGTTGAATTCAAGAGTCCTTTTGCAATTAGACTTCTTGTATCATGATATCTTAGCATAGAAATGAGCAAAAAGTAACAAATTTCAATTTCTTATAGCCTCTGTGTGCATTTTTATATGTAAATATGGGCTACGGCCTAAATCGACTCTAAATAATTCTCAGTCTTACATGGCCTAAGACCATTTTATACTCATGTGGTATGCTTTTTGTAACTTTTCTTTACATTTAAAGTACATTTAATATATATGGAAGAAAAATGTATGGTTAAAAAACTTCAAAAACTTCAAATTGGTTGAAAAAAATGCATGTTTATGTAAGACTTCCCTTAATTCGAAAATCTCTATTTTCAGGCACAGGCTCATATAAATTTGACTTTTGAATAACTGAAATAAATCTGATAAATCAAATGAGTGTTCCGTTGCTTTTAATACTTATTATATTAAATTCAAGAGTATTTAAAAAGCAAATATTTGCAATATTTAAATTTTTTAGGCCAAAATCTTGACAGTTGAAAATATTTGATTTAAACGTCAAAAATAAACATCCAAATTTCAATATTAAAATGGCCCTAGTTTCTTTAATATATATCCTATGGCCATGAAACTTGGCCAACTATCTTATAATTGCCTAAGCTTAGGTCATGCAAAGTTTTATTAAAATTGGTCAAGTCTTTCTATCCTATTAGGTCCAAGGACACAGTTATCATCCTTTGGTTTTCGTTGTCTACGAATATAGTCCTTAGTGTGAACAGTGTATAACTTGCATTTTTTTTTGATACTCTTTCCCAATTTATTTCTTGATATTTTATGCATGAAATATTAAGTAAGGGGATGAAATTACATGTTAAAAAAATTTGGGTGCTGAATCTTTATGTTAAGTAGTGATTTGGTCCAGTTAAAAAAGGTCAAAAATTAGAATGTCTGAAGCTGTCAAACTGAATTTTAGCCCCCCTTAACACAGAATTGTCAATATTTTGAGTTAGAGCTGGTAGAAGTTTCTATAATTTTGATATTATTTGTATCAATAGTAGTACACTACACTGTAAAAATATTTTTGAGATAGAGCAGGTGCGATTTTTTTAATTTGAATTTACTGTCTAAAAGAAATGCACTACGAAATAACTGTGTTCTCGGGCCTAATTGAGGCAAAAAAAATTTAGGTGATGTGCTCCTTTGGACATTGTTTGTTATACTCAACCGTTTTGAATGTTAATATCTTTTTAGAATCCAAACGTTTATTAGAGGACATGGAGTTGAATATGGTTGCAACCAAATTTATGGGAAAGCAGTGGAGAAGAACTTGTAAGTTAATCATATAAAAATTGTGTGCTGTATATGGTTAAATTGGCACAATTTTATTTGCTAAAAAACAATTACTAAGACGCATAAATCAATTATTGAAACTTCCATCAAAGCATCTAAGAAGACCTGATGACCATGAGTTTTTAAGAGTAATTGCTCCCCTTTTTTTCTAAAATTACTCCGATACTCTTTACCTTTTAAATTTTTGAATAAATGGAGATGTGGGGTATACACCAACGAGACAGCAACCCAACAACAGAAATAAAAGACATCTAGAAGGCAACAAGCAGTCTTCAAAAATAGACAGATGTCTATACAATATGTCAATCTCTAAATGTTGTATATAAGTTTAACAGAAACAATCAAAGATCTGCATGTCTGTCATTAAAACCTAATACTCCAATTAACTAAAAAAAACATTGAGATATGACATAGGACAACTGACAAGCATGACAAGGTTCCTGACTTGGAACAGGCACATTAAAAAGTTAAAAATCCATAGATTGATCCAAATGGTAAAAATTTGCAGGAAAAACATTGAAATATTGCCTATGGTGTATCAAAATAGGCAAAAGATGCATCTTCCCAATTAACAATAATCTCCGAAGTTTTTGACATTGTTACACTCTGAACTTGCCTAGGATGTCCACTTACTTGTCTTTGTCAATTTAGGTCTTCATTGATATAAAGGGTAATGTTTCAAGATTATTACTCTTTTTTCCTTAATACAGATTGACAACTCTATACCAAATTTAGTGATTGCTTTCTTAAATAAATGGACACCGGATCTAAATCAACAAACTGATTTGTTTCTTTTTTTTAATTTTTCCTTACAGTACGATTGGTAGGCTTAGAAGATATAGAAATAGAGAGTAAATACCAGGATTATTATTCTCAAGGTATCAAAGAAATATCTTACCAGTGTCTCAAATACTGGAAACAGAAAAATCCTGACACTGCAACAGTTGGTCACATAGCAACAGCTCTGAGTGAAGTATTCCATCCTGATGAAGTCTGTGACAAATTTAAACCATGATCATGTTTATGATCAAACGTAACTGTGATTTTATCAATATTTATAATTTCTAATTTTTTCCTTTCTATTTCTAAAATGTAAAGGCAATTGAAAAAAATGGCTTCCTATACCCTTAAAAATCTTAAATTTTGGTGCTGTTCCTGCTTATTTTGTTAAAATTTAGCTAGGCAGTAGTTTGGATTCATTATTATTTGTGGGATGTCAATTTTCATTGATTTTGTTGGTAAAGGCAAACCACATTTTAATGTTCAACGAATAACACTTTTTCTATAGGCTTGAATGCAGACTTTGGCAAAACCATGAAATCGTATATCCACAAAAGTACAATTTTTCCTCAATCCATGAAAAGTTGGTACTAACAAAAATAAATGAATCAATAGTATTTGAGATCAGTAGATCCCTGCTTATTTTTTTTCTGTATGAAAATTTTTCAAAACTTATGTGATGTACTTTTTGCCTTAAATATGTTAAATATTCTGTTTTTGTTTTTAAGTTTGTTGCTTTATCATATTTGTCTTATGTTAGCGCTCTTCACAATATGTCTATGTCAAATGCTCACCTTCTTGAATTGTATTGCATCTTATGCAATATAAATAATAAATAGTGTTTATTAATGCATCTTATGTGATACTAATTGAGGAAAAATTGAAGTTGTATATGGCATTGAATTGAAACATAGTCCATTGTATGGTTAGCTATATAGTCCTTTTTCCAAACAGTTTGCTGACATGTATTGGAACATGCAAAAAGATGAATAATATTGATGAAGTAAACTTTGAATCATGAGTTCATGTGCCTATTCAGTTTCAAAGTCAAAATTTCAGTAAAATGGAATTTTATAAAGCAGTAAATTTAAAAAAGAACCCTTTTCTTTACAAATCCTGTTCATGTACAAAGATTTATGATGTGAAAGTAATGTTCTAATGTGTATTTTATTGGTTAAAATCATCTTTTATTTATTATATGCATTTTAGGGTGAGAAACAAATGTACATTCCTTTCCCTTGGTTGCTATCTTGCAAATAAAACAGTGTTGTATTTAAAAAAAGATACTCGTATGCTATCAATTTTTTTTCTTCTAAAGGTTGAAAAAAAACGGTTTGTCTTTGAGAAAAATAGTTCTTTAAAAAGGGTTATTATTAGAATAATTAATGTGGCCAGTTAAGGCAGTGTCATTGTGCCTAGAAATTTTGTATATTGGTGACAGGGGCTAATATAAAATGAACAAAACTTTTCGATTACGATTATGGTTATCATGAATTTAAAAAGATAATGTATTGTTACCATGGTTACCTTTTGTAACATTTTTATTGGAAAATTGTATACAATCATATTTATTATTGTGTTTACAATAATTTCTCATATTAAACATGAACCATTTTTTGTATTTAGTTTATTTTCAATTTTTATACTCCCTTTTAAAAGACGTATTATGGTATTAAGTTGACCATCTTTCTGTCTGTCGTCAACATGTCAGACAAAACTCAAAAACACTTTAACCAATTTGTATGAAACTTTGGTGCATTGTTTATATATATTGACTAGAGCTCTCTTTCGATTTTTATAAATTTCAGATTTTACATTTCCGAAGTATGGGGTTAAATTCATTAAAAAAGGGGGATTTTCTAGTTTTCGGACAAAAACTCATAAACACTTTCACCAATTTGCAAGAAACTTTGGTGAATTGTTTTTATTTATTTATTTGAGCTCCCTTTTGATTTTTATAAATTTTAGATTTTATGTTTCTGAGTTATAGGGTTTTATTCATTAAAAAAAGGTGATTTTCCAGTTTTCGGACAACAACTCAAAATTACTTTGAGCAGTTTTCATGGAACTTTAGTGAATTGTTTATATCTATTGATGTAAGCTGCCTTTCGATTTTTATTAATTTTAGATTTTGCGTTTACGAGTTATGGGATTTTATTCTTAAAAAAGGGGTGATTTTCAAGTTTTCGAACAATATATACTTAAAAGTGCTTTGAGCAGTTTTCATGAAACTTTGGTGACTGGTTTATATCTATTGAAATAACCTCCCTTTAGTTTTTTATAAATTTCTGATATGACATTGAGAAGTTATTGAACTTTATTCTTTGAAAAAGCGACGGGTGTATCATGCGCTCATGGCGCAGCTGTTTATTGAAGGCAACATGATCAAAATCGTTCAACCAACCCTAATAATTTTGCTTGAAACCTAACAGATCATGCACCGCTGTTGGCACAAAGTACATGGAAGGAATTTTTATATATTTATTTCTTCACTTCTTCAATGAAATAGGCTGTTGAATGTTTCAGTACTAGTTTAATGAATATTATCAAAATAATTTGATTAATGAATCATTTGCATGTTTTTTAAATAGGCTGTAGATTGTTTCAGTTTAATGAATATTATCAAAACAACTCAAAGTAATTAATCAATCATTTGCCCATGTTTTATCTGTTTATTTCAAGTTCTGAAAAAAATTCTTTTTATTTCCCTTTTGCAATCCTTGAGGTTTTATAATAGTGATTGAAGTTGATAAAATTCCTAAAATTCTCCATAGAAGGGATGTACAGTTTTTAAGACTAAAATTAAAGCAGTTTATGTTTTGGGTTGAAAATTTGGCAGCAAATTGTTTCATACCTTGACCATTTCTTACCGCTGCCATTTCATACCCTAAATTACCATTTCGTACCCAACATTTACCATTTTGTACCCTAAGGGCCAACTGTATTAACCATTTCGTACCTCATAGACTAAATACATGTTTACTATTTCGTATCGTATATATTTATAAATCATTGAAATTGATATTTTGTCCTAACATCAGTATCAGAGATTTTGTCCTAACATCAGTATCAGAGATTTTGTCCTAACATCAGTATCAGAGATTTTGTCCTAACATCAGTATCAGAGATTTTGTCCTAACATCAGTATCAGAGATTTTGTAAAACAAAATTGTATAATTCAAAAAAGGAAAGATCCTCCATACTACCCCATTATAAGTTTTTAAAATGTTTAATATTTGATGCATACTGTTCCATTCAACAAAATATATATATAAAAAATGTTATTAATTTTTTTTCTTCACATAAATAGGTAAAATATGTTATAAAACCTTTTGAGATAATTTTATTTATTAAAAAATATTATAACACAAATTAAATGCTCAACAGTAGAAAATTTCTAAAGACATATGATGGGTTGAATTAAGCAATATATGGAAACTTTAATAGTTTTAATTACACTTTGTATTCCGGGTTTTATCTTCAACTCTAATGATTAACCAACAAAGGACTAATTGTCTGCAACTGTTTGTGTCTCGCCTTGATGGAGTCAAAAAGCGAGACATAGGTATGCTGTTTTCAGCGGCCGGGGCTTCAACAATGTATTAGTTTGTGAATAGGTCTAGTTTGTGGTGAACCACTAGTGGTAGGTCAATGATATTTGGTATGCAGTTGTATTAGCATTGGCACATCTCATTTCCATGGAGATTATTTGGCTCCACCCCGTCAGTCATGGTCTATTGATTTTGAAACTGTTACTTAGTTTACATATATTAGTTTGTAATAAGGTCAGTTCAAGGGGAACCATTAGTGGTAGGCCAATGTTAATTGGTATGCAGTTGTATAATAAGCATTACACATCTCATTTCAGGGGCGGATCCAGCCATTTTTAAAAGGGGGGTTTCCAACCCAGGACAAAGTGGGGTTCCAACTATATGTCCCCATTCAAATGCATTGATCGTCAAAAAAAAAAGGGGGGGGGTTCCAACCCCCGGAACCCCCCCCCTGGATCCGCCACTGTCATTTCCATGGTGAATATTTGGCCCCACCCCTCACTCATGGTCTATTGACTTTGAAACTTTTGCTTAGTTTACATTTATTAGTTTGTGATTAGATCAGTTAAAGATGAACCGCTATAAATGTTAAGTCGGTGATATTTGGTATGCAAATTTATTGGCATTTGCATTCTTTTTTCCTTGGAGATTATAAATTATAGCCCCATCCCCTCATCATGGTACATTGACTTCGAAACTTTTACATAGTTTACAAGATAATGATTTGTGTTTAGGTTTGTTTAAAGGGAACGAATTATCATAAGTCAATGGTATTTGGTATGCAGTTGTATTAGCATTGGCACATCTCATTTCCATGGGGATTGCTTAGCCATCTACCTTCAGTCATGATTCATTGACTTTGAATATTTGCATAACTTACATGTTAAAGAATTTTTCTTATTTTAATTTTCAACATTTGCATTATCAAAATTACAAAAAGGCAAGACATAACTCTGTGTTAACAGTTTATTATAGTTATGAACAGTTGTTTTGTCGTGAAATGAAGTGAAATGGGATATTCTTTCAAGAAGAAAGCCATTAATAAAAAGGTTTGCATAAGAATTTGCACCTTATGTGACCAATCAAAGAACCTGCTATGGCTTTTCCAATTTGAGAAATATTGTACGAAATAGTGTACATGTACATGTAACCTTCCGTAAGGTACAAAATGGCACATATAAATCTTCCGTGAGGTAAGAAATGGTATACATATAAATTTTCCATGAATACGAAATGGCATACATATAAATATTCCATGAATACGAAATGGCATACATATAAATATTCCATGAAGTACAAAATGGCATACATATAAATATTCCATGAAGTACGAAATGGCATACATATAAATATTCCATGAAGTACAAATTGGTCAGATTATGAAATGGCTTTTTTAAGGGTACAAAAAGGTATCTGAGGAACAGGCTTAATCAAGAAATATTGATCAATGAACCATGAAAACGAGGTCAAGGTCAGATTTACCCTGCCAGACAGACATGTACACTAAACACTCATTCCATACACCAAATATTGCTGAGGTATTGCTTATGCATGTACATGTAGTATCTTAGAAAAGGACCTTACTATTAAAACTTAACATTGACCAATTAACCATGAAAATAAGGTCAAGGACAGATGAAACCTGATAGATAGATATGTACACCTATTACCATATATAGTGGAACTATTGCTTATAGTATTAGAAAAATAGACCAAAACACAAAAACGTAATATGCACCATGGAAATGAGCGCAAAGGAGCTACCATATGATTTTTATGGGGGGCTAGGATGAAATTTGAAAAAAAGGCAGGACAGGAGTTTTGAGTAAAAAAAAAAGGCAGGATGAGCAACTTGGCAAAAAAAAAAGGCAGGATGACAATTTATGTAAAAAAAAGTCAGGATAAACTAATAAAAAACAAGGCAGGACCGAGTAGAGTAAAAAATAAAAAGGCAGGACAGATTACAACTAAAAACAAATGCAGGACAAAATTTTTCATCCTAGCCCCCCCCATAAAAATCAAATGATAGCTCCCTAAAGTCAGATGAACCCTGCCAAACTGACATGTACACCTTACAATCATTCCATATCCCAAATAAAGTTGACCTACACCTTACAGTATCGGAGAAACAGACCTAATCATGTAACTCTTACCTTGATCACTGATCTATGAAATGAGGTAGAGGTCAGGTGAACCCTGTCTGACAGACATGTTGACGTTGCAAGGAATGCACATACCAAATAGTTATCATTTTACTCATTATAAGTGAGAAATTCACATAACAAAAAAAATTAACTTTTTTTCAAGCAGTTGCTTAACTATGAAAATGACAACAGACAAATGACAGACGGAAACTTTGTAAGATAAGGCATCTGTATACAAAGTATGAAGCGTCCAGGTCTAGTACCCTCTGAAATATATAGCTTAATACAAATAGTTTACCCCTTCACCACCAGATTGTAATCCCTATGTCACGCATTCTGTGACTTTCATTGCAGGCGAGACAAAAGGACAAGTTTGCTTATCTTTATAAGGAAACAAGAGTGCACTCGCTGAAATGTCTCACCTGTTTTACTTATAATTGAATTCATGCTGAAAGTCTGTAATATGAAAATTTTACCTCAAGAAGGTTAACATTATCAATGTTCTACGAAAAAGAGGTCATGGTCAGATGAACCATGCCAGACAGACATGTCTCCTTACAATCATTCAATACACCACATATAGTGGTCCTATCGCTAATAGTACCTGTGAAACAGATCAAACCATTAAACCTGAACATTGACTAATGAACCTTGAAAATGAGGTCAAGGTCATATGAACCCTGTCAGACAGACATGCACACCTTACAATCGTTCCATACACCAAATATAATTGATCTATGATTGCTTATAATTTCAGAAATAGACCAAACCACAAAAACTAAGCATTGTCCAATGAACCATTGATTTTATGTTGATAGTCCTTAATATAAAGCTTTACTACAAGTATCACATAAACTTAACTTGATCCAAGAAAATGAGGCCAAGTTCAGGTAAACCAAACCGGAAATACACACCTTACAATCATTCAATACACAAAATATAGTTGACCTATTGCTTATAGTTTCTAAGAAACAATTTAACCAGGAAAATTTAACATTGACCAATGAACCATGAAAATGAGTTCAAGGTCAGATTAACCATGCCAGACAGACATGTACATCTTAAAATCAATCTATGCATTAAGTATATTTGACCTATTGCTTATAGTATCCAAGAAACAAACTTAACCATGGAAATTTAACATTGACCATTGAACTATGAAAATGAGGTCAAAGTTGGATGATTCCTGCCAGACAGATATATAAACCTTACAATCATTCCATACACCAAATATTGTTGACCTATTGCTTTAATATAGTTTAAGAAAAAGACCAAACCCAAAAACTCAACACTGAGTAATGAACAGTGAAAATGAGGTCAAGGTCAGATGACACCTGCCAGTTGGACATGTCCATCTTACAATCATTTCATACACCAAATATAGTAGACCTATAGCTGAATAGTATCTGATTTATGGACTTGTCCTTGTTCACTGATCCATGTAATGAGATCGAGGTCAGATGAGAACAGTCCGACAGGCACAATGACCTTTCAATGTACACAGATACTATATTTATCCTATTACTCATAACAAGAGTTAAAATTTACATTACAAAAAAACAACTTTTTTTTTCAAGTAGTCACTGAACCATGAAAATCAGGTCAAGAACATGCATTACAATAGTCATATGACAGACAGAAACTTCATAACTTAAGGTATCTATATACAAAGTATGAAGTACCCAGGTCTTCCACCTTCTAAAATATAAAGCTTTTAAAGTAGTTAGTTAACGCCGCCGCCGGATCACTATCCCTATGTCGAGCTTTCTGTGACAGAAGTCGCAGGCTAGACAAAAACTAAACATTGTCCAATGAACCGTGAAATTAAGGTCAAGGTCAGATGAAACCTGCCAGTCTGACATATACACCTAACAATCATTCCATACACCAAATAAAGTTGACCTTAAGGCTTATGCTTCTAGTATCCAAGATATGGACTTGACCACACAACTTCAACCTTGATCACTGATCTATGAAATGAGGTAGAGGTCAGATGAACCCAAACTGATGGATATGTAGACATTGCAAGGAACCTATATACCAATTATATAGTTATCTTATTACTCATAATAAGTGAGAAACTAATCTAACAAACAAGGAAACTTGAAGATGATCAATTACGACGATGAAGTAAAGGTAAAAAAATCGTTGTCATACAGACACATACACCAAACATAAAATTAAAACTTAATGTTGATCAATGAACTATGAAAATTCGCGGAACACAGTGTTTCACCTACTTTTGCTGTTAATGGCAGGCTCGACAAAATGAGGAAAAAAAATTAATAAAAATATTCCTCTCTATACTATCTTTTGATTGTAAGTAGCTTCTGTCCAAGTTTGGTAAAAATCCAGGATAATTTATGAATCTAATAAATGTTTTAAAAACTTAAACTGCAGAATGTATGTAATGTTGACTGGAAGAAAAACTAAGTCCATTTATAAGTAAAATACGGAAAAAATGAAACAAAATTTTATCAAAATTTCCTTCTAGATACTAGCTTTTGATCATAAAAAAGCTTCTGTCCAAGTGTGGTACAAATCCAGGATAGTTTAAGAAAGTTGTTAAAATTTTAAAAACTTTAACCACAGAGTTAATGTAATGTTAACTGGCAGAAAAACTAAGTCCATTTATAAGTAAAAAGAAAAAAATGGAATTTTTTTTTACAAAATTTACTTCTGGATACTATCTTATGATCATAAACAAGCTTCTTTCCAAGTTTGGTAGAAATCCAGGATAGTTTAAGAAAGTTATTAAAATTTCAAAAACTTTAACCACAGAGTGAATGTAAAGTTTCCTGGCAGAAAAACTAAATCCATTTATAAGAAAAATTCGTAAGGGTTCCGCGGAACCCAGTGTCTCGCCTACTTTTGTTGTTAATCGCAGGCTCAACAAAAATGAGGAAAAAAATTAATTATAATATTCCTCTCTATACTATCTTTTGATTGTAAGTAGCTTCTGTCCAAGTTTGGTAAAAATCCAGGATAGTTTATGAATCTAATAAATGTTTTAAAAACTTAAAGTGCAGACTGTATGTAATGTTAACTGAAGAAAAACTAAGTCCATTTATAAGTAAAATACGGAAAAAATGGATTTTTTTTTTTTACTTTTTTACAAAATTTACTTCTGGATACTATCTTTTGATCATAAACAAGCTTCTTTCCAAGTTTGGTAGAAATCCAGGATAGTTTAAGAAAGTTATTAAAATTTCAAAAACTTTAACCACAGAGTGAATGTAATGTTTCATGGCAGAAAAACTAAGTCCATTTATAAGTAAAATACGGAAAAAATGAAATTTTTTTTTTACAAAATTTACTTCTGGATACTATCTTTTGATCATAAATAAGCTTCTTTCCAAGTTTGGTAGAAATCTAGGATAGTTTAAGAAAGTTATTAAAATTTCAAAAACTTTAACCACAGAGTGAATGTAATGTTTCTTGGCAGAAAAACTAAGTCCATTTAAAAGTAAAATACGGAAAAAATGGAATTTTTTTTTTACAAAATTTACTTTTGAATATTATCTTATGATCATAAACAAGCTTCTGTCCAAGTTTGGTAGAAATCAAGGATAGTTTAAGAAAGTTATTAAAATTTGAAAAACTTTAACCACAGAGTGAATATTTGTGGACGCCGCCGACGACGCCGCCGACGGAATGTAGGATCGCTATGTCTCGCTTTTTCGACAAAAGTCGAAGGCTCGACAAAAGTACAGAAAAAATGGGAAATTTTTTTTTACAAAATTTACTTTTGAATATAATCTTATGATCATAAACAAGCTTCTGTCCAAGTTTGGTAGAAATCCAGGATAATTTAAGAAAGTTATTAAAATATGAAAACCACAGAGTGAATATTTGTTGACGCCGCCACCGCCGACGACGACAACGATGGAATGTAGGATCGCTATGTCTCGCTTTTTCAACAAAAGTCGAAGGCTCGACAAAAATGAAGTCAAGGTTAGATGCACCCTGTCAAATGGACATGTAAACTTTTAAATCATTCTGTGGATCAAATAAAGTTTACCTTTTACATGTACTCTTAGGTTCTGAGAAAATTGTGTTTATTCTGCAGTGACAATTATTACATGCCTATCAGACGAAAGCATGTTAGTGATTTGAATGCACTTGACCAATATGCTAAGCTGGACTTTAAGCCAACCAGTGTTTGCTCTTACATGATGCTTAGCAGTTATCTCAGAAGCAGCAAATAAAAATCTCTTTGACTCTTTGGTTTGACCTGGTCAGGGATTGAACCATCAATCTCCAGCACTCAAGGCGAGGAAGCTACTATGAGACCAGAGGGATGTAGTTGTTATGATTCTATCTCATGTTTTATCCTATAGTTGTTTCACTTAAATGTGGGCTGAATCAATTACACACTTGATAATCAACCAATGCAAGATGCAAAGTGTATGTCTAAGATTAGGCCATTAAAGTAGCACAAGAAAAATCATTCAATATTTTTTTTCATTATTATCTTTAAACTGGAACTGGGATGGACAAAGGCTCTTATGGTCATTTGATACTTAACTCATAAAATTATTGTTTATTTTATCATAATTAATTTCTGTACAATATTTACATTTGTGACAATTTCAATTCAAATTTGTTGCATGACACATGATAAAACATTGCATTAACATGATCACTCTATTAAAATAAATGACAAATGAATATTGATGTACATATCTGACCAGTTGACCAACCTCAATGATTTTAAATCAAGTGAAAATTCTAAATGCTTCCAACAACTTTGCACTATTTAACAAAGCCATTACATTTTTATAGTCCATACATGAGAATTGCTTCATACTGACTTCATTTTTTCAATAGTTCACAAAAAATGTCCTTTTCAATATCAAACACTTTCATGCTGTGATGAAAAATATATGCACTATTTTATTCTCTGATTCATTCAGTCATTATCTGCTGTTGAAGACTGTCTGAAAATAAACAAGAACATAATTTTAAAACAAGAATGCATGTATTGATGTGCTTAGGCTTAGCATACCTACACTTATAATTTGAAGTATTGGTAAACAGAAAGTAGTTGTCTGACATGCAACACATAACACTGGTAGACCTATTTGGAAAATGCCCGCGATTTTTGGCTAATCTCCGCGAAACGGATAAAAATTAGAGGTTCATCGTAAATTTGCTGTATTACAGAATATTATGCATGTTATCCGGAGATTTTCCGTGTCGGCGGGAATTAGCCGTTTGTCCGATAAAACGGGTGTGTATTGAGTCAGTGATAGAACCAGTGATGCGTGAGCGACGGTTATTAATAGATCATTGTACATAGATGATTATAGAATCCGTTATGCGTGAGCGACGGTTATTAATAGATCGTTGTGATATATACAATGTTTACAGTCAGATTAAAAAAACTATCTTATTTCCCTTTTCGGTCGAGATAAAACGGTTTTTGATAATAAAGTTACTTACGATTTAAATATCAAATGTTGTCATTGTTCATTAAAGAAAAATCTATTTTAATGTGACCAATGAACAAGATGAATACACGTGTTATCTTTGCTATAGACAACTACAATTTTTTTAATATATGAATGGAAATCGTATTTACGTTAAAAAACGTAAACTAATCTACTATTCATGATAGATTCATAATGTGAATCGATTGTTTGGGTCAGAAACTTTGTTCTCACTTTAAAAAATTCTTCACAATTGTCATGTTTAGAAAAAAAATCAGTCCTTGTACTTATAGAGTCTCCGGAAGATACCGTAATCGGGCAGGATGTCAAACTGATCTGACACTTGTCCTAGTGTATTTAACACCTGCTGTGATATTGCTTGTGCAATACCAGTGGAAGGTCGTAAATCAATCTGTACCCGATTGATCAGAATTTAATTTTACCTGTAGATATATTTAGTCGTTACGGAGGATATCATAGATACATGTTATATATTGTATTGTAATTAATGAAGATAATTTAAATACATTATATAATAAAGACCTATTTGCATATAAATCGAACATATTCATTCCAACCAAGAAGGTTTGAAATTGAAAGTTTTCAACAAACTTTTGATAAAATCTTTCCCGTAAATTACATACGAGTCATTGGTTTATAGTTACACAATTGTTACCCTTCTAACGTCTTATTTCATTGTGCTATTGAAAGAACTCAAAATTTTCCATATCAGATCACATTTCGTACGAGTCCTAAAAATTATAATTGAATAATCTTCTATTTTCCTTTCGACACCACGTTCCCCATAGGAGCCTCAAGATCTAATCATACCTGTCAATGATTAGCCACAAGTTGGTCCGCCAGATAGATCACTCGTGCTTTCTATTATGACATCGTTGAGAAGTTTTTGTAAATTGATTTGTGATATAAATAAAGTGATGTGAAGTTTATTTTACGGCCGATCAAAATTTTATGTGATTCGATTTTTCTTTTACACAAAGATGTTTTTTAATATGTCATAAAATACATGGAAATAAAACATTTGAGTTCTTTTTTTCCCGTAAATATATTCAATAAACCAAAATTTATTTCAAAAGGTAAACATTTATAATCATTACAAAGTTATAATTTGATTTTTATTTAAGTCGGTTAATGGAAACAATAAAATGACAACGTCTTTGCAGAAATATTAATCTAGACATTAACGTACTTAGACTGTCCATTTGTTCCACTGTGTAGGACAATTTATTCACGAACTACATCATTAATAATTACTAATATAACAGTTGCTGAAATGTAAGTTGTATATTATTTATTTTTTTACAAACATGCGTTTTGATTCCGTTCAGATTTGTTATTACAGCATGTGTAGATTCCTTGATTTTCATCTAGTTTCAGTTATATATATACTAGTTCCAGTCAGTATAGGGCTAATCATTTTGCCTTCCAACAAAGTCAACAATTTAGCATCGGACGTATACGTGACTGCGTATTTATACATCTCTATATGTTATATCTGATGTAATGGACTCCTAGTATGTTGTCCTTTTAAAGTTGGCTATACAATATTGGCTGTGCTCATTGTTGAAGGCTGTACAGTGACCTATAGTTGTTAATTTCTGTGTCATTTCTCTTGTGGAGAGTTGTCTTATTGGCAATCATACCACGTCTTCTTTTTTTATAACGTGCCCGTTTTAATAGCAATGTTATATTCAAAACGGATGAGAAAACCCCATGGATGACAATTATCTATATCCATGTCAAGTGGGGTTAGGTAATAGGAGCGAACTTATTGATTATGTATGTTTGTGAGGGTCTGGATAGGATTTATAGAAGAATAGAGAACACAAATGGACAAAAAGTGCACAACATAGGACCAGAAAAGTAAAGAAAAATAGACGCCAAGAAAATAAAGAATATAGAATAATGAGAAAAAAATATGAAGAATAGAGAAAAACAGATGACTAACAAATTAAAAGACAATTAGGATTGAAAGACCTCCCCCCCCCCCCAATATTCAAGACCTTCGTATGTGTTCAAAGAAAATCTGCATACGTTATAGTTCCTTGCTATAAAGTTACGTTCTCAAAGGCTTTTAAGGATTATGTACCCTTGTGTTGATTAAATGCTAAACATATGGATTTTTTTTTAGAAAATCCACAGCTTTTCCCTTGTACTGTCATATTTGGCGATTCGATGCTTTATTGATGAAGGATTATTGCATTCAGTGCTAGCAATGATTTTTTTAATTGAGTTATATATGTTTAAAATATTATAACAAAAATAAAATGCTTCGGCGCTGAGCGCAGCCTGATATGACCGCAGAAGTTGAACCATGAACAGTTGGGGCAAATTTTGACACAATATTCAAGCTAATTACTGTCTGAATTTGGATTGTGATCAAATTTTTGACATAATATAGGTTTCTGACACAAAACATGTGTAAAGGTCTTTCAAATCTATTGGGCAATACTGTGCAATTAAAGATTTCTTCTTGAAACTTTTGAAATATTTTAAAATTTGAAAAATTTTGAAAAAAAAATTAAACCCCTTTAAAAAAATTGGAAACCTGCAAACTTTTTGAACTCACAACCCCCCCGCCCTTTGGAGCAATAACCTCAACACTTGATCCCAGTTTTCCTTTGTAGTATGGAAACTTGTAGTACAATTTCAGAAAGATCCATACAGTGACTTAAACACAAGTTATTGTCTGAAAAACTAGAATAACTAAAAAAATGTTTTTTGGCCCTTTTATGGCCCCGAATTCCTTCATGAATGGGGCAATTACCCCCAAACTCAATCCAAGCCTTCCTTTTGTGATATGGAACTTTGTGGTACATTGTCAGAGAGATCCATACACTTACACACAAGTTATAGTCCAGAAACTACAAATGTGTCTTCGGACGACGTAGACGACAACAACCACATCATACCATTATACGATCCCCCCCCCCCCAAAAAAAAATTGGAATCGTATAAAAATCACGGTCTTAAAATCTGTGGATTTTCTAAAAAAATCTTGGTTTTATTTTCACCAAATTTTCTTTTTCTACTAAATTCAATTAAACTAAAAATAATAATGCTTTGCACGAAGTTTCCTCTTGGTATATGTACAAAATGGTCCATTTCTTTTTATAAATCTGGATAATTTCAGAAAAGGTATCAAAATTCATAGGGACTCCTGGAGACGGGACAATTTTTTTCAAGCCCTCTCCCTTTTCTCCAAAGTGCGTTATTTTTTTTGTTTTCTGTTAAATACCATTATTTTGGCGTAAGGAGAATTAGTATTTGTAATTATGATATTGTTATTATATATAAAAAAAGAAGATGTGGTATGATTGGCAATGAGACAACTCTCCACAAGAGACCAAAAATGACACAGAAATTAACAACTATAGGTCGCCGTACGGCCTTCAACAATGAGCAAAGCCCATACCGCATTGTCAGCTCTAAAAGACCCCGACATGTTCATATTAATGATCCACTCTTTGAAACCTAACCTTAGTATGACGAAAGTGCTATATATAACGAAAACAGCGGAGAAATGGATTAAATAGACTTGCTTTATTGTATAAACTAAAAAAAGGTCGGAGTGGAACTAACCCCGAAAAATTCAGTCTCTCTCCGTAATCGATCTCTTCTATATACTTGTTAATGAAATAATCGTAGATCAGCGGAATATAACGACTGAATTATTCGGGTAAGTGAAACAAGTACTGTAAATTCAGAAATTATTGCGAGGTTTTTATTAATGCGAATAATGCGAGCGGCCTACGATCGCAATAATTAAACCTCGCATTCTTACTTTCATTTTCCCCTCGTCAATTTGTGATTGATTTATCTCCCTTTGTTCAGTGGTGTGATGTAAGTAACCTTTCACCTGGGGCATTTAAGGGTAATGTGTTTTTACAACTTATTTCCGCTAATCTGTGTAATCAGTGAAGCCAGGTGACATTTTTATAACACTTTGACTTTTAATTGGAAATGTGCCTGTAATTTGTTTATGTTTGATCAAAAGCTGCCGGGAATTTTTATGAATGAGAAAATTACTATTGACATGCTGTTCGATTCATGTATCCAGTGACAAATTACGATGTTACTTTGTTTTGTTAATATTGTTTGTAACTGTTCAATGAAGCATGTGTATTTTCGGTATAAGTAAACACCTTTAGAAAGTGAGAAATAAAAAATTATCTAATAATATTTATTACAATAAATAAATAATAGACAATAAAATAACAAAAATCATCATTAGATAATATTGTTCATAAAGCACAAGTACAGCAATAGTTTTTCAAGAGTCAATTTATAAGTCATCACAAGCTACTATTGTTCATTAAGCACAAGTTCAACACTACATGTAGTTCATTAAAAATACAATTTAACACTTTATACAGTCACTTATACCAGACTTTTTCCAACCTAGCAAGATAATGTCTTTCTTTGACTTCAACTCGTGGAACACTTTACTCAACCATTTAGCATGTAACGGCTTGAGAACAGAAAGT